TGTAGGTGTATGTGCAAATAGAGCATTCATACATTGAAAAACAAAAATCAGGTGTTTGTGGCACACGTCTTTAATACCAGTACTCAGGAGGCAGAGGCAGGTGGATCCCTAAGTTCAAGGCCAGCCTGGGGTACAAAATGAGTTTCAGGATATCCAGGGCTACACAGAGAATCCCTGTCTCGAAAAACACAACCAAGAAAGGTGGTAAAGGGAGTTCCTGTAAACTAAATGACTGAAAAGGCTTAAGAATATGTTGGATAAAGGACAAGGATAGAAAGGTTGTGGGTGTTTATCATAGTTTACCAATGGTAATTTATAAAGAGAAGACATTTGATACTTGCAACCCATGTGGTGGAAGGAGGGGATGGACCAACTCCTGAAAAGTGCCTTCTAACCTCCTTGCACTGGCACACACACACATGCACAGTTATTTTTCATTACTGCTTTTGTTGTTGTTTGTTTTTAAGAAAGTAAGAGCTGGAGAGATGGCTCATTAGTTCAGAGTACATACTGCTCTTGTAGAGGACCCAAGTTTGGTCAGACATCCTCTTCTGGATTCACAGCACCTGCACTTAGAATATGCATTTACACCCCCATACAGACACACATAATTAAAAAAAAAGTTAGGCATGATTGCACACACCTTTAATCCTAGCATTTGGGAGGCAGAGGCATACAGATCTCTGTTAGGTCAATACCATCCTGTTTTACAGAGTGAGTTCCATGCCAACCAAGGTTACATGGTGAAGTTCTCTCTCAAATAAATGTTTTTTTAAAGTAACTTAAAAGGTGAACTATCCAGGATCTAGACCATAAGGTCCAAATCTAGGATGATATAATGGAAGGCCTGGTAGCACGGCCTCAGAATGACCAGCCAGTGGTTTTGCTTGAGTGCAAGTAACTGGTCTAGATGTGTAATTCAGGGAGATAACCTGCAGCTTGATCCAGAGTTTGTCTAGGTTGAGACAAAAGGTAAGAGTAGGCTTGAGAAAAGCCCTTAAACCCTAACAAATCTGCCAAGCCTGCTGCCAGATTCTGTCGGTAGGATCAGTTTATTACAAGGAGACCAGTTTAGTATCATCTGCTCATGTCCCTTACACACACACACACACACACACACACACACCTGCCCATAGCCCTGAAACAGAAGGAGCCTGATGATAAACAGCACTGGGGGGAGGGCAGGCATTTTGTAGCTGAAGAACTGTTTAACCACAGTGCTAAGCAATTTTCTTTAACCTGAAGCTACACTTTAATGAGCAGAGAAGGTAATAAATTAGACCTAATTGGACCTTGGAAGTTGAATTAAAAACTGCTTCACAGGAACCTCTCTCAAAACTGGGAGGTGGGTGAGAAGTAGCTGTCTGACTTCGTCTCCCAGCACTGCCTGTCTCTATATTTTAGTGAATCACAGGGAATGCTGTTGAGATTGAGGCAGAACCACAGTTCAACTTTCTTAATGTGGTCTGTGGAAACGTGGAAGGTCAAAGACCAGCGCAGAGCAGTGTCCTACCTTGTCATTCTCGGTAGGGAGGAATGACAGCACGAATAATAGAAAGCATGAAAGGGAAATATGGTAAAGTAGAAGTGCCAAGTCTTGAGAAGATTCACACTGGGGGAGGATCCAGCCTCTGTCTCTGCGTGTGCACTGTGAAGACGTCCTGGCAGTCCCTTAGTACATTTAAAGAATGTCTGTTGTGTGATATTTATGTCAGCAAATGTGTGTAGAATGTCTGTTGTGTGGTATTTATGTCAGCGAATACGTGTATTCATGAGCGATCTTGGTAATGTCTGTTAGGAGTGCTTAGCTAGTCTTTTATTGAGGATTTAGTTTCTTTCAGAAGACTTAATTTCCCATCTTACTTATAACAAATGAGCCTCTCTTCTTCCCAGAGCTCCTCTCTGCCTATTCTCTCCTGCCTAGCTGTTGGCCATTTTTAAACCAATCAGAAGGCACCTTAGGCAGAGACAAATCTTTACAGTGTAAAAAAGATTATCCCACAACATGTATGTATATAAACATAGACACACACAAATGTTTATGAAGTCATTTCTAGAAGAGTCTTTTTCACATACAGATTTCTGGCTCTTAACAGTCTTTCCATCCCCTTTCCATCTGCTCTTCCAGCATATTCCCTGAGTCATAAATTCAGGATCTGTAGATTGTCTGTTGGGGCAGGGCTCCTATGATCTTTGCATTATGTCCAGGTTTGGTTTCTATGATGGCCTCCATCAGCTGTAAAGAGAAGTTTCTTTGACGAGGGGTAGTAGCTACACACACATACACATGTGCACATATAGTTACATGTAGTGATCACAGAACAGTCAGTATTCTAACTATTTCAGTACCCTGAAGTAGTGCCCTCTGTTATTTCCTACTCCCTCAAAAGAGCTAGTCTGGCTTCTGTCACTACAGATTTTGTCTGTTCTTGAAGTGGAATGATACAGTAGTGTTGTGCCACACTTTTTTGATTAATCATTATGTCTATAAGATTCAGCCATATTGTTGTTTTCTATCAGCAAGTTTCTCTATTACATAAATCAATTTATATTATATACCTGTTCACATAGTTGATAGAGATATGCGTGTTTACAGTTTTTATTTTTTATAACTAAAGTTATTAAAAAACATTTTAATACTTGCTTTATAGTTAATATATTCACTAATTTTATTGGGCCAATGAATTCTCTGGTTTTCAAATGCAAAAAAAAAATTAATTTGAACAGATGGGGCCAAGGCCAGTGAGGTGGTTGATGTGAAGCTTAGAACATAAACGTGATGCTGGGGCCCACTCAAATGTGGAAGGACAGAATTGACTCTGCAGAGTGGTCCTATGATCTCTACATGCATGCTCCGCATAGTGTTCCCCCTCTGCATCATGCACACATAGCAACAGCAACAATAGTAAATACATCATCATTGTTATCATCACCATCATCAAGATAGCAGAATGCAAACCTTGTTCACAGAACATGTTAAGTCCATGTAAGTGAAAATACACCACTATCTTAGTTACTTTTCTATTGCTGTGAGTAGACACCATGACCAAGGTAACTTATGAAAGAAATCATTTAATTGGGGCTTGCTTACAGATTCAGATGGTTCAGTCTGTGGCTGTTATGGTGGCACATGTGGCAGAATGAGAGAGGGAGAAGGGAGGGAAGTGAGGAAGGGAGGAGTCAAAAGGGAGGAAGAGACAGAGAAGCTCACTGGGAATAGCATGGGCCTTTAAAGCTCAAAGTCCCCAGTGATATACTTTCTCCAACAGGGCCACACCTCTTAATCTTTCTGAAACAATTCTACCAACTGTTGAACAAGCATTCCAATATATGAGCCTGGCGGGTGGGCATTCTCATTCAAACACTACACCATTTCAATAGAACTGGGGGAAAATTGCAATGACCATTTAGGATAGTATCCTGTACTTGTTCTGTATGGGTATGACATGATCAGTGATTGAGCAATAGTAGATACTGTGCTAGATGCAAGAGGAAAGACAGTCAAACCTTTCCTTCACCATGCAGGGAACAGGTGATTAGAACACAGTGTTTGAGTGCTCTAACAGGACCAGCAGGGCAGTACCTGGACTATCTCCTCTAAACTAGAGTTACTAAGAGGAGGCATCTTGGAGGAAATGGCATCCAATTTGTTTTCTAAATATATTGAAATACTAGGGAGTTGTTACTGAGATGAGTAGGTCAATGAGAAATTTTAGATGATATTTTAAGTCCTGGAGATTTCAGATACTGAAATTAGCTGGCCAAGTGGGGACTCAATTATTAAGGGCCTTTGAATAATAAATATCAACTGATATTAGCCTCGGGCCAGAACGGAGCCATTGAAGAGTGTTTATTAAGAAGACATCGAATATGTAAAGAAGAATATAATGAGTCTTTACTTACACAAACCAGTTCCTTAACTACCAATTAATTCCCAGTCCTCTTGAGACCACTTCCTCTCTTCAAGTTTCTAGAAGAAACTTGAGGCAACTTTGAGTTACTGCATTATTATTGTAAATTTTTAACAGGAGGATGACATGAACAGTTTATATTTTACATTATACATTCCTAGTAATTCCAACTTACCTTTAAGATGCTCACATCATAATTTGGTGTTTATCATTTGGTTTGAATTTAAAACAGAATTAAAACTTTAGCTTCTATAACTGAAAATGAAAGCATTAAAAGTTAGTTTCTAGGATTTGGCTTTGATAATAGCAAAGACACTAGTCATGCGAGAGTGGAATTAGGTGTATAATTTTATGTATTTTATAAATGAAAGCTGAGGAATTTGTAAATCTTTTGTGGCTTAGATTTTATCTTTAAATTAAATCTGTACATAACTGCTTACTGAAATTTACTCTGATGGTAAAAATACCATAGTTTGCCTTTATTTTAAAGCTAATTAAAGCTACCTACAGGCCACAAATTAAAAGTCTCTCTTGTAATTAAAGTATTTCCATAATTCATTTGTTTTCATTGAAAGTAGTTTAGTCACTGTTAATTGTAATAGTTTGTAATTACGTTGTATTCATTCATTCATTTTGGGAGAACCAGTGATCTTAATCTAAGGTAGAGATTCGGGGCTGGAGAGTGGCTCAGAGGTTAAGAGCACTGGGTCCTCTTTCAGAGAATCCGGGTTCAAATTCCAGCATCCTTATGTCCAGTCCCAAGGGCTCTGACACCTTCACACCAACGCACATGAAATAAAAGTTAAATAAATGATTTAAAAAAAATAAAGTAGAGATTCACAAACTTTGGTGGCTAAGAGTGATTGTTACAGTTTAGTTTTTTTAAGGGAAGAATTTGTAACAGAAACCAAAGATACTCTTTAAAAAGTAAAATGTTTACTTACTGGCTGGCTCCTTATTGAGAAAAATTTCCAGTTTTTATCTGTATGAATGAAATTTAAGTTCTTGGAATATTTTTCTTTTCAGAATATTTTTTAATTTGTTTTAGAATTAACATTGAAAGTGTAAAATTTTCATTATTTTCTACAGAGAAGATGGTGAATTAGAAGATGGTGAAATAGATGACGCAGGGTTTGAAGAAATACAAGATCAGGAGGCAAAAGAGAATGAAAAACAGAAAAATGAGAAAGCCTACAGAAAATCAAGAAAAAAACACAAGAAAGAAAGAGAAAAGAAGAAATCCAAAAAAAGAAAGCATGAGAAACATAAGGTAAGTTAACATAACTTTCCATTCCTTTTTGTTCTTGTTTGCTTGCTTGCTTGTGTGAGACCATATCTCATGTAACTGAACTGTAGAATTCATTCTGTAGCTGAAGATGACCCTAAACTCCTGATTCTTCTTCTTTCCCCCCAGTGCAAGACTATTGTGTTTGGCGTAGACTATATATAGACACCGTGTCTTAAAACCACCCTCCCAAAGAAAGGCCTTTTATAATGATAAAACTCACAATTCAAAATGAATATATACATTATTAAATTGTATATTCTTGAAAATAACTACTGTCATAGAAGGAGCTGGTAATGACAAAGAGGAAGTAGAACACAGTAGTAATAAACAGGCTAATATAATTCACCTAATCCAGAGAGATCAATTTAAGCGCTTATCTGGCTATTCTTTATTAATAAAATTCAGGAATCAGAGATATCAGGGTAAGAACCTGAATATCAGAGAAGTGGTGGAGAAGCAACCAGAGACCTCCCCCTTCCTCCCTCATTCCTTTATCCAAAACTGGCCGAGACCTTCTCTAAGCCCCTGTCCTACTACTTTCTGTCTTTCTGTCTGTCCTCAGTCCTCCAAAACCTCTTTGGTTAATTTTGGTCAGCTAAAAACTAGATCTGTCCCCTGATTAAAAGCAAATTCTTATTGGCAGTCTCGGGAGTGTCAGAATGTGATCAAAATATCACACAGCAATCAATCAAGTAATGACTGATTGAGCAAACTTATCTCCTAATGGATAATTTATTTCAAACCCTAACCTCAATGGTTATGTATTTGAAATACTTGGTAGCATAATTGTAAAAAGGTTGTTCATCTGTCATCAAGACGGAAAACAGAAAACCAATCTCCAAACATTTAGAAGCAAAGGAATACTAAGCAAAGGAAAACAGACCCTGCCTCTATAAAAATCTTAGAGTTCAGTTCAATTAAATAGAATTTTACTTAGTTTGTGCCATACTTATGATGGAAATTTACAGATTAAAAAATGCAGAGCCAGTGTTTTTGTTGTAAAGAATACTAAGAACTGCTTAAAGAACTTAAGTTGAGGAGGTAATTATTTTGGCCAGACAAAAATGCTTGTACTACTGAGGTAGAGGCAGGTGGATGTCTGTGAGTTTGAGGATAGTCTGGTCTACACAGAGAGTGTCAAACTAGCCAGGATTACATAGTGAGACCTTGTCTCAAAAAACAAAAACAAAAATACTTGTTGGTTTTTTTTATTTGAAATTACATTACAATGTAAACAAACTTTTTCTCGTATTTTGCCAACTATTATCAACCACTTGGGGTTTTCATTTTACTTTTGTTCAATTTTGTTGACTGGATTCATTTCATGTAGGAAATTTGGAATAGTTTAGGATTTTCGTGCCAATAAGTAACTCCACAGCAACTTTAGGCAAGATCAAATGAATGCATATTCTACTCATGTTCTGAAACCTTTTGGTGAGGAGCCAATTTTATTTCCTTTAATATTAGATTAAACTGAACATGGTGGCACGCACCTGTAATACCAGCTCTGGGAAGCTGAGGCAGAGAGGCGTAAATGTATAAATGCCAAGTGATTTCTGTTTTAACCTCTTGGCATGGGGTTGATGAGAAACATATGTCCACAAAGTCCCTGAGCAAAAGGAGAAAAGTTCTTCAGCCTAGAAGTTGTGGTGGCCTTTAGAGCAAGACTCTCTCTTTTTGATTGTGAGCCTGGTATTTAATGGCTGAGTCATCTCCAACCTAGAGCAAGAATTTCTCAATGTCACCCAAGAGTCTAAGGCCATAGTGTACCCTACTGGTTGGCACTACTGGCGGAAACAAGCTTATGTGATTATGCGCTAGTTTTCTTCTTGTGAGTGAACACATTTCTTTGTTTCCTTTCAGCACAACTCTCCATCTGGTGATGAGAGTTCTAACTACAGCCTGGATTCAGATGTTGAACATACAGAAAGTTCCTATAAGAAAAGAGCTAGTTTCTACAGGGATTATGACATTCCATTTTCTCAGGTATTGTCTTTTTATTATGATAAAACATGTACAACATAAAATATACCAAGTAACTGCCTTTCAGAGTATGATTTAATGATATTAAATATATCTGAAGTATTTGCCTATCACCACGTCCATCTCCAGGCTTTGTGCACATTTGAAACAGAAATACTGTCCTTGGAGGAGCCCTGCTCCTCACTCCTCCAACTGCTGCCCTCATTTTCATCTATGAATTTGCCTTTTCTAGGGCCCTCGTATCATATACTTTTGTATAACATGAAATAATAAAAATCCAGAGACAGATATTGGGGTTCAATCTGAAGATCAGAAAAGCAAAGCAACCAATCACTAGAGAGACCTTTTACCTCTACCAATGCTCAGACTGAAGGGCAATCCTCAGACTGCCAAACCTCAGACTCCACATTTTACACTCTACTGAGTTCTTTTCCCGTCTCTTGGCTGCTTTGCCCTCTGATCTTCAGGCAAGCTTTATTTATTAAAACACAAATAATATACCACTTCACTTTTGTTCTTTTGAATCTGGCTTGTCTTAGCATGTTTTCAGGATTCATTCATGTTGAGCATATATTAAAATTTTATTCTTTTTAAGACTAAACAACATTCCATTGTTGTATAAGCTACATTTTTGCTTATCTGCTCATCTGTTGAAGGACCCTTGGATTGTTTGTACTTTTTGACTGTTGTGAATATCCAGTTTATGAAAATGGGTATAAAATTGTCTTCAAAACCTTTCATTTGTTTTCTTGGAGCATATGCCTAATAGTGAAATGATTGGTCGTTCTTTTAACTTTCTGAGAAGCACTAAGCTGCTCTCACAGACTGTACTGTTTCACATTCCCATTCGGGAAGCCTGAGCCATCTTCTTCTCTGTATCCTTGCCAGTGCCTGTTCTTCTCTGTTTTCCTTGGCTATTTTGAAAATGGGTGTTCAAGTGGTATTCATTGGTTTTTTAAAATTTCTTTTTGAGGCCGGGCAGTGGTGGCACACGTCTTTTATCCCAGCACTCGGGAAGCAGAGGCAGGCGGATCTCTGTGAGTTCAAAGCCAGCCTGGTCTACAAGAGCTAATTCCAGGACAGGCTCTAAAACTACACACAACCTGTCTCAAAAAACCAAAAAAAAAAAAAAATTCCTTTTAAAGGTATAAAATACAAGTTTAAGTTGCACATTTTTTGAAATTCTTTTTGTCATACTAACGTATGTTTGTCAGATACATGCTACAAACTCCTGTCTTTGAGATAAAGAATGCATTTTAATGCATTTTATATCAAGTTACTGGCACTGGTGTTGTCTGGATCACATATTAGACACTTTTTCTGAGTCTGAAGGCTAAAAGTCCCTATTTAAGATCCTAGCAGGGTTGGTTTCCAATGGCAGCTAAATGGAAGTATCTGTTTAGGCACCTTCCTCTCGGGTTTATAGATGGGCACCTTCTCACAGCTTTGCCCTCACATGGCCATGCTGCTGTGTACAGCAGCTCCTGGTGTCTCTGAACACACAGATTATTCCTCGTTATAAGAACACCAGTCAAGCAGGGCAGTAGTGGTGCATGCCTAAATTCCAGGACTTGGGAGACAGGGCAGGTGGATCTCTGAATTCAAGGCCAACCTGGTCTACAGAGTTCCAGGACAGCCAGGGCTACACAGAGAAATGCTGTCTTGAAAAAAAAAAACACAACAAAAGAACACCAGTCAAATTATATTAGAGGTTATTTTTAAGGCCATTCCCCAGATGAAGTCCCATTCTGAGCTACTGTGGTTAGAGCTTCTATACAGGAGCTTTTGGAGGGATACACTTCAGTCTATAGTGCACCTAGGCACATCACACTCAGCCTGCTTTCAAAGGGAGGTCATAACGAATTGTGAATATATGTGACATTGGCTCCTTTAAATGCAACAATCATTGGAATGTTTGAAAAATGGAAGAGTGGTAGCACACTTATCTAGCATGTTCTGGGTTTCATCCCCAGCACTAGGAAAAAAAAAAGGCCACAACATTATACTTCTTTATTAAATATGTATACTGCATGAACAAAGTCCGTACGTAACTATTTCTTAATCTGATAGTATTAATCTCCTATAAATTTAGAAACCAGATTAGTTTGTTTGATTATCTCTCTTGTCCTTTTTCTTAAATTTCAATTTTATTATTATTTTTTTTAATTTTTCGAGACAAGGTTTCTCTGTAGCTTTTGGTTCCTGACCTGGAACTAGCTCTTGTAGACCAGGCTGGCTTCGAACTCACAGAGATCTGCCTGCCTCTGCCTCCCGAGTGCTGGGATTAAAGGCGTGCACCACCACCGCCCGGCCTCAATTTTATTATTTTGTGTGCATGCAGTGCCCCCAGAGGCCAGAAGAGGGCAGTGGATACCCTGGGATTGGAGTTACAGATTATTTTAAATTGCTCTCTGGGTGGTTGAGATAGAACACTGGTCCTCTGGAAAAGTAGCCAGTGATATTATCCGCTGAGTCATGTCTCCAGCCCCATATTCTTTTGTGTACAAATGTACACAATGTGTACAAATGTATAAGTATTGCAGATGCGTTTGCACTTGTGTGTATACATGCGAAAGCCAAAAGACAACCTTGACTGTCATTCTCAGTCACTATCACCTTGCTTTTTGTTTGTTTCTGTTTCTTTGAAGATTTGTTTTTTTTAATATTTATTTATTTATTATGTATACAATATTCTGCCTGTGTGTATGTCTGCAGGCCAGAAGAGGGCACCAGAACTCATTACAGATGGTTATGAGCCACCATGTGGTTGCTGGGAATTGAACTCAGAACCTTTGGAAGAGCAGGCAATGCTCTTAACCGCTGAGCCATCTCTCCAGCCCCCTGAAGATTTGTTTTTAATGATGTGTAGGTGGAGGGGGAATAGTATGTGTACTTGTGTAGCGGCCCATGGAGGCTAGAAGTGTTAGAACTCCGGGACTGGAGTGAGCTGCTTAACCTGAGTTCTAGGAATCAAACTCAAGGCCTCAGGAAGGGCAGTATGCAGTCTTAATCACTGAGCATCTCTCCAGCCCTACTCTCCTTGGTTCTTGAGAAAATGTCTTTCATTAGCCTGTTGTCAATTGGGTTAGACTAGCTAGCCCATGAGTCTTGAGAATCTACTTGTCTCTGCCTCTCCAGCACTGGTATTACCCTGCCCAGCATTTTAAATGAGTTCTGGGGGAATGAACTCTGTTCTCTGCTTGCAAAGCAAGCACTTTACCAGATGAGCTAGTACTCCAGGCCCTGTTGCCTTCTTTATAGTTGGTGTTGCTAAATGACTAAAATGTTTAAGTCATCTTATTTTAAAAATTTTAGTCTTTTCCTCCGGCGCGCTACCGACGGTCCTATTGTCATCATGGGTCGCCGCCCCACCCGGTGGTACCGGTATTGTAAGAACAAGCCGTACCCAAAGTCTCGCTTCTGCCGAGGTGTCCCTGATGCTAAAATCCGCATCTTTGACTTGGGACAGAAGAAGGCAAAAGTTGATGAATTCCCGCTTTGTGGCCACATGGTGTCAGATGAGTATGAACAACTCTCTTCCGAAGCTCTGGAGGCTGCCCGTATTTGTTCCAACAAATACATGGTAAAGAGTTGCGGCAAGGATGGCTTTTATATTCGAGTGAGGCTTCACCCCTTTCATGTCATCCGAATCAACAAGATGTTGTCCTGTGCTGGGGCTGACAGGCTCCAGACAGGCATGCGTGGTGCCTTTGGGAAACCCCAGGGCACAGTGGCCAGGGTTCACATTGGCCAGGTCATCATGTCCATCCGCACTAAGCTGCAGAATAAGGAACATGTGATTGAGGCTCTTTGTAGAGCCAAGTTCAAATTCCCTGGCCGCCAGAAGATCCACATCTCAAAGAAATGGGGCTTTACTAAGTTTAATGCCGATGAATTTGAAGACATGGTTGCTGAGAAGCGACTCATTCCTGATGGCTGTGGGGTCAAATATATTCCTAATCGTGGTCCCCTGGACAAGTGGCGAGCCCTACACTCCTGAGGGCTTTCATGGTGCTCTCCTGTACCCTACCAAATCATGTTCAGTAATAAATCTCACATCCAGTCTGCTTACAAAAAAATTAAACCGTAGTCAATAATTTTATCTCACTGTGCAAATATTAGAATTAATACCACATAACTGGGTGGTGGTGACATGGCACCCAGCACCAGGGAGGGATAGAGGTAGGCAGAACTCTGTGAGTTTGAGCCAGTCTGGACTATAGAGACACTTTTAAGGCAGATAGGGTGGTTACACAGAGAAACTCTGTCTCAAAACAAAAACAAAACAAAACAAAAAACATAAAATAAATAAGTAAATAAAAAGAATTCATACCACACCACATTTAAAGTGCAGTAAGCTAATAGCAAGGTACTGTCTTTGCTTTTTCTTAGTCTTCAAGTAATAATTCTGTGGAACTTTTCTTGTTTTATTAAAAAGTTGACAAGATATTTTAGAACTAATTATAAAGTACTTGAATGAAAGATTTAAATGAATATTATCACTAATTAAACTTCTAGTACTAAATTATATACCGTTTTTTGCACTTTAGTAAGGATGCAATGAAATTAATGTCTCTTGTAAACAGATTTTTAATAAGCAATTTTTTCACTCAGTGTTACTTCACTATTAGAGAAAGCTTCTCTCTTTGTGAAAGATGTCAGATATGATTTTTTGAAAAAATTTTACATCTTATTGTATACATCATTTATAAGAACATTTTCACATAAGTGTATAATGTATACTTAAGATACTCCCTGCCATACTCCCACCTTTGCCTTTCTCACCCTCCGTGTTTAGTCCACCGAAAACAAGTTTCATTTCTACTTCCATGGCATGTGTACACATGATTTTATGTGTCTATATAAAGTTTAAGACACAAAGAAAACACAGTATTTGTCTTTCTGAAATTGGCTTAATTATCTTAATATGATAATCTCCAGTTGCATACATTTTCCTACAAATGCCTGAAAAACATGGTCTATTCCTCTGCTAATGGCCACCTAGGCTTGTTCCATAACATAGCTAATGTGCAGTGCTGCAGTAGACACGGATGTGTGAGTATCTCTGTGATACACTGATTCAGACTCCATTGGGTAAGTAGTCTGTGCCATCTTCATCATCAATCGTTATTGTTATAGCTTAGCATTGCTTTCATTATTCAGAGTCCCATATTTCTTTATGAATTTTAAGATTTTTCAGCTTCTGTGAAGTAGGTATTGTTATTTTGATGGTGATTGCCTTTAATTTGTAGATTGCTTTTGATAAGATAGCCTTTTCATTCTTCTAATCCATGATGGGAATTATTCCCATCTTCTAGTGTCTTCTTCAGTTTCTTTGTCCAGCATTTAAGTTTTCATTATTGAGTACTGTAGTTGGATTTTTCTTTTTGGACTGCCAGCTCACAAATGGCACAGAGACTTATTATTAATTGTGAAAGCTCCGTCTTAACTTAGGCTTATTCTTAACTAGTTATTGTTACTTAAATTAACCCATATTTTTAATCTATGTTCTTCCATGAGGCTTATTACCTCATCTCAGCTTCCTCTGTATCTGGCTGGCAATCCTGCCTTTGTTCTTTCTAGACTTCTCTCGGCTCAGACGTCTGTCCTATATGCTCCTTCCTGACTATTGGCTGGTCAGCTTTTTATTGCACCAGTCACAGCAACACATCTTCACACAGTGTACAGATATCCCACAACAGGGTACTTCTTACTTCCTTAGCTAGATTTAGTCTAAGTATTGGCTTCTAAGAAAATAATTATGAAAGGGATTGTTTTTCTGGTTTCATCTTCAACATGTTTGATATTGGTATAAAGGGCGACTACTGATTTTTGTGTTAATTTCATAACTTGCTATGCTACTTTTCTGAAACTGTTTATCAGATCTGAGAGTTTGTGGATGGAGTTTTCAGGGTCTCTATGTATAGAATCCTATCACCTGTGAATAAAGATGCTTTTACTTCTTTGTCCTATGTATCTTTTATTTTCTTCTTTGTCTTATTGCTCTAGCTAAGACTTCATGCATTATATTGAATAGGAGTGGAGACTGAACATTTTTGTCTTGTTCCTAATTTTAATAATCTTAGACCTGCCTGCCTCTGACTCTGCAGGGGATTAAAGATATATGCCTCCACACCCACCATACAATGGTTTAAATTGTCAATTTGACACAATCAGAGAGTCTTAGTGATTATCTGGATTAGGTTAGCTTTTAGGGGATTTTCTTAGTAGGTTGAATTGAGGTTGGGAAGACCCACCCTACATGAGGGCAGCATCATTTCATGGACATGATGAGTGAAATGGAGAGGAAAGAACAAGCTGAACGCTAGAAGCATGTATGTATTCATTCATTGATCCACTCATTCATTCATTCTTATGCTCTCTGGTCCTGACTGTGGAGGTGATGTGACCGACACCCTGGAGCTCCTGTGACTTCCCTGCTATGATAGCCTATGACCTGAAACTGTGAGCTGAAACAAACCCTGAATTGTTTGTGTCAGGGTGTTTTATCATAGTAACAGGAAACAAAACTAGGACACATACATTTTGATGTGTTATGTTATAATTTAGTTGAGTTTTAGTAATTTTAAAATTTCTGTTCTGAGGCACTGGATAACTCATTCATCATTCAGGAGTGTGGTTTTCAATATTCATGAATTTGTATATAGTTTCTATAGTTTCTCTTGTTGATTTCTAGTTTTATTTCATTATGCTCAAATAGAGTACAGGAATTATTTCAATTTTCCTGTGTTTGTTAAGATTTGGTTTATTCACTAGTCTGGCTCATGGGGACTTACAGAGTCTGAACCAACAATCAGGAAACCTGCATGGGACCTACTTAGGCCTTCTGCATATATGTGGCAATTGTGTAGATTGGTCTGTATGTGGGACTCCCGGCAATGGGAGCAGAGCTGTCCCCCGTGTTTTGACTGGCTGTTAGGAACCTATTCCTCATGCTGAATTGTCTTGTACAGCCTGAATACAGGGGGCAGGGGACTTGGTTTTGTGGTAGCTTGATTCCCATGCTTTGCTGAAGCCCATGGGAGACCTGTCCCTTTCTGAGTGATTATGAAGGAGGGGTAGATTGGGAGGAGCAGAATGGAGGGAAAGGAGGCAGGGGAAGATGTGGTTAGAATGTAAAATAAATAAATTAATAAACAAGACTTGGTTTATGTTCTTTTACATAATTTATTTTGAAAAAAAAATCCATCAGCTGCTGAAGAGAATATGTATTTTGCTATGTTTGGATGAGGTGTACTGTAATTGTCTTAGGTCCATTTGATTTATGATGTAAACTCAAATGTTTCTTTTTCTTGTCACAATGACCTGTCTACTGATGAGAGTAGAGTATTGAAGTCACTCACGATTATTGTGTTGAGGTGAATCTTACATCCCTACATCTAGTAGCATTTGTTTTATGAAATGAGGTTCACCTGTGCTTGGTGTGTATACCTTTAGAATCGTAATACCCTTTTGATGGGTTTCCTTAATCAGTAAGAAATGGCCTTCTCTTTATCTTCTTATTTTTGTGTGACATCTATTTGATCAGTTTGTGTGACATCTATTTGATCAGATATTAAAACAGTGGTAACTGCATATTTCCTATTTCTATTTTCTTGGAAAACCTTTTTAATCCCTTTACTCTAAGATTGTGTATGTCTGACTTTTTTTACAAAATTTTTTACATATTTTTTAATTTTTTCCATTTTTTCCTTTTATTGAAAATAGATTCTCAGACTGGGAATGGTGGCACAGCTTTTAATCCCAGTACTTGGGAAGCAGAGGCAGACGGAGCTCTGTGAGCTCAAGGCCAGCTTGGTCTACAGAAAAATTTCAGGACAGCAAGAGCTGTTATACAGAGAAACCCTGTCTAAATAAAACAAAATGAGGAAGAGGAATGGGAAAAAGTGTATAGCTCAATAAAAACAATAATTAAAGAAGAAAACAAAAAAGAAAATAGATTCTTTTTTCATAGCCTGATTACCGTTTCCCCTCCCTCTATTCCTCCTAGTTCCTTCTTACCTCTCCTCCCATCCAGATCTATTCCCTTTCTAGAAATTCTAGTTATTTCAGAAAATATCAGATTTCTAGGAAAGAACAACAAACATGACAAAATAAAATATAAAACAAAACCATCACGTTGAGTCTGTACAAGGTAACCCAACAGAAGGAAAAGAGCTGCAAGAGGAGGCACAAGAATCAGAGACCCACTTATTTTATAGGACACACTCAGGCATCCTATAAAAACAGAGCTGAAAACTAATATATAAGCAGAGGATCTAGTATAGACCTGTGCGTGCTGCTTCAGTTTATATGAGCCTTGCTCAGTTGATTCAGAGGGCCTTGTCCTCCTGGTGTCCTCCATCCCCTCTGGATTTTTTTTTTTTTAAGATTTATTGATTGATTAACTGATTGGTTTTTTCGTGATAGTATTTCTCTGTGTATATTTGGAGCCTGTCAGGCTGGCCTCAAACTCACAGATCTGCCTGTCTCTGCCTCCTGAGTGCTGGGATTAAAGACGTGCACCACTGCTGCCCATCTGGATTTATTTATTTTTTATGTGCATTGGTATTTTATCTGCACGTATGTCTGTGTGAAGGTGCCAGATCCCCTAGAACTAGAGTTACAGACTGTTGTGAGTTCCAAAGACTCTCCGTGTAATGTCTGGCTGTGCGTCTCTATATCTGTTCCTGTCCACTGCAGAAGGAAGTTTCTCTGATGATGACTGAATAAAAGTACTGATCCACGAGTATAACAGAGTATCATTAGGAGTCATCGTATTGATAGTTTTTTGTTTTGTTTGGCTTTGTTTTTAAGCTAGTAGTGTTTGGTTTTACCTTAGGTCTCTGGCCTATCTAGTCTCTGGTTCTTAGTCTCCCAAGCATTGTTGGATGTGGGCCTTAAGTCAAATCAGACATTGGTAGACTGTTTGCTGCCACTGTTGTCCTAGTAAATCTTGCAGGCAGGACAGACCATAGGTCAAAGTTTTTGTGGCTAGGTTTCTCTTTTGGTAGCTTGCAGAGTACCTTCCTACACCAAAGACACTAGAACATAGAGATGAAGGCTCCATGTTGGCACCAGCTTGACTTCTCATTCATGCTCAATGAGTTGTATTTGTGTTGTCTTTGGCAGTGGGGCCCTGCTGTTAGGTGGCAGAGAGAACCCATTGTCTTAGCAAAAGCCTGGGTTTGAGGATTTCCATTGGACCCCTTTGAACAACAACTCAATTGAATGCAACCCAGTCCCAATACTGGAAGCATTGTTTGGTGACAAGAGATGGCCAGCAGGGACTCTGTCTCCCTCATTTTTAGGATACCTCATTAGGATAATCTTCATATATTTTAGGAAGTTTCCAGTGGACTAGGGTTCCATATCATCCCTCAAATGTCCCTCAGTTCCAGCTGTCTCTTCCTGAAATTCCTTCCTTAACCTTATCTCCCCTCTGATCCTCTCATTCTGTCTCCAATCACCTGATGTCCACTCCTATTTAATCTTTAATTTTTAATATATGCATATTTTTGTATTATCCCTAAGCTGCTTTACTATTTTCTTTAATTTTAGAAAAGACTTTCATAGTGTTACAGCTGTAAGGTGAAGGGTTTCCCCAAAGCAAGTGTTACAGCTCTGTTTCAATCTGTATGATATCTTAATATTTCAACTAGAAATGTAATTCTAATATTTTTAAATGTATATAACATTACAACAAAAACGCTGACAGTCTGGAGCCAAGGAATACCACAAAGTCAAACCACACAACATACCTCACTCAAAAGATTTGTTGGGAAAGACACATGAGACTGGTTGTTTCTGCATGGATGAAAAGCAGCAAAGAACTGAGCTGGAGGTAGGCTTTATATAGAGGGTGGAGTTCTTGGGAGTGGAGCTTCTCAGAATGGTGATTTCCAGCATAGGGATTGGTGTGATTTCACGTCTTGCTCTTTGGGTAAGCTCAGGGATTGGTGATTTTTTGAGCTTAGGGATAGGTGGAATTTCAAGAATTGAGCCTAGGCTTTTTACTTGGTGTAAAAAGGGCAGAGTTTGGCTGCCTGTATCTGGAGGGGCTGGTTCTGTAGGTTGATCCTGAAAGTTGGAGATCCTCAGATGTGGGGCCTGGCCACTCCATGCCTCAAGGAGCTTAGACCTTTTTATTTGGAAAATGGTCTTATATATGAGGGCATGGATTTGAAAATAGCTGTATGCCTATAACTATTGAGACACAGACACGGAAAATAAAAGCTAAAGAATAAAAAGTACAATGTTTTTGTACAGAAAGTACAATAAAGAGGTGGCATTTAATGTACTGAATTTAGTGTTAAGTATATTCATAAGGAAATACTAATGTAGTCAGAACTAATAACTGGCTTCTATCCTTTGTTCTCTCAACTTCTGGGGAAAAAGATACTCTTGCTATCAGTTACTATTATTAGTTGAACATTTCTGATAATGATTGTCCATTTTTACCTAGCATGGACATATATCAGGAAGTTACATGACATCAAAGAAGAGTCAACATAACAAAAAATTCAACAGTAAAGAATATGCTGAGTCTAGTTTCTACAGTGATGACAACTTTGGTAACTACAGTGATGACAACTTTGGTAATTACAACCACGAGGGAGAAGAAGACTTTTCCAGTCAGCTGAAGTACTATAGACAATCTCAGGAATCTTCGGGGTCATCATTTTCTAAAGAATCAGGGAAAAAACAGAGAACTAAAGGAAGCCCGCCAGGTGAGTTTAAAGTTAGCCTGTCTTAGAATATGAGAACCGTATAGATTTATAATAACAAATTTCTTAGTTCCTTTTTTAAGAATAAATCTAATGTTTTTTAAAAGGGAGGTAGCTTTTAAAAAGGGTGTGGTTGTGCATGTCTTTAATCCCAGCACCATGGAGGCAGAGGCAGGAGAATGTATGTGAATTCAGTGTCAGCTTCGTCTACATAGTGAGCTCTGATCAACCAGAACTACATAGAGACCCAGTCTCAAAACAAAACAAAACAAAAAGAATGAATTATGAACCAGATGTGGTTGCTTATGCTTATAATCCCAGCACTTGAGAAACTGAGATGGAAAGATCACTGGGGACTCTAGGCCAGCCTGGACTACAAGGTCAGACCCTGCCTCAGACAAAAACAAACTAAAATAATCAATTATGAAAAACAAATTTCCACAATTTAAAAACATAGCCATACACAGACATTTGAATTCATATGACAAGTTGACATCTGAAAAGTTGATAGGCCAGTATTTTTATAACTATACTTTTCAGCACGTAAAAGTGCACATTCTCTAAATTCCTGTCAGCACAAATCCTTATAGTTTTGAGATAAATACAAGTGTGTTCTCTATTTGCTATTTAATTTTTTTATTTTTAAATTTGTTATTTTTAAGTGTGTGTGTGTGTGTGTGTGTGTGTGTGTATGTGCACGCGCGCATGTGCACAGGAGTTCAGGTGCCCACAAAGGCCAGAAGAGGGATCAGATCCTCTGGAGCTGAAGTTAAAGATGGTTGTGAGTTGCTTAATGTGGGTTCTGGGAACTGAATTCAGGTCTTCTGCAAGAGCAGTGTGTAGTTTTAACTGCTGAGCCATTTTGGTAGCCCTCTTGATTTCCTGTAACAAAGTGAAAGTTTTCACATATTTATTGGTTGCTTAATAGGTCATTAAAAAGCTTATTAGTTCTGTATAACTTTGATAAAATATTAAAGTTACATTGTATTGTAATTTGGTATCCTGTTTATATTGTTTGTTTTCAGACAGAGTCTCACTGGGTAACCCTTCCTGTCCTGGAACTCATGGTAGTGCTCTTGCCTATGCCTCCCAAGTACCAATATACAATTTTTCAAATTGGACATCTTTTCAAATATTTTATTTTTTGCAGTGCTGGAGAGTGAACCTAGGGCCTCATGTATGCCAGGCAAGCAGTCTACCAGTAAGCTGTATCCCTGGAGCACCCTTTTAGATACTTTAGTTGGGTCCAACATCTTATTGTGTAGCCCAATGTAGTCTCAAGCGTGTGTTCCTCTTACCTCAGCCTCTCAAGTGCTAGGATCAGCCTCTTTAATGCTAGGGATACACTTTAAAATCTCGTCATTTTCAAAAACAATGAATGAAGATATGTGTGTATATATAGAAACAAAATTATCAGTAGAAATCGGACTTGCTACAGATAAACTGCTGTATATATATATATATCTTTATATATATTTATCTTTATATATATCTTTCTTAAAATCTTTTTATATCTTTATTATATCTTTATATATATATATATCTTTCTTAAAATATGGATATAATGGTTAGTTTACTTGTTAATCATCTTATTCCAAGATGGGGAGGGAGAGACAAGAGTAGCTTTTCTAGACATGGATACTCTTAAGCCTTGCATCCTGTGCAGCTAACACTGCCATCTTCTGAGCAGGAAGCAACACTCAAAAGATAGAGCTGAGTTAACTTTCTCACTGGCTCTTAGGGGGAAAAGGATGATTCACTGTAGACTATTAAAGACAGATTGGTACTTGTAAGCTAATTGATGTTAGTTACACTACTTTTCTGTAATATTTGAAATACGTTTTAACTTTTTCAGGTACTGAATATCGAATTAAAAGTTTTAATACTAGTCATGGACATACTTTGCCGAAGAAAATCAAAAGAAAAGAACACCGTGGGGCAAGAGTGACTAAAGGCCCTAATGTTTTTTCAGGAATGGATGACTTTCAAGAGGTACTGAGAACTTATATGTAAGGCGGGAAAGGCCTTTTTTCATTTTTTTAAAATCACTTGGTTGCAAAGAATGCATAATGCTACTATCTGAATCAATGAAAAATTTTCAGCTGAGATCCAAAGAATATGAATAAAATTCTTCCAAAAGAATTTACTATAAATTAATACATATTAGGCATGGTATTAATATATAGATACACATTTAAGAGACCTAGGAATAAAATGAGTGTATGTGAAAAGCCTCAAAATAAAATTGATATGTTTCCAAGCAAAAACATACCCCTATTCTGCCTTCACTGTGCTTTCCTTTCTTAGAGGTCATTCTCCCCAATGCAAATAGCTATAACAGGGGAATATAGCTCAGTGGGCCAGGAAGGAAGGTGCTAGTAAGTTTATCTAATTATCAGAGCTGAGAGCATTGAAAAGGGGAAAAGGGTGTATAAATGATCAGAAAGATGAACTTAAATACTTTTTATGTAACAGTTCTTCAGCAAATACATGTTAGATTGAGTTGAATTTTTGTGCATGTGTATTTCAGCAGCTCTGACTTGGAGTTATCCATTTCTGTATTCTATCACAGTTCTAGCTTTGATTCAGTTAGATGGAAGCAAGAGTGCTCTAATGTGCTCATTACATTTTATGTATTTTGTGCTCATGCATGAATATGTAGGGACAGCACAGACGGAGGTCAGAAGACAACCTGCTGCTTCTTTCCACCATGTGGGTCTCATAGGTCCTGGGATTTGGTGCAGGGTCCTCAACCAGCAGACTCTCTCATAGGCACCAGAATAGACTTTTAAAAACAGCAACCTTGGCCGGGCAGCTGCGGCTCATGCCTTTAATCCCAGCACTTGGGAGACAGAGGCAGGTGGATCTCTGTGAGTTTAAGGCCAGTCTGGTTTACAAGAACTAGTTCCAGGGCAGCTAGGGCTGTTACACAGAGAAACCCTGTCTCAAAAAACAAAAATCAAACAGACAAAAAACCCAGAAACCTTGAGTAAACTACATGGCTATAGTTTGAAAATGCTTGTTTTGGGGCTAGAGAGAAGCCTTAGTGGTTAAGAGCACTTACTGCTATTGCAGAGAACACAGATTCAATTCACAGCACCTATATGGCAGCTCATAACCACCTATAACTCCAGTTCTAGGGGATCTGACATACTCTTCTGGCCTCTTCAGGCACCAGGCACACACATGATGAACATAAATACTGTAGGCAAGATATTCATACACAGAAAATAATAATACATCTTTAAAAAGAAATAAAAATGTTTGCATTTTGATGGATATTTAGACAATGGGCAGAGGTTTCTTACTGTTTACTACTTAGAATACTATTTAAGGGTATATTCACAAGTTTGATCTAAAAATAAAAACTGCCATAATGATATTTGTACCCATGTATTTATTGCTGTTTTATTCTATGGTAAAGAATTGAAGAATTGCAATCAACCTAGTGGCCCATCAACTGACAAATGGGTAATGAAAATTTGGATATAAAATTGATAATTTTCAAATCTAAAAATATGTAATCACAAAATTTTCAGGAAAATAGATGAACAATAGAATATGTGATGTGAAACTAGCCCACAAAATCTTAGAAACAAAAAAGTGTGTGTTCACCCTCATGTGTAGAATCCAGCCAATAGTCGCTGTGTACATGTGAACAAATGCACAGTGGGCACAGAAGAGCATGTAGAAAAGAGAACAAGAAAGGCCAGATAATAGGGGAGAGAGGGACCAGAATATAGGGGAGAGGGACCAGATAATAGGGGAGAGAGGGACCGAATGCCAGTAATGAACGCGAGCTATCAAAGGGCGTATTCCCATGTGTCTCTAGTTCTAACTCTCATGGACTTTTCAGTTTACATGGTGGATATGTGCATAATATATTTGGTAGTGCTCCACAGCTTCTCTTTCAAATGACTACACTTACTCTTTAGAGCAGTGGTTCTCAACCTTCTTGATGCTGTGACTCTTTAACACGATTCCTTATGTTGTGTGATTCCCAACCATAAAATTATTTCCAATGTAATTTTACTACTTTTATAAATTGTAATGTCAGTATTTTTTTTGGAGATAGAGGTTTTCCAAAGGGATCATGACTCATGGGTTGAGAACCACTGGAAGGTTATTGAACTGTGAAAACTTTGGATCTGATTAATTTCAGTGTGTGATTTTGTTTGCAAGTTTTTTTTATAATAAGGTTAAAAAAATTAAAAGTTTGTGCTGAAGAGATGGCTCAGCAGTTAAGAGCACTTGTGTTTATAGATGATCTTGGTTTTGTTCTTAGCACCCACATAGTGGCTCACAGCCATTCATAAATCCAGTTCCAGGGGATCTGCCACCCTGATTTGACATCAAGCACCAGACATTCACATGATAGATAGACATATATACAGGCGAAACAGTCATACATGAAAATAAACAGATATGAAAATCTTTTAAAGTTCATGACCAGATTAATTTGTAAGATGCAGTAATACCACCCTGATTTAGGGGATATCAGTCAACATTTCATGTATGAAAAGCTGTGAGCAGGTTAGGCATAACGAGGCCTTTTTTACTTTTTTTTTTTTTTTTTTTTTTTTATTTATTTACTATACAATATTCTTTCTGTGTGTATGCCTGAAGGCCAGAAGAGGGCACCAGACCTCATTACAGATGGTTGTGAGCCACCATGTGGTTGCTGGGAATTGAACTCAGGACCTTTGGAAGAGCAGGCAATGCTCTTAACCACTGAGCCATCTCTCCAGCCCCCTTTTTTACTTTGTTAATCCATTGTTCTTGGCTCTCCTTTCCTCACCTACTAGTGTTTAGTCAGCATCTCCTGTTCCATGGATAAGAGATTTCATATCATAGTTTTTGCTATAACTGTATCTGTTCATTTTCCTAGGCATAAAAGATTTCTAGAATGTGTTGCTTTTAAGTAAAGTAAACCTTTTAAGTAAGCTTGCTCCATTCCTGATACTTATACAATAGGCATAAAAATAATTCATTCTCAAAAAAGTTCCTGTCTGTTTCTACTTAACTCTGTAAAATGCAGGCATATAGTGTTAACTCTTGAGGATGCCTACAAACACTAACATTTTAAACGCCTCTAGATGCAGGCGCTAACTGGTTTCTTTATTACTCAGTAGGGAAATCGAGATTAAAATTTATTATCAACTGTGTTAGTTAATTGACTGTAATGAGAGAAACTTTGTATGCAAGCACATGTGTCAGTGTGTGTTCATGTATGGTGCACATGTGTTTGTAAACACCTTATATGTGTTGCTCAAGAGCTGTGCACCTTTTTCGCGACAGGGTCCCTCATTAGGTTGGCTGACTGGTCAGAGATCCCCAAGAATCTGCCTGTGTCTACCTTCCTAACACTGGGATTACAGACACAAATCACCATGTCTGACTTTTTTATGTAGGTTTTGGGGCTCAAACATAGGCTCTAATGTTTGTCTCATTCACTGTACTGACTGTACTAATCTCCCCAGCCCAGAGATACTTATGATTCTATGTTGTGTGATATTTTACTCTTTTGGATTTTTGAGGGGCCTGCCACCTAGTTCCTAAATAAATGGCACTCAGAGGCTTATTCTTAATTATAATTACCTGGCCCTAGCTTGCCTTGTTTCTAACCAAACTTTTCTTAACTTATATTAGCCCATCTACCTTTTACCTCTGGGCTCTTAACTTTCTTACATCTGTATGTCTTACTTTCTTACTCTGTGGCTGGCTGTGTTGTTGAGTGGCTCCCCCTAATTCCCTCCTCCCCTTGTTCTCTTGCTCCTTCTTGCTTCCCAGATTTTTCCTTCTACTTATACCCTCTGCCTTTCAGCCCCACCTATCCTTGTTCCTGCCTCACCATTGGCCGTTCATTTCTTTATTAGACCATCAGGTGGTTTAGACAGACACTGTAACAGTTTCACAGAGTTAAGCAAATGCAGTGTAAACAAAAGTAACACACTTTAACATAATATTCCCCAGCAATTAATTGTAGGCACATGCAAAAGCCCAAGGGAAAGGGGAAACTAATCAAATGAGAAAGAATAATAGTTACTGGGTTCATATTATGTTCAAAGCATAGTTCATACTTGAAAAGCATTATTATATAAAATTTGTGATTGTGTATCATTACAGTTAGCCTGCTTCAGTGATATATTCTGCCTCCTTATTCCATCTTATACTTAGGACCAAAGTTGAATAGTAAGTGGGAACTACAGAAAGAAGTAAAGCTGTGAAGTTGCTTCTTCACTTAATGTACTTCTTTCTCTTCCCTTAAGTTTGAAGGTAACTTGTGACTTCTGTTCTTTCTTCTCTAAGGAAGCGCACAGAAACCACACTGTACAAAACCTCTCATCCCAGCATCTGAACACATGCACTGAAATGGGAAGACAAATCACTTTAGTCATTACCTTTGCTTTACTTACTGGAAATTAGGTCAGGTTTTTGTTCAATAAAGGATTGTGAGCATTTCTTGTATTCTAAAGTTCTTTCTGTTACATGATTTCATTATGACTTCATGATATTCTACCACCTTAATGTAGCTTAGCATAGTTGATCGAGATCCTAGTTTTGTCCAAGTTCAGTGTTTCCAGTGGCAAGTGATTTTGCAATAATTACAGTAAATAAATTTTTGTGTGTGCTTCCCTATTCTTAGACTAATTCTGAAAATTTAAAATTCTGTATTTAACAATTATGTATTTGCTTGTTTTTTTGGTGCTGGAGATTGACCTGGACCTTGTGCAATGCTAGGCAGGTAGTGACATGCTGAGCTGCAGCCTTGGCATCAGGGTGGGTGTTTTAAAGTTGCTGATAATGTTTCTGTCAGCAATTCATAGGAGTCTATATTTTATAGTACCTTTACCCAATTATTATGAAATTTCAAGCCTTTTATAATCTTATTTTTAAAATTTATCTTTAAAAGGAAAAAGGCTCCCTTGCAGCCAGTTGTAGCAATAAACAAGACTACCAGAAGCATTTCTCTCCAGTTAAGCGAGTAGACTCAGAATGTCTAATCTTGATTACTATTAATAGTTAATTTATACTGCTTTCCAGATCCATGTAAGTATGTTTAACATGTATTGATATTTCATATCTTACATTCCAGTGAATCTTTTCTTGCAGTACAATAAGCCAGGGAAAAAGTGGAAAGTTATGACTCAGGAGTTTATTAACCAGCACACAGTGGAACACAAAGGAAAACAGATCTGTAAATACTTCTTGGAAGGGAGGTGTATTAAGGTAAGTGTTACCATAAAGAGTATGATAGAGCATTCTAACTTTCAAAGTAATATTTAGAATTTAGTCCTTTGAGGAGTGGATATTTTCTTTTACTGCTCAGATAGCTGCAATAACACTAGATATTTAAGATGTACCTTGCATGAAATTACTGTATATACAAACTCATTTAATTATATTCTGGGACAGCAACAAAGAAAGGGAAGAAAACAGATTTCACTTGGCAGATGTGTTGACGTTTGTGACAGATAGCATTGTGGCTCTCTGGCAGTGTGACAGAAAGCATTCATGGTCTGGCTGGAGCATGGTGTTTACTCCTAGGGATGCACTGCTTAGCTGCTGCTGTTAGCTCCGATGTAGGCATGACACCAAGAGGTCAAATAAGTTCCTATGCCACGTCTAGAAATGGTGGGTGCTGGTGGGACACTGGCAGTCCTGAGGCCACATACACTGCGTGGGCAGGACTTGAGAGAGATTATCTACATCCTTGTAGCTCAGTATTTAACACTAAGGATAATGACTAGAATCCCACCGTGGATACATGGCGAGAGTAGATCTGAATTCTTCCTTTCTGTTTTCTTTTGTTTAAACAGGGAGATCATTGTAAATTTGATCATGATGCAGAATTGGAGAAGAAAAAGGAGATCTGCAAATACTATTTACAAGGATATTGTACCAAAGGAGAAAACTGCATTTATATGCATGATATCCTTTATAGAAATGTGTATCAACTAACATACTGATATTTCATCATTGTGGTTTTTAAAAAATCATAAGTACAATCTAAAAATCCTAGCTTGGTTTTTATATTTAAAGCGACACATTATATAAACCCAGTCTTGCCATCCTCTATACTTCAAACATGCCAAGTGCTCAGGAATATAGGAATGCATTTCTTTATAACCCAGGGGAATAGAAAACCTTATTATGGCTCAAACCAGAATCGATAAGGGAAAAGACTAAAAATGTGGCTGCAAGCATTTAAATTTTACAACAAAAATCTCCAAGCTAAGTAAACACATTAAAACATGGGAAATTATATAAAAAATATATGAGTTTTATAAATTCTGCGAGAGTTTCCTAAAAATTGAGAAGAGTGGGAGCAGGAAAGAAAGATAATTCACAGAAAAAGAACAATAAGTGGTCAAAAATCAAATGGAAGGATGCTTTATCTTGTTCACAGTAAGAGGAATACAATTAAAACCACACCAAGATAACAGCCATCAGATGTGTACACACACACACACACACACACACACACAATTTGTTTGTTATTAGCAAGGCTATGAGAAAAGAGACACACTAGAATTTTCTTGATGAGAAGGTCACAGTAGCACACCTTTATCTATTGTGCTGTTTGTCCTCCAAAAGAGTGTTTTTGAGCCGGTTTTGGCGACACACGTCTTTAATCCCAGCACTCCAGAGGCATAGCCAGGCAGATCTCTGTGAGTTTAAGACCAACCTGGCCCATAGATTGGGTTCCAGGACAGCCAGGGCTACACAAAGAAATCCTATCTCGAACCCTACCTCACCAAAGAGTGTATTTGATAATCTGACAAATACACCTCATTTCTTTGTTAAAATATAATTTGTTTTGGTCAAGAAAATACAAGTATATTGTTTTCAGATTTGATAGCATTTTTCAGAAACCAGATATCAAATTCTGTTTTTAAAAGTTTCTACTCGGTTCTTAGGATCTCATTTTACTTGTAAATAAATGATATTTTATTTCAGTAACTTTTGTTATATTTCATTATAGTTTTTGATTATTCTGGGGGGTTGTCTCCTTGTTTTCTGTTTTTGAGTCAGAGTTTCACTATATAGCCCAGACTGACTTTACACTCACCTTATTGCCCAAGGCAGTCTTGAATTCTCTTGGCGTTGTGGGATTGCAAATGTATGTCACCATGACTTTTATAATTTTAATTATTTTCAGTATACCTTTACAGAAATGTTTAATAGTAGTGATTGAGGCAGACAAAATATTTGTCGAAACATAGATGGTTGTGAGACACCATGTGGTTGCTGGGACTTGAACTCAGGACCTCTGGAAGAGCAGCCAGTGCTCTTAGTCTCTGAGACATCTCTCCAGCCTTTTCTTAACAATTTTTAAGAAGGTATAACATGAAAGTGTTAATTGTAGGTACAGTGTTATACAGCAAATATCTGGAAGTGAATCATCTTTATAACAGTTTTTCAAAGGAAAAAGACTCGACCTTGGGCCTGGGATGATGGCTCCGGAGAATGCTTGCTATTCAAGCATGAGGAGCTGAGTTCAGATCTCTAGCACCCATGTTAAAGTTGGGTGCAGTGGCATGTGTACATAGTGTTGGGTGGTAGATGGAGACAGACAAGTCCCTAGAGGTCACTGGTCAGCCAGTGTAGCTGAATGTTGTGAGTTCCAGCTTCAGTGACAAACTGTCTTAAAAATTAAGGTTGAGAGTGATAGACACTCAGTGTTGATCTCTGCCTTCCATGTATACAGGCACATGTATGTGCACATGTGCATGCACAGGTTTGCACACACACAGTTATCCTTGCTCGTACTCGGTCTGTTCCTTAATGCTTTTGTTTACGTGAATTTCCTTGCAAGTTTTATCATAGTGGAGCAAAGTGCTACCAAGGAGACAACTGCAAGTTTTCCCATGATGATCTGACTAAAGAGACAAAGAAACTTTTGGACAAAGTGAGTTGTGCTTGTGCACTGTTGATTATTTGTTAGATCTTCCCTCAGATTTTACTTAAATCAGACCTTATAAAGAGTATTTTATAAAGTTGCTAAGAAATTGAGGAACATCCTGTAGGTTTTGTTCTAGTAATATAGTTTGTTGGAAAATAGAATTATTGGTCTAGAAATTTGAGAATATTTTAATCTGATCCCTATTCTGATACTAAAAGAAGTAATTTACTTTGAACAATACTCCAAACTTACTAGGGATCAAGAGTTCTAGAATCTTGGCCTTTATTTAAAGGTTGAAAATAAGGGCACTAGTCTTACTGTAACTTGTTACATCATGTTTGGTTAATATCCCTGCTAGGCCTGCTCTTTCCTGAAGTGAAACAGAGGACAGGTGGATCTGGGGGAGCAGGGGAGGGGACCAAAGGAAAGGAGGGAAGGAAAACTGCGGTTGGGATGTAATATATGAGAAAAGGATAAGTAAATTGCTTGATTAAAATGAGAAAAAGAAAATAAGGGTTCATACAAAGTTGCCAAAGTAGCAAGATAACTTTCTTTGGAGCAGAGTTGGATTGGAGTGGGCACTTGTCAGGACTGACAGTGGGCACAGGAGTGGGGTTCAAGAAGAAGAAGAATGTAGCATGTAGTTCTCTATTTTAAAAATTATTATTATCTTCTTATTTTATGAGTGTTCTACGTACATGTGTGTGTACAATAGATGTGCCTGATGTCATTGAAGTCCAGGAAATTGTCAGATCCCCAGGAACTAGAGTTACAGATGGTTTTGAGCTGCATCTGTGGATGCAGGGGACTGAACCTGGATTCTTTGGAGGAGCAGTCAGTGTTCTTAATCACGAGGTCATTGCTCCAATCCCTACTTCTCTATTTTGCTTAGTAGTTTAGGTCATATAATAATTTTTTATTGTTCATGTCTCTTCCCATAATACAATCTGATTTTAATCACATATATATCCAATTATGCAAAATGTGCTTAAATAAGATGGTAAATAAGTTACCCCTAAAGTCTACTTTAAATACATAGTTTACCTTACTGTGCATGCCCATAAAACCAGTTGACACAGGACCAGCCCTTCTGTTTTTTATATTAAACATTGAGAGTATACTTGAATAAAAGATGTCTAAATTTGATTGTTACTTGTAGTGGAGAAATCTGTACTGTTGTTCAGAAACAAGAGTATATGTAGCCAAGCAGGTGGGGATCCTAGGGGATTCTGAGGTTGCTAGGTACGTTATTTGGAGAGGGGTATGTATGTATGTATAGTACATGCAGGTAAAGTAGCTAGGCTTCCAAGTGCATTGTTACAAGAATGTGTGTGTGTGTATCTGTCTGTCTGTGTCTGTAGTGTGTGCAAAAACTAGAAAGGGTTCCAGACTAAATTACCTTCTATGTTTGACTGCTTTAAGCTGCTTTGAACCTCATTCTGTGTATTGAAAATAATTACTCATCTCTGATCCAATTAAACTTTAATGTTAATCTTAATTTTTTTTTCTTTTAACGAAAGTAGCTTACTGAGGTCTTTCATTTTTAATGTGAGGAGGAAAGCTTGTTCTGAGGCACTAACCTCTGCAATTGTCTAGGTGTTGAATGCTGATGAAGAACTTACAAATGAAGATGAAAGAGAACTGGAAGAACTTAGAAAGCGTGGCATAACTCCTCTCCCCAAACCACCCCCAGGAGTCGGGCTTCTGCCAACCCCAACAGAGCACTTACCCTTTTCTGATCCTGAAGACGATTTTGAGACAGATCTTTCTGATGATATGAAGAAAATTCCATCTCTTTTTGAAATAGTCGTAAAACCTACTGTGGATTTAGCACATAAAATTGGGAAGAAGTAAGTTAACACCACCAAAATGGCATCATTCTCCCCTAAAACTCAACATTAAGATACCAAAGAGCATTCCAGGTCATTCACATGGTTAAACCTAGGCAGAGCAGCAGTTACCTGGCCTGGCTTGGGGTTGCTGCTTCCCCTTTCTCTATGCCCTTATCCTTCTTTCCTGCCCCCAGTGATTTTCTCGTGGATTTTACACAACTTTAGGAGCTTAGCTGTATAGTAGCACTGGCAGGGTGGATTTGACATTCTGTCTACTTACTTAGGAGCTTACATTTTCAAAAGGCTGATATGCTGTCTCCTTTATTTGGTTCTGTCTGAAAATAATTTCCTTAAGGTATTAGGAAAGACTCTGGGTAAGCAGCATCCAGTTTTCATTTTCTAGCAAGGCCTTTTCAGTCCTGATTCCTGTCCTTTAGTGAACGTATACCCAGGCCTTGCTATTTATTATTCTTTAATCCTGAATGCCCGGAGAGGTGATGATACCTCAGCAGATGAGAAACAAGAAACTAGAGTAAATATCACAACTAATGTGAGCCAGTAAGAGTATTTCAGTTAAAGTTGAGAAAACCAGACATGGTGGTAGATGTGCTCATGATGTCAGAACTTGGGCGTTGAGAGGTGTGCTATTTCGGTCAGCTTGACACAAGCTGGAGTCGTCTGGAACAGCAAACCTTAGAGAAGATGCCTTCATCACATTGGCCTGTAGGCAAGACTGGAGGGGCATTTGCTTGATTGTTTGGGAGAATATGGCCCATGGGGGGGTGACACCATCCTAGGGCAGGTAGACCTGGGTTGAAAGCAGACTAAAGAAGCAATGGGAGCAAACCAGTAGAAAGCAGTGTTCCTCCATGGGCTGTTTCATTCCCTTGAGTTCCTGCCCAGCTTCTCTTCATGATGGACTGAGCTGTAAGATGATGTAAACCCTGTCTTCCCCAGGTTGCTTTGGTCGCAGTGTTTATCACAGTGATAGAAAGCAGACTAGGACAGGAGACGGAAATAGAAGGGTTATATGTCTAGGGCCGCTATGGGCCATAGAGTGAGAGTTTGCCTCAAATTTTAAAAGAATAGGAATACCCACCATTTTTCCAATATTATATATCATAATGAAATAAATGAAAGATATAAATATGTTAAATTAGAATTGTAGTGGGAGACTCATCACTGGGCAGTTTCTCTCAGCAAAACCAAAAAAAAAACTGACAAAACTATTAGAAATGATAAAGTCAGCATTAAAAATGAAATCTTTTGTATGCCATCAACATAAAAAGCTTCCATTGGAAATCATGATCAGAGCTATATGTTTAGATAATAAGATTTTAATTTAATTGTAGATAAGTTTGTGTATATCCAGAAAAACAGAAGAGTCTTCTAGTGCTTGGTTTCAAATGACTTTATTTATATTTGCAGTTTTCTGTATCTTCCAAACAGCTGGCAGTTAACAGCAATTAAGAGAACCATATCTAAATGAAAGCAAGAGATGTATGTTTTAAGTAATCTCTTAAATACACAGGATTCTAATTGAACATAAAAGATCATCCTTAACTATTATCTATTTAGGATGATAACATTTTTGTTTGTCTCTTTGCTTTGAACTGAGAAATACTGCTTTTTGTTTTTGTTTTTTACTTTTATTTTGTTTGGTTTTTCTACAGACCACCAGCATTTTACAGCAGTGCCTCACCACCAGGACCACAGTTTCAGGAAGGCAGTCCCTGTCCACAGCACATGTACAATTCTGAGTCAAGTCCAGATCTGGGACCTAATGTGCCTCAAGGTTGTGATAGTCCTGTGAGGCGTCCAGGCTCCCCTGGACATCACCCATGTGTGGGACCTCCTGGTCCACCAGTGCACGAGAGTGCACCTTTGCCACCTGGTCCACCTGAAACTGTAAGCTCCCATAGTCAAGCTGGAGGGCTTACTCAGTTGGACATACTACCAGCCACGGGTAGAGCTTATCATTCCCCAGGCTTTCCAGGACCTGCAATGAAAGTCCCTAGAGAGAACCACTGCTCTCCAGCCTCACTGTACCAGCAAATGCCTGGAGAGATGCAGCTTAGCACAGACTCCGCATCCCCTCAAGTCCCAGCCGAGGTTTACGAGGACTACTACTCACAGCATGCTGCACATAGTTTTCAACCACCTGATAACTGTGCTGGTAAGTCGAAGGCAAACTACAGAGACAGAGGGGCGGTGGTGGTGCACGCCTTTAATCCCAGCACTTGGGAGGCAGAGGCTGGCAGATCTCTGTGAGTTCAAGGCCAGCCTGGTCTACAAGAGCTACTTCCAGGACAGACTCCAAAAGCCACAGAGAAACCCTGTCTCAAAAAACCAAAAAAAAAAAAAAAAAGACAACACTGCTTGGCCAATGACTCAGGAATGTTTCTAGTTAGCTTTTTTTTTTAAAAAAAATATTTATTTATTTATTTATTATGTATACAATATTCTGTCTGTGTGTATGCCTGCAGACCCCATTATAGATGGTTGTCAGCCACCATGTGGTTGCTGGGAATTGAACTCAGGACCTTTGGAAGAGCAGGCAATGCTCTTAACCTCTGAGCCATTTCTCCAGCCCTCTAGTTAGCTTTGACATCTCGAATTAACACATTTCTATTAATCTTTGTATCACCATGGCACTGTGGCTTACTGGTAAAGGTCCTGGGCAACTATCTCCTTTGGCAGCTGCATGGTGTCTCCGTGACTCCACCTACTTTCTCTATATATATCTCTGTTCAGATTTCCCAGCTGACTTCGCTCTGCTAAGCCATTGGCCAAAACAGCTTTATTCATCAACCAATAAAAGCAACACATATACAGAAGGACAGCTACATTATCTCCCCTTTCCTGACTAATTAAAAAGAAAGGCTTTAACTTTAACATAGTAAAATTATATATACAAAACTGTTATCAAGCAAGAATTATAGTTAAAATATTTTGTGAGTCTAAAGTTTGATATTTAATTTATCTTTTATCATAACTAAAGAAAACTATAATTAAAACTATTTTTCTTCAACCCCATCAAAGACCCCAGAAGGAAGCCGGGCAGTGGTGGCGCACGCCTTTAATCCCAGCACTCGGGAGGCAGAGGCAGGTGGATCTCTGGGAGTTCGAGGCCATCCTGATCTACAAGAGCTCGTTCCGGGACAGGCACCAAAGCTACAGAGAAACCCTGTCTCGAAAAAAAAAAAAAAGACCCCAGAAGGAAATAATATTACTTAAGCAAACAGGAAGTGCAGCCAAGCAACTTCCAAAATTCTAGAATTGACTTAGACATCTTACTGCCTGCATAGTCACCCACAGTCCTTCTGTACCATTGGGGCATCCATCTTCAGCCTACAGGCCCATAGTATCCAGCAGACTTTTCCGTGAAGCGTGATATTTGAAGATCTGTTCTGCCTTTATTGGCAGTTTGTCAGTCACTTTCTTCTGTCCTGCAGAATATCTGGCAGTTAAATGATCTGTACAGGCACAATACCTTAAATAAGAGTAGAAATATACATATAATTAAGTTGACCTTAAATTTGTAGTAATACACCAAAGTCCATACAAATGTAAAGTACTTATATCTATATTATATTCCCCTTTAAATGAAAACAAACATTTATAAACAATCATTTTGGGAATTTGGATGTAGTTTTCTCTAAATGGTTTCCTGCTTTTTGTTGAGTGAAGTATTTTCAGGGTTCACGGAGAACTGTCCGGGGGGTATTTTTCCATCAAACTACCTTAGCCTAGAGGGAATCCACAGGTTTCTATGGAAATAAAAGCAGAACCTCAGGACTGGAGAGATGGCTCAGCTGTTAAGAGCATTGCCTACTCTTCCAAAGGTCCTGAGTTCAATTCCCTGCAACCACATGGTGGCTTACAACCATCTGTAATGAGGTCTGGTGCCCTCTTCTGTCCTGCAGGCATACACACAGAGAAAATATTGTATACATAATAAGTAAATAAATAAATATTTTTCAAAAAAGCAGAACCTCTTTTCCATCCTTAGACTCAAATTTTGAAGTTAAGATACTTTTATAACATATATGATGATTTAGCTTAGCAGCCCCCAGAATCAAATGTCTCTCTACAGTTAAAAAATTCAAAGAAAACACAATAATATACATAATCCAGACTCTCTGTGTATATTCCACCTTTTGTGGTTTATTTTTCTTTACTCCTTTAATCTATGACTGTCTGTAATCTTTTATATTACTTTTGATGTCTCTTTAAAGACTTTATTTTTTAAACCTATTTCTTTTTGTAACTATCTATACTTTTTCTTCTCTCTCCCAAGCCTATGTACTTTTATCCAAGATCCATTCAGAGGTCTTGTTCATCTGAATCTGTCTTTATTGCATATCTGTAATCATTTTCTGACTAGGAGTGCTTTTTTTTTTTAAATGTTAAGTGGGTGTGGTTAGGACCAACTCCACAGCCCTGTCTGTTTTCTCCAACCAGTCCACCATGGCAGAGGCATGTTCACTGCCCCAGCTTCAGGGACGCAGCGAGTCTGTGTCACCATTAAGCAGTTTGTAACATGCTGCTCACAAACCCCATTTAAATGTTCCATAGCAGGACCTCCTGAAAGAGCCACATCTGTTTGTGCTGCCAGGATGAACCAGGAAGCCTTCTTAAAGGAGCAGTATCTCTGCTTGCAGCCAGCAAACAGATCCCACCCAAGAAAATGCTGCTACCAAGAAATTGTGTTTATCTCTGTTCTTTTGTGTCTAGAATCTCTTCCCAAGTTCTCTCAGGTTTTATGTGGATGTAATCAGTCTATGTTAGTTTGCCATTTGTTGTCAGTGACTGCTCATTTGTTCCTTGCTGCCCAGATCCGAATAGTAACACAGAAACAATATTAATGACAACACTGCTTGGCCAATGACTCAGGCGTATTTCTAGAGAGCTCTTAGATCTTGAATTAGTCCATTTCTATTAATCTGTATATCGCCACAAGGTTCTGGGCATCTGTTTCCTTCAGCAGCTACATGGCATCTCCTTAACTCCACCTACTCTCTCTCTATATCTCTGTTCAAATTTGCTGCCTGGCTTCACTCTGCTAAGCCATTGGCCAAAAAAGCTTTATTCATCAACCAATAAAAGCAGCACATATACAGAAGGACATCCCACATCAATTTAAAACAATAGAATTTAGACATTTTTAAATACTTAATTATACAACTTAAGAATTTAATGTGGTAATTAGGAGAGATTCAGTCTCTTACACTTTGGTGGAGTTTGAGCTCACAGTGTCTCTTCTTTTGTATCTGTAGATGAGATGTGGCCTGAAGAATTTGCACCCCAGCAGCCTCCCACTGCCCATGACTCATCTAACCTTGGGAGTGGGCCTGACACCAGCAGCAATATGACAGGTCACTGCCCTCTGCCTGCCTCAGGGCTCCCTCCTGCAGTGCAGAGAGCTCTTTTCATCCGATTGGCTCAGAGATACCAAGAAGAAGCAGCTGGCACCCAGCCTCATAGAACATCAAGCAAGGAAGAAGGTTTAATAGGTTAGATGTGAAAATGAGTTCCTCTGCACCATCACCTTCCAGTTTACCTTGTAGCCCTCGTCTTATAACTGTTCCTGGCTTCAGTGACAGGCTTTAAATAGCAGTTGCAAAGGTTATATTTATTTATACACAAGCATAAAAAAGATGGCAGATAGAATAGTCTTTCTAAAAGTTTACTTGAAAGTCACAGTTTGCCTTACTGTGCTGTGCGTGTCCCTAAAACGAGTTGATGCAGGATCAGTTCTTCCTAAACATTGAGAATACACTTGAATAGAAACTGTCTAAATCTGTTTGTTACTAGGAGTGGAGAAATCTGTATTATTATTTAGAGGTGAGAGTACATATAGCCAAGTAGGTTGGGGGGGGATCTCTTTAGTGACTATACTAAGTTCAGAAATAGTATTGCTTTTAGTCTTAATTAAGGTCACATATGAATGCTTTGTTTTTGACCACAAGCTTCTGTCTTTGTTTAGATGATACAGTTAACTGGTACTCCAGCAGTGAAGAAGAAGAAGGAAGTGGTGTCAGGTCAATACTGAGAACATTACAGAAACAAACAGGAACTCTAAGAAGTCAGCAGCACCCTCCCCCAGAGCTTGGCATTCCTACTGATCCAAGACTTACTAAAGAGAAGAGGAAAGGAAGTCAGGTGGTTGACCCTAGGCTTCGGACTGTCCCAAGGCAAGACATTAGGAAGCCTCATGAGTCTGTCCCAGTGGATCTTAGACTTGCGTGGGACCCCAGGAAATTAAGAGGGAATGGAAGTGCTCCTGGAGGCTCTTCTGCTAGTGGAGCAAAGTGTGATTTACATCATGCAAATGCTGGTACAAATCGCAAACCCAAAAGAAGAGATGATGATGATGAAGATACAGAACGAGAACTGCGAGAAAAAGCCTTCTTAATACCTTTGGATTCTTCACCTGGAGTAGTACTTCAGGATCCAAGGTCACAGTTAAGACAATTCAGTCACATTAAAATGGACATTATCCTAACCAAACCCAACTTTGCAAAACACATCGTGTGGGCTCCAGAAGACTTACTTCCAGTACCTTTACCTAAACCTGATCCAGTATCTTCAATCAATTTACCTCTGCCTCCACTTATAGCTGACCAGAGGCTCAGTAGGTTATGGAATACAAAAAGTGACCATCAAAGTGCCCTGTCCCTTGATCCAAAATCAGCAGCCAAAGCCAAAATGAATCTAACACAGAGAGAGGGCTACTTAGAACAGTGTGGAGACTTGCATAGTTCAGGAGGTAAATTAGGAGACCCTAGGTTGCAAAAGAATTCTGACCCTAGGCTTCACAGACTGCCCAATACAGAGTTACATCAAGTGGCTATAAAGGACTCACATGTATCAAAGAGTGCCCCAAACTTAGCCAGATCAAACCCTACTTTGTCCCAGCCTTCAACAGCATTACCTACCAATGCTGGTCCTGTGGCTCTTCCTCCATATGCCCCCAAACTATCTTCTTCAGCTGGCCTTCCAATAGGAACTTCAAGTTCAGTTCTTAGTGGCATTAGTTTGTATGATCCCAGGGAGAAGGGTTCATCATCTTCATCAGAGCTAGCAGCCATTTCTTCAGAAGAAAATGCAGAGAACCAGGAAACAAGTGGTTTAAAAAATAGTGATAAAAATGACCCTTCCCCTGGAGAAGTGATCCTACAGAAATCTCCTGCAGACATGGAAGTCCCTGTTGAGGGACCAGTAGACATGCAAGCAGATACTCTGGGGAGTACTGATAAGGTCCAGGTTCCCGCTCTGCACAGTCTTCCTATTCAGGCCTTAACAGGCTTAATTAGACCTCCATACAGTGACCCAAGGCAGGCCAGAGAGCCAGGACAGGGAAGCCCAGCCCCAGACGATGACAAGTCTCTGAAAGAGGTTTTTAAGACATTTGATCCAACTGCGTCACCATTTTGTTAGCTGTTGTGTAATTAAGCTGTTGCCACCCTCTCACAGTTCTCTGCTGTTTGTAACTGGTTTACCTCTATAGTTTATTTATTTTTTAAATTATAAGCATTTTTCAGCTGCTAGTATCAGGACCACATGAACTTATATCCTCTAAAGTCTGTGGTATTTTATATAATATTTTTATAACTTCAAGAGACTGTAGTATAGAAATACATATCATGTTAGCGTTAGTAAAAGTATTTTTTTTCTTTTTGGTTTTTGAGACATGGTTTCTGTGTTGCTTTGGAACCTGTCCTTGGATTAAAGGCGTGCACCACCACCACCCAACTAGTAAAAGTACTTTTTTACTTGTAAGTAAGTGAACTATCATGAACTCAACACTCAGCCCAAGTAAATGCCAGTGTCTTTCATAATCAATGTTTAGGTTAACAACTAACACTTTTATATGGTTGTTTAGTTTCAAGCAATATGATATACATTAATTTTGAAAATCAGTATTTTAACTAGGATCATCTCTGCCAGCACAAAACTGATTAGTTTGTAAAGCCAACTGCTAAGTAAAATGCAAGGTGAAAACATTTAAAACCATAGTTAGCTCAGCTCGTGTTTAAGGGCATCACTTCATTGGCATTGGCAACACTGTTTGTGTACATGAAGCACTTGAATGTTGTATCTTTTAAAAGTATTTTATTGTACACTGTATCATAGAAGTCGAAGGAAATAAATAAGATGTTTTGCTACAGTAAAAAAAATTCCAGGTTCTGTAATAGAACTTTTAAAATTTAATTTTTCATATTAAATAGTTATGAGTTTATTGCTGTGTCACATTGTGATAATTATGTATTTCAGAGTTTGGTCTTTAGTTACATAATTTTTATCTCTTTCAAATGATGTAACTGCAATAATTGTGTTCATTATGACTGGCAATTTTTAACAATTTTCAAAGTGAGACTGTAGTAATTAATAAGCTGATAATGTTTTAAATGTCTAGTTTCTATATTTTTTCTTGCATAGCAAAAACTTCCACTGAGATGGCAGATATATTCCACTGTATAGGGTACCAATAAACAATCTTTTAGATCTCACATGACTGGTTTTATAGCAGAGGTCACCTGTGTTCTAATTATTTAATGTTCTCATAGCTTAGAAATTTAAATTGATTAGAAATTGTATTTTATGACAAGTAACTTGTATTCATTTTTGTGTATTTGTTGATGAGTATAGACAATGACACCTGTGTTTTATGATCTGACTCATAACTCACAGTCTTACACTGGCATGGTCTCTTGAACTGCTGGTGTATGGCAATGTTTGCTGGGGTGCCTCCAGGAAATCGCTTGTAAAGGGGAAGTTTTTATGAGACAAAGGAGGTAATAACTCCAGTGCTTAGTTAAAGAGAGCACCCACCGAAGCAGTTTTCACAGTTCACAGCAAAGGTTTTTGTTTCTATTTGTTGCCTAAAATGGATCTGGATAACAGGGTAGGATTAAAGATACTGTTTAAAGCCACCATAGAAACCATTTTCTAACTTACTGTTCAAATGAACTTTACTGTTAATTGAAAAGTCAATAAAGTAGTTAAAACTGACAAAAAAAATGTATCCCAAAGTAGTACAATTTCCTTTCATTGGAATTTTTTTAAAAATCAGTAAAATATCTAAATTTTAGTGAATCAAAAATCGCAACAAATCTTTAGTTCCACTCATGCATTTATCCTTATTGTTGAATTAGTAATAATTCTAAATATACAAAAGAAGATAATTTGGCTTGTTAAACATGAAACTCTTAACAAAAGCCCTCCTTTTTAAATTTCTGAAAAGGAAATTAAATGGATAATTTAAAAGTAGGATTTCAAAGTTATTAATTCCAATAATGGAATATTTGTTTACTCATTTCATTGTCTCAGTTACTGTTCTGTTGTAAAAAGACACTATGACCAAGGCTTCTCTTAACAAAATAAAACATTTAGCCTGGGACTTGCTTACAGTTTCAGAGGTTTCGTCCATTGTCAGTATCAGCATGGCAGGAAGTATGGAGCGGGCACGGCAGCACTCAAGGTGCTGGAACAACAGCTAAGAGATACATCCTCGTCTGCAGGCCAAGAGAAGGAAGTGGAACCTCTAAGCCTGCTCCCAGTGACACCCTTCCTCCAACAAGACCACGGCCTCCTAATCCTTCTCAACTGGTCCCACTCCCTGATGACTAAGAATTCAAATATATGAGCCTATGGGGGCCATTACTATTCAAGCCACCACACTCATTCATGGATGTCTATTATATCAGCTAGTGCCCTAAAGACTATTTTACAAGCAAATTTAATTTTAGTTGCAGGTTTTACAATACAATTTATATAAAATGGGGCTTTTAAACATAAGTCTTTGGGATTGAGATACTCGATTACAGAGCCCGTCAACATAGACTTGCTTAATCCCCGTTTATTACTATCTCCCAAAAAGTGTAACAAATGCCTGCTTCTCCCAGTGAGTAAGCCCTTCTTTAAAGTGGGTTGCATTGGGGTTTAAAAATAACTTTCCCCATGGACTTAGATATTTGAATTAATGGACCCAGCTGGAGTTGCTGTTTGAGGAGGTTTGGGCGATGTGGTCTTGTTGGAGGAAGTTTGTCTCTTGTGGCTGGCTTTGAGAGTAAAAAAGACTCACCTGTTTCCAATTTGCCCATCTCATGCTTTGAAGATGTGACCTCTCAAGTTCTGACTTCCACAGCGGTGCTCACCTGCTCTAAATGCCTACCTGCGGGTTGGACTCATGCTTCTGGAACCACGAGGCAGGATAAGCTCCTTCTTCTGTATGTTACCTTGGTCGTAGGGTCTCATCACAGCAACAGAGAAGCAGCTGACGGAGTTGGTATTTTCAGAATTCGTGGAATTTGGTGTATAATATCACAGTGAAAGTAAGTTCTGCCCTGCTCTTAGAAGCTTCACATTTCCAGACAACAGAAACAGGCTGGTTCTGGAAGACTGCGTAGTCGCTTCTGTTGTGATGCATTGAACCTTCCTGCTGGGTCTCAAAATTCATACCCATTTACTTTGGCTGGATAGAGTACGAATCAGGCCATAAAATAGGAATAGCAGCTGATCATAGGAATTTAGATATATCAACTATTTTCCTGTATCTTGGTTAGAACTTTATTCTGAACTTTGAAAACAAATCAGATGTTAAAATGGTTTGTTTCACTCTTAGGTACTTGACCCCATTTCTGTATGGAACCTCCATGTTTCCTACCCTGTACTTGAAACCCCAGAACTGGGCTGCAGTAAAAAGAGCCACATTATGTGATGATATGTGCTTCAGGTTTTGGGTTTGGGGTTTGGTTTTGTTTTATCTTTTAACTTGCCTTAGTTTTCCAGACCTTAATGCTCCTGCTAGTCCTATTTATTTCAAGAGTGAGAGAACAGTTGAGTAGTTAAGTCTTGTTTCAACTGAATAGCTACGGGGCTGGAAGGACAGAGAACTTTTGAAGGTCTCAATATCTAAGGACAAAGGAATTCACTTTCTTGTTCTGAATTGACTTCTGAGCTTTATGTCAATGTCTAGTTTCTTATCTGTGATATATAAATAATTTCAACTATTCCTAGGTTTGAGGTAGTGAGGGAATTGTTTTTATAGCATATTTGTAAATATAAAATTGCTTTCTGTATATCGTAGACACAATCCCTACATTCCTGTCGGGGTTATTACGTTATTCCAGGTTGTTCCAGAACAACTAGGCGTGACCTGTGTGGTTTACCGATTTTATGAAGCTTTAGATTTGCACTGAAATCATAAGAGAATTACCTGAGATGTTGTTTCCGAGAATACTAGCCCACCAGGTTAGCAAGTCTTCAAATGGCAGTGTGTAAGAAATACAGACCTTTTCTACCCTAGAGGTAGGTGTATAGATTTGTAGTTTGTCATAAGGATCTGATCTGCCCAATTCATACATGATGGATGTTGATGGATGTCAACAACTGCTCTGCTGCCGGGCCACGTTGTATGTCTCTGAAACAGTACGTGAGGGTGGGGTGGACATCTATTCAGTATAAAAGCCACTGGTTCTTAGAAACAGCAGAGATACTGGCTCAGGTGGGCATGTGACCACACTGTTTATTCATGAGTTGTTCATGTTTTAAATGTAAAATGTGTTAGAAAGAATGAAAATATTCTAATGTATTATTAGTATCAGCTCTTCAAGTGATCAGTCCCCATCCATCTGACTCACTGTTGATTTTATGCAAACGACTTTTGTTTTCTTTCAGTGCCGGAGATGGAACCTAGCGCCTCAGCATACCAGGCAAGAGCTGCCACTGAGCTCCGCTTTCCAGCCCTTCGCTGTGGATTTAAGTATCTTTGAGGATATTAAGGCTGGAAGAAATATTAAAACTTGCATTTCGTTAGTGTACTTTGAATGTAACTGGCCCCCATAATCTCATGGTGGAATGACACTATTTAGAGGTGTGGCTTTGCTGGAATGGGAATGGCCTTGTTGGAGGAAGTGGGGCTTCCCATGCTCAGGATACTGCCCAGGTGCCAGTCTATTTCCTGTTGCCTGCACGATGTGGACTCTCAGCTCTCTTCAGTGTCTGCCTGCATGCCGCCATGCTCCCCATCATGGCGATGATGGACTAAACCTCTGAAACTGTAAGCAAGCCCCCTCAATTAAATGTTTTTTTTATAAGAGTTGCCATGGTCATGATGTCTCTTTACTGCAATAAAAAAAAATCATAACAGTGGCAGTATCTTGTCAAAGAGGTTTTATCCATAATAATTTATTATAAAGAAATAAACACATAGAGGCCGAATTTTTAAACAGTAACAGTTTTTCCCTGGATCCCCATTGCCATCGTGCCTTGGCGTTGTCAGTGATGCCCTGTATTATTTTGCATGCTTTTAAAATCAACACAAAGGAGAGCATGGTCACCCACTCAGGGAGGGTGTCACGTGCCTCCATCTTACAGTTTTTCCTCCAGGTGTTTAGGAGGGAGGTTAACATAGAAGAGTTTTTTTTTTTTTTAAAAAAAGTATACTGCCTTGTAAATAAAAATAGAAGTCAAGAAGTAGTCATTTGTATATTGACTTGACAAAATTTAAAACATTTTTACATTGCTTATGCCCTAGCCACCTTACTCAGAAAGGGTCTCAGCATAGATCCAATGTTAGGATTCCACAGGGCTTCGGTGCTTGCATAAGGCAGGGCCATTGGTGGCCTGTGCCCGAGGTATCCAGACTTGGTGATGTGTTTGCTATCAGATCCACTCGCACCATCTGTCTGGGCTGAAATCTGGGTTATACCTACTCAGGATAAAGTGTTTTGTTTGGCGCTTCCAGTGTGATTATTTTATTTCCCAAAATTGTATGTCAGATTTTTGGGAAATTCTTCTATTTCGCCTTGGAAAGTTTATATATACCAATTTACTAGAACAACTACGTTGCTAATCTCTTCAGAGAATACAGCAAGGGTGTGCTTTGCTAATTAATAACTATAACACTAAGCGCTAACAAATCACTTGGGAAAAAGCAGATTATGCTGTTTTTTGTTTTTTGTTGTTTTTTAAATTTACTAGTAAAATTTCTAACTGACATTCTCAGCAGTGGCACTGTTGCAAGTGTTTGTAGTATTTTTTTCTGTATTATCTGAATTTAAAAGCATTTCTAATGTGTGCATCTGGAAGTGTTCTGTTTTGCTCTAATTTCAGCATTTCAAGGCAAGGGAGCCTTGTGCACATACAAGAGTTTATAAATGGGGATCATCCCAAGGCTTCCTAAAAAGGGAACACTGTCCTTCAGCAAATCCTTTCTTCAGGGAAATTATGCCTTATCTAACTACAGACTAGCAGAGTAAGGCCCTGTTCCCAGCTGTCTTCATTCTAGGAACCCTCTTACATTCAGGTGTGTGCATTCTTCTGATGTTGTGACGTCACCTACAGAGTTTGCACTGGGCAGCTATCTAAAAAGACATAATGGCATGTTAAGGTTGATGGTTTTGTTTGGGCGGCATTCATAGTTATCCTGGTAATTGAGGTTTATTTTGGGGTTAAGCCCATTAAGTCTCAGGGTCCAAAAAGATTTTCTATGGCCAGCAAAAACTGGCTAACTGGATCTGAGAGTAAACAGAATAAATCAACGTTACCGCTGCATGTTCTTAATTTCTTTGCATGAAGAAACAGTGAGGAGAAGGGTGATCTCCAATGAGGTTTCTAGTTTTTACAGTCATAGTTGGAAAATTCCATAGGCAAGGACAATGATAATATACATATCAAAATCACAAAAAAGGGCAGGTAGAACCTGACAAAGCAGCACTCTGGAACAGGTGACACCACCCAGGAAAGAGTCAGCATCCAAGGGGAAATACCTGACACCCCAAACCATTAGATAAAGTTACTAAATGTCCCTGAATCTGGACTTCACTCACACCCTGACCTGTCTGTCTGGTAAGAGCGGGTATGCTGCCTTCCTGCTCAGTGCCCGTCTTCTATAGAAATTTCTATGTGGTCTGTTAGGTAATTCTGTGGGATTGACTCTATGTAAGCTTGACTGTTAGAACTAAGGTCTCATGGTGTGGGGAATGGAAAGGTCGTTCATTCTATTGCCTGTGCAGGAGAAGTTACACTGCTGAGGTAAGAATCATGGCTTCACGAGGCTTTTACAGACATAACTGTAATGGTCTGTCCTGTCCCTTTAAGAGACAAGCCCTGCTAATTCCCTCCCATCTACAGAGGCAAGCGGATCTTCCTTCCACTTCCAGCCTGAACTCCTTCCTTTTCCATCTCTCTCCTGAAGAGGTAGCTTCTCTTCTCCTCTCTTCTTCCCTGCTCCCCCCTCTCTGTTTCTCTCCCTCTCTCTGTCTTTCTCTCCTTGTCTGCCTTCTCCCTCTCCTCTTTCCTCTTCCCTTCCATAACCCACTAAATACCCACTTTCCCTGCATGGCGTGCCTTTCTGTCTCTGTCTCTCACCTGCCTTGGCTCCTCGTTGGACCAGCTGAGGTCTCTCACTCACCATGCGACTCCCTGCCTGGGACCCACTGCCCCTCGAGGCTTACGGGCCCCTCAGGGAATGGTGCCGTTTTATTTTTACCATTACAACAATGACTTTTTCAAAAGACAAGTGTTCCTGCAGCTCTACAAAACGGGTTATTCTATGTGGACATGTATGTATACACTCCTGTGGATTAGTCTATTGGTCTGTCAGCTGTACTTTACTGTATAGCCTTGTGTGCTCCAACACCCTGGGATGCACGCAGCACACGGGCTGTAGGTTGACTATGCCTAGAATATGTGAATCTGACAGGTTGCCAGAAAATCAACTGCAGGAACTCATTGGGGTCAAAATGGGATCTCATTGCAGCAGGAGATGCTCAGCAACCCTTCATGGTCAGGGAACATGACAGTAAGATGGTTTCTGGTTTCCCTCTTAGTCTTTTCACTGATCAAGTGCTCATTGCCTTATGGGAATCTACAAGATTACTAGATTTAATTGTTGAGCAATCAATCTAATCACCAGAAACTGCTTCATTGAGAGCCAGCATAGTCTAGTCTTGGTGCCTCTTCTGTATGAACAGTATCATTCAGGCTTTAACTGAGTATCACATGCCACATCTACAAGATGCAAATTCCTTTGCTCAAGAACAATGAAGGCACTGGGGAGTTGTCCCATAGTTGCTGTGCAGGCAATGGGAACTTGAGTTCAGGTCCACAGCACCCATATGAAAAACAAGGCATGATGGCACACACCTATAATCCTAGCACCAGGGAGAACGAGGCAGGAGAATCCCTGGAGTTCACTGGTCAGCTAGCTTTGCTGAATTGGTGTAATTGCTGTGTCATATTCAGAACACGTGATCAATGCCCTGCCATGTTTTCCCCATGCTTGGTTCCCATAGTCCTACCCCATCTTGCTTGATGTTCCTTGAGCCTCAGAGAAGGTGACACGGATGTTCCCCTTAGGACCAAGCACTCATTTCCAATACTTTAGCTAGTTATGAATCCCTGCTTTGACCATTGCCCATTGCTGAAATAGGCCTCTCTAACCACGGCTAAGAACTGCACTAGTCTATGTGTGCAAACACAAATAAGGCAGCTTAGCTACAAGTTGGCAAAACATCAGTAGTATGCTCACTATAGGACCTGCGACCCACATAGACATAAAAGTTTTGACCAGGTTTGCAATGCCAGGCACATATTCCATCCCGTGGAACAGTCCTCAAATCCTGACAGGAAATAGTTGGTCACTCCCAGAACATCGGTGCCACTATCGCAGTAGGTGATCATTTCCGGGATGTAGGATCTACAGGTGGGTGTGATGGTTGAGGACTTTCCTCCTCCTGCCTAGCCTCGGCCCTTCACTCACTTTCCCACACATCAAGCCACCCCACAGGACTTCTTCTCCGCTTGCAATGAGGTAACAAGGTTTATTCTTCTGCCTTAAACAGCTATGGGTGAGGTAGGAAATAAAAACAGAAATACAAGAAAATCTACAGAACCAAAATATGGTTGTTTGAGAAGTTTAATAAAATTAATGAATCATTAGCTGTAATAATGGGAGGGGGACCAGTGCACAGATGAACTGTATAGAAACTGAGAGATGTGACATAATTATATATTTGACAAAAGAAGAGAGTGATGCAGAAGTATTACCCACAACACCATTCCAATAAGCTCAATGCAAGTTTTACTCAGAATAGTTAAAAGTGGAAAGAACCCAAATGTCCAGCCGTTGGTGAGCAGGTAAGTAAGGTGTGGTACGCCCATACAATGGAAAGGGCAGGAAGAAATGAAGTACCAATATAAATGGACTTTCAAAATCTATGCTAAGCAATGTAAGCCAGTCACGAAGAACCGCTTGTATTATCCTATTTATAGAAAGTGTCCAGTCTAGGAAAATCTTAAAAAAAAAAAAAAGTTGAGGAGAGAGAGGGATGAAGTTGGAGAGCAATGAAAGAGAGATCTTGATAGAGACATATGGGTTAGGAAGAAACCTGGTGCTAGGGAAACTCCCAGGAACACACAGGACGACCCCAGCTAAAACTCCTAGCAATTGTGGAGAGGGGTCCTGAACTGGCCTTCCCCTGTAATCAAGACTGGTGAATACCCCAACTGTCATCATTGAGCTTTTGTCCAGCAACTGATGGAACCAGATGCAGAGATCCACACCAAGCACCAGGCAGACTTTGTTGACTTCCCATGGGAGCCCTTACCCCTGAGGAGGAGTGGGTGGGGGATGGAATGTAAAGTGAAACTTAAAACATTAATTAAAATAAATACAGAAAGTAATTAACAGCTACTAGGCTAGGGCAAAAGAAAAGACTACTAAAGGGATTATCTAAACTGTGTTGATAAATCTGTGAGCATTAAAAACCACTGAAGATATAATTTAGATGTATGAATACTATGATATATGAATTAATAAAGTGGTTTAAAAAGCAGAATGAGCAGAACAGAGTGAAAGAATGGATAGGACAAACAAGAAACAAAAAGGCATGAGTCTCTCCAAGTACGTTCACATTCGTTTTGTCTGCTGCTCTTTTTAAAATCCCGCTGTTTGTATCACATATAGACCGGAGCATTCCCCGTTAAGTTTCCATCAGTGCCCCATGTTCTTGACCAGGAATGCTGTCAGGGAAGCTCTGTAAAGCACAAGCCCTGGCCACCTCTACCTATGTTTCAGATTCTGCCCAAAAGGCGTGCTAAGTTACCACAGTGGTCAACACAGGCTGTGGTCAACACAGGCTGATTTGGAGAATATGCCTCAGCTTTTATAATGCGTCTTGAACCAGGGCCACCAATGCTGGGAGGTTCCTCGTGCTTGTTTTTCGTAAGCCCAGCCCATCACAGTCTTTGTCTGAGGCTTCTTGAAGTCGGTGTTGTAGTAGTTTCGTCTTCCACTGTGTGCAGAAGGCAGCCACCTCCAGCTCCTCTGGATCTGAGGAAGGCCATCTCAAACCCTGCAGGAGTGGAAGGATAGTCAAGCTCAAAACTGGGGACCCTGGTGGAGCTTGCTCTTATGGGGTTCCTTCTAGAGTCACAGCTCTCATTATACAGCGTCAAGTATCATTGTGAAGGGGGCAAGAGACCACCCACCCTGGAAGGAGATGAAAAGTAGAGCAAAGGGCTTTAGATTTATCCCAGTGAAATAAATGTTCTGAGATCACCACCAGCTCTTTACATCCCCTCTCAGCAGTTAAGAACACTGGCTGCTCTTCCTGAGCACCCGGGTCTTATTCCCAGCACCCATATGATAGCTCACAACCACCTCTAACTCCTCTTCCAAGGGACCCAGTGTTCTCGTCTGGCTTCCTCGGGCACCAAGCACACGTGTGCACACAGACATATATGCAGGCCAGAATACCCACACATATTAAAATCTCTTTTTCCCTCCCCATCCAAATTTTTCCTCTGCTTGTGTCTTGCACACAAAGAGCTGAAACAGGAAACTGGATATGATTTAGTCTGCATTACAGATGATCCCTGACTTAGGATTACCAATTTACAGCTTTGAAATATGATTATGTCTTAAGCTATTACTATTAGGGCTTGGAGACCAGGCTCAGCAGTGAAGGGCACTGGCTGGTCTTCTAGAAGACCTGGGTTTGATTCCCAGCAGCCACATGCTGGCTCATAGTCATCTGTAGCTCCAGTTCCAGGAGGATCTGAAACCTCCCGCCCCCGAAACCGCCTCTGAGGGCACTGTATACATATGACACTCAGACACACATGCAGGCAAAACATTTATATACATAAAATAAAAACTAAGTAATTTTTAAGAATTAGGTTAGACTATTAATGTGTCTTCTATGTTTTTGTTTGTTAGCTTTTTTTTGCCCCTTCTTTTCCCTTTTTGAGACAAGGTTTCATCACTATGAATCCCAGTCTAGCCTCCAACTTCCAATCTTCTTACCTCAGCCTCCTGACTGCTGGGATTACAGGTGTATGTCACAATGTCCGGCCTAAAATGCACTTATGATTTAACCATATTTTCAATTTGTGGTGGGTTCATAGGGGCATAATTCTATCAGGAGTCAAAAGGCCTCCGTACAGTTGAGGTGTTTCATCCCTTCAGAGGAGGTAGGATTTAAGTTCAGGTCTGAAGGAGAAGTGACCAGGCCTGGGAAGAAGTGATGAGGGCAGAGGTAGGCCTCACACAGAGGCCCTATGTAATCTCTTATTTATTTACTTAATCTATTTTTGATTTGGGTTTTGTTTTGCTTTGAGATGGGGGTCTCATGTTGCTCAGGCTGACCTCCAGTTTGCTGTGTACCTAAAGATAATTTTGAACTTCCGATCCTCCTGCATCCACCTCCAGTGTCTTACATCACACCGGGGGAGGTGCCCTCTTAGGCCTGCCAATAGCATCCATCTAAAGCTGTTGCTTAAGATGTGGGAAGCCAGGAAAGCCTTGCTTTTCCCCCAACGAGACAGTCAGTCACTACACAAAACTGTGCTTTCTTGAATCTATTTGAGGACTGAGTTTGAGGTTCTCCAGCCTTAGGTGTATTGAAAAGCAGGCATCTCTGAGGAGAGATGGGAATAGGACTGGTTTGCACAAGACTCAGCCTGCGGGGAGACAGGGCAGCCATGCAATTGAATGTAAGGCTTGGGGGAAAGTTTTAAGGGCTATGAATGCAACTCAGTAGGAGAGCATCTGCCTAGTCTCTTCAGGGCACTGACTTTGACCTCCAGAACTGAAAAATAAAATGAACAAATTGCTAATGTCCAAATTGGATTCGTGTGAGTATAGCGCCCATCCACAAGCAAGGTCCATGTGTCCTCAGAGTTTTCTGTCTAAGACCTCGTCTGATGCTCCCGAGAAAGGCTCCGGTTGGGATAGAGGACTAAGAACCCCTCTCTGAGATGCAGGCTTTGGGGAAGGGAGCAGCTCCTGTCACATAGGCGTGAACCACTGTTGATATGTCCTTTTTTATTGAATGGAAGTCTTCGGTTATTGAGGAAAGGACAGTAAACCAAACACAAGGTAAGCCTGAAATCCTCAGTGATTGCAACAATAAAACCCAAGTCAGGTCAATGCCTGGAGGACATGAATATATGTGTAAAAATTAGCGTTTAAAATCTACATGTAATGTCAAGTTTCCAATGGAAAGTTATAAGACATGCAAACAAAACACTCCCCAGCCATCGTCAAGAAACAACAACAATCAAATCCCCTAAATCAACTAAAGTCAGATCTGAGCCTGTTATCAGAGAAGAAAGTAAATATCCCTGCAATTAATATCTTCACGACTTTAACTGAAATGTGAACAAAAATGCACAGGTAAATAATAAATCCTACAAAAGAAAAAAAAAAAAGAGATCTAGGCCTGGTAGTAAACACCGATAACCTCAGCACTCAGGAAGCTGAGGTAAAAAGACCCTGAATTTAAAGGTCGGGCTGGGCTACACAGTGGGTTTGAAGCCAGCTCGGGCTATCCATGATCTTATCTCAAAAACAAAAACTTCATTCAACTAACTAAACAAACAAAGGGAAACCTGAAACAGAAGAACACATAGCAAAGGTGTGCAGAAGGCTAAGGTAGGCTCATCTGCAGGCTGAGCATGGCTAAAGAAGGGTTGAAATTAAGGCCAGGCTAACAGAAAACACGCAAATAAACCGACAGGAAGTGAGGTCACTGGTTTCGAAGGAACAGCATGGAATAGCTAAGAGAAGGCGTCCTGGTGACCGGGAGCATTTGCTAGGTCCCTGTGGCACTCACCCGAAGACAGGCGGCTTCTGCAGCCCTCACAGCCTTGGAGACTGCCTGGAGGAGTCTCTGTGCGTTGTCTAGAAGGAGCTCTTCAGAGGACTTGCTTCTTGCCAGGGAAGCCTTTACGCTGGGGGTGTTGGGAAAGAAAGAAGTCTATAACCCAGGTTAGGAGGCGATTGCCAATAAATACCAGTATTGTCAAGAAGCCCCATACAGAAAGTTGAGACACTTTGGTAGGAATATTCAGGCAAAGGATGTGTGTGTGTGTGTGTGTGTGTGTGTGTGTGTGTGTGTGTACGCATGACAGAGAACAATGAAAATGTTTTCCTCAATTGTCGTCGTCCCCCCCCCCCTCCATTTTGTTGTTCTTGAGACAGCATCTCTCGCTGAGCCTGGAGCTAACAGGTTTGGCTATAGCAGCAAACCCTGGAGAACCCCGTCTTCACTGCCTCAGCCCTGGGGTTAGACCTACACACCACCATGATGGAGGTGGGTCTTGTATCTTATCTGTTGATTTTATTGGTTAATAATAAAGAAACTGCCTCGGCCCTCATAGGACAGAAAATTAGGTAGGTAAAGTAAACAAAAGAAAATGCTGGGGGAAAAAAGCTTAGTCAGAGAGTCGCCATGGTTCTTCCACTCCAGACAGACACAGGTTAAGATCCTCCCTGGTAAGCCAGCTCGTGGGCTACACAGAATATTAAAAATGGGTTAGAACAATATGTAAGAGCTAGCCAATAAGAGGCTACAGATAACGGGCCAGGCAGTGTTTGAAAGAATACAGTTTCCGTGTAATTATTTCGGGGCATAAGCTAGCCATGCGAACGGCCAGGTGCCGGGGACGCAGCCCTGCCGCTCCTTACTTCAACACCACCACACGCAGTTTTTAGATGGGAATCAAGCTCAAGTCCTCCTCATGCAGGTGTTGTCTCCATAGTCCCGGGGAAGACCACTCTAAGAGCTTAATTTAGCATTTTTAAGTGAAAATTTTGCTTTAATGCCAAGAAAATGTGAGTCATATAGCATCTATAATGACAAAGAAGAGTGTGTCGTTCATGGAAATGACTGAGTAGAGGCAACGGAACAGATGCCAGCTGTCATCAAAACATGAACGAGAATAAACCCTGCACAGAGCTGTATGCAGGCTGATGTTGGAGGAACTGCCTCTTCCAGGGCTCACCAGTTCCCAGAAAGAGCAAATGACTTACCTGCAAACACAGCTTCCAAATCTAAAATAATCAGTCCTACACATGCTTAGCCTGCTCATTTGGCCTTGCCCATTCCTTCCCGTGAGAACCAGTGGATGCTTTGCCTGTTTCCCCCTAGCGCTTCCTGCCCGTTGACACAGGGAAGTTTTTTGGTTTTTTTTTTTTTTTTAAGATTTATTTATTATGTATACAGTGTTCTGTCTGCATGTATGCCTGCAGGCCAGAAGAGGGCACCAAATCTCATTACAGATGGCTGTGAGCCACCATGCGGTTGCTGGGAATTGAACTCAGGACCTCTGGAAGAGCAGTCCGTGCTCTTAACCTCTGAGCCATCTCTCCAGCCCCCAGGGAAGTTTTTTTGTGTGTGTGTGTCGTTTCTCCCTGCTTGGAACCATGTGCCTTGTGTCTATGGGGTGGTGTCATTTTGATGATAAAACAGATTTGTTTGTGGTGGTCATTTTTATATTTATGTCTTATGTAGAAAACATATTGGCAGCTAATCTTGAGTGCCATGCAGATGACAAAGGAGAAAGATGCCAGCCAGCCACTGAGAAAGCAAGACGAGTAGAAAATGAGGTACTGCCATAGCCACATGGTAATACAGAGAAATGGGTTGATTTAAGATGTAAGAGCTAGCTAGAAATACAACCGAGCAAATGGCCAGTGTTGTAATTAATATAGTTTCCGTGTGATTATTTGGGTCTGGGCGGCTGGAAAACAAGATGATGATGCATCTGAAATGGTATTTCCTGGAGAGCAGTTGCCAAGTTTTATTATTATTTTTTAAAGATTTATTTTTGTATGTATGAGTATCTTGCCTGCATGTGTACACATGTACCATGTGTGTACCTGGTGTCCATGAAGGCCAGAAGAAGATGCCAATCACCAGGAGATGGAGTTACGGTTGTGTACCACCATGTGGGTCCTCGGAGTCAAACCTCTGTTCTCTGAAGAGGAGCCAGTGCTCTTAACCATGGGGCCACCCTACAAGTTGTTCTGACTTCCCCATGTTCTCTGGCATGGACGGGCATGCATCTACACTACAAACCAAGAGGGCTGTGCTGTTATCATGTGATTAACCTATGGAGCCAGCATCACATACGCAGTCTTCCGCTGTCCAAAATGTCACTGTGCACCATGTTTTAAAAGATAATTGGCATTTTCATTAGATATGATTAGCATAAAAACAGAGGACTAATTGTCAAAATGTACAGGTGGTTACAAAGAAAGGGTGTCAGTCACTTGTGTCAAAGGCTAACTACCCCTGAAGTGTTGTGAGCTCAGCCATGCCATTGAGTAGGGGCCTGTGTTCGGCATCGGGGAGGGACCGGTGTAAACTCTAGGAGGGTAAGTCATTAAACATATACGAATAACTCACCCTCCATCCCCACCAGGCCTCACAAAACTTAGCCATTCTCTCGCAAGCTGCCTCCTACCTGGAGATGATGCTGAGCTGGCTGCTCATGGTTTGAATCTGCTCCACCATACACAGAAGCTCGCCGGAGCATCTCTGATCTATGCAGTTCTTAGCAATGATGTGAATGAGTCTGGCGATGTTTCTTCCGGAAGCTGAGATTTTTCTGGCTGAGGCAATGAGCTGATCTTTGGTCTGTATCAGAGAAGGAAGTGTGAGAGGTAGGCCAACACTGCCTTCATAGGTTTCCCCCGAGACATCAGGGACAAATTACAACGCTTGCCCTCAGCTTTCTTAACTGAACGACTTCTGCCCCTGGAAATGAGTGTGTTTGAGCCTCACCATTTCCTGAGTCAACTCTAAGGGCTTTCTCTTGGGTTAGAGAGAACCTGACTGAATGAGGAACAATCTTCTTCCTGTGTTGGGGCAGCAGAAGACCAGGACCCAGATGCCTAGGCTCACATTTCCCAGGCTGACCTCGAACTCGTGATATAGCTGACGATGGCTTTGGACTTCTGATTTGAGAGTGCCGGAATAACAAGCTCGTAACACTGCGCTTGGCTTGTGTGGTGCTTGGGGTTATATCATGGCCTTGTGCATGCTAGATAAGTGTCCTACCAAATGAGCTCTACCAAATAACCCCAGCCCTGATTAGATATTTTCTGTCTTATTTTCGTTTCACTCAAGAGCACAATACTTCAGTTATTAAAAAAAAAAAAATTGGTATTATGATCAGGATGTGAGATTGGGGAACTCGGGTGAATTCTGCATAGCCACTTCCTACCAGAAGCAAACTCCACTCCTAAAATGGCCCTTGGATTGTACATCTCTCCGTAAACACAAGGGATGCAGGGCTTGCAAGTTCCTAGGTTCTTAGCCACACACCCCTGCAGACACCTGCGTCCTATTTAAATCAGAACACTGGATTTGGAAACACATCCTGGAAAGCCACACCTGTTTAGGTGGCCTTGGGGGTCTCTGGTTTAGCCAGAGTTGACTGGCTGGGGGAGCTGGGAGGACGGACCCAACAACAGAAGATCTGAGTCTTGGTGTAATGGAGGCTCGGGGTTTGTCTCTGTAGTAATATAACCAGGGAGTGTCCTTCCCTTCTCTCCTGAACCCTCTGTCCTGCCCCAGGATAGGAAAGTCAGGTCCCTTGAAGCCATCTGTACCTGGTAGGCCCACGCTGGAAGTTTTTTGCCTGCCGTTTTGTGTCTTCCTTTTGATCTATGCACAAAGTAAGCACATTTCTTTTTTTTTCATTTATTTTTCCCATTATGGCATGTTGATAGCAAACATTGCCTCAGTTTAATTAAGAAGAGGGTTACAGAGACTGGGAATAGGCTCGCGGTGGAAGTCAGCCTCTAGAAGCTAGTGGGAAAAGGCCCTTCCCCTCCAGGGATGCCAGCCATAATGGGCTAGCATTCAAGAGAACTCAGTCCTCTCTGTCATCTGGGAGTGGCCAGGGCGGGGGCATAGAGGGAGGAGCAGCAAGGTGTGCTAACACATGGACCTGTAATCCCAGCTCTGTAAAGACTGAGGTAGGAGGACACTGAGTTAAAGTCCTGATAGGCATTGAGACAGTGTTCCAGAGGTCAGCTTTAAAAGATGTGAATAATGGGCTCCTGAAGTGGCTCTGGGGAAAGGGCACTCGCTGCAAACGCTTTGTGCACTGAGCTTGAAACCCACAAAAACAGAAGGCATTGATGCCACAAAGTTGTCCTCTGACCTCCATAGGCATGTCTTGGCACGTCTGCCCATCCCTGGGTCATGCACACATACGGGAATAATGACACTTAAAAGTAAAATTTAACCCTGGCTATGGTGGTGCACATCTTTAATCCCAGCACTCAGGAGGCAGAGGCAGGTGGATCTCTGTGAGTTCAAGGCCAGCCTGGTCTACAGAGTGAGTTCCAGGACAGGCTCCAAAACTATAGAGAAATCTTGTTTCGAAAAACCAAAAAAAAAGAGAGAGAGAGAAAAAAAAGTAAAATTTAAAAGGCATAAATGACACTCTTGACTCATTGTTCTGGGGAATGAATGGCTCCTTGATTTTTACTAATTTTACTGCATTGAAGATTTGGCAAAATTATCTTCCCTGATATAATTGATGAAAACCATAGTAGTCAAGCCAGAAAGAGGAGGGGAGGAGAGAAGTGAGGTGGATTTTACTGAGATGGGATACTGACAGGATCTTCAGTGTGACCCTTCCTTCCAGCCCTGTCTAGGAATGCCTTAGACAGGCGCCCTATCACCCACCACCATGACCTGCTGAAGATCAAGTACCAGGACTCGCCCTCTCTTCCTCAAGCTCTGAGCCATCAGGAGCACCTCCTTGGCCATCTCGTGTGTGATCTGGGTGATTCTGTTCTCGCTGTCTGCACCGCCATTCTCTTCAACAGTCTGGTCCATCTGAGCAGGAGGCAGAGAGGGGTTGCCACGCTGGTGCTGAAAGAAGATGGTCAGAGGGTTAGAACAATACAGTTCCTGATATTCGGGCCACTGAACTGTAGTGAGGATGCTTCCGTGTGTGTGTGTGTGTGTGTGTGTGTGTGTGTGTGCGCGTGTGTGTGTGTGTGTGTGTGTGTGTTTGTACACATGTGGAGGCCAGTGTTCCTCAGGAGATGTCTTCGTTGTTTTTTGAGACAGACTCTGCCATTGGACTGGACCAGGGATTTGCCCACTTCTGCCATCCCCCCCTTCCCAGTGGTGGGATTACAAGTATGTAACACATTAGTGTACCTAAGTTTTTAACCTGGGAATAAAGTTTAAGTCCTCACGCTTGTGCGGTGTCTTAGCTAGAGTTTCTATTGCTGTGAAGAGACACCATGACCACAGCAACTCTTATAAAGGAAAACGTTTAACTGAGGTGATGGCTTACAGCTTCAGGGGTTCAGTCAGTCCTTTGTCATCATGGTTGGGAGCACGGTGGCTGGGAATATTACAGTACGCTGGCAGGCATGGTGCTGGAGAGGGAGCTGAGATTTCTACATCTTGTGCAAGCAACAGGATGTGGTCTGAGATACTGGGCGTGGCTTGAGCATGTATGAGACCTCAAAGCCCGCCTCCATAGTGACACACTCCCACCAAGGCCACACCTACTTCAACAAAGCCACACCTCCTGATAGTGCCACTCCCTATGGGGGCCATTTTCTTTCACACCACCAGGAGCAGTAAGTGCTTTATCAACTGAGCCCTCTCCCTCACCCCATCCTCTCAATCGCTTTTAAAATCATTTTAAAGAAGGCACAAGGGAATCAGGCGGATTTCCTGAGTCCTCAAAGCCCTGGGCAATCTTCCAAATGTACTGTAGGGAAGCAGCAAGAAAAGACATGATGATCCCCTGTGAGTCTGTACTCCGTTTCCCTGGAATTTGCAGAGACTGAAACATGGCATTCTTGAATCTCAACCTAGGCGGCATAGGGTATTTCTTTCCTGTGAGTGTTCAGGCTTATGAGGGAGAAGAAAGAGCATGTAGCCTCCTGAAGAGAACTTAGGGTTAGGCTGCTGACAGCCCAGGAAGAAATGAATTAATCTTTCTCAGCTTTGGCCAGGGAAGCCACTCTCTGCAGTTGCCAGCACAGACTCATTAGCTAGTCAACATACTGAGAATTAGTGACAGGTGAGTGTTCAGCCCTAAACGAGACATCTGAACTGACACCCCACCGAGGCCTAGGAACACTGAGGAAGAGCAGAATATAAGAACTGGAGGATGGGGAGCTGTCAAGGCTGTCTTCTGGACACGGCACGGCCACTGCGCTCATGGAGCCACCACAGCTATGATTACCTGTACAAAATCAAGCCAACATGAACAGTTAGCATTTCAGCAGGCAGCACTGACGGGATTCAGTTTTGTGTGTTTGTTTGGTTTCAGTTTTGGTTTTTGATTGCCTGTTTTAAAATCTATTTAATATACACTGGTGTTTTGCCTGTTTCTATATTCTGTATGACGGTGTCAGAGCTCCTGGAACTGGAGTTGCAGACTGTTGTGAGCTGCCACGTGGGTGCTGGGAATTGAACCCAGGTTCTCTGGAAGAGCAGCCACTGTCTTAACTACTGACCCATCTCTCCAGTCCCTGGTTTTTGTTTTGTTAGGAGAAGGGGCTGGAGAGATGGCTCAGCAGTTAAGAGCATTGGCTTTTCTTCCAGGGGACCCAGGTTCAAATCTTAGCACCCATTTGGTAGTTCAGAACCATCTGTAATTTCCTTCCAGGGAATCTGATGCCCCTTTCTGCCCTAGGTCACTGCATGCATGTGGTACACAGAAATACAGATAAACAAAACCCTCATACACATAAATAAAAATAGGGATCCAGACATAGTGGTGTACACCTTTAATCCCAGCACCGGGGAGCCAAGACAGGCAGATATCTGTGAGTTCAAAGCTAATCTGGGCTACACAGAGTTCTAGTCTACCCAGGACTACACAGTGAGACCATAGGTCTGAGACAACTCCAAAAGAGGGTGGGGAGGAGACTAAGTGGGAGTAGGAGAGGGGACCTGTGAGTCAAATTGGAGGTGATGGTTGAGGAAGGAGATGGGAAAGATACATTGTTCACATGTGTAAAACTGTCAAAGAATAAATAAAAGATGTTCATCTTCTAAAAAGGAGATTCAGGAATCCTTGGATGTTTCAACTTGAACCCATTCTATTCCAAAGGTCTTCACAGTGAATAACTATTTAAAAAAAAAAAAAAAAAAAAAAAAAAAAAAAACCTTGATTTTGGCTTCCTTCTAAGGAAACAGCAGCCCTGACATCTGAAAAGTCCGCTGGACCTGACTTTTTTAGATGTGGTTTTACTATCAGATCTTTAGTGGCACCTTCCCTGTGTTCTTTCTGATCCCAGAATCAAGACAAATTGTCCTACACTGGAAGTGACCCCAATAACAAAGCATTGAAGATATCCTTGGTTGTCTCTTCTCCTCAGACAGGCACAAACTCTAGAACTGTGAGCCAGTTCAGTTTCTTTTCTTTACAAGTCACCTCATCTGCGGTACTCTGTAGTAGCCCTGTGGAGTGGGCTAGGACCCTCAGCTAGCGAGTACTAATAAATCACATGTCTTTGCTGGGGTTTCTGTATGACTTTTTCAATATAAAGCATACTTCTGAAAATGAATGATGTCTCTGCTTCAGCAATGGCCCAACTTTAGATCAGGATGTCCCTATGTGCCGGGAGTGGAGGGCAGAGGCCTTTTCTAGAGAGGCTCACCCGTCAGCCTGCTGGGACCTGGGAAGGAAGGAGTAGCTGAAAAGAAGTAAGTGATGAAGAACTCACTGACCAGGAATTCAGCAGCAGGGACTGAAGACCATGAAGAATGGACGTGGTGGTCTGGAGCTAAAAGTGGGTGTGGCAGGGTGAATGAGCATGCCCCTATACATTCATGTGTTTGAATATTTGGTCCCAGTTAGTGGGGCTTTTGAGGAAGGGTGAGGAGGTGTGGCCGTCTTGGAGGAGGCATATCACTAGGTGTGTCCCTTTTGCAGTTTCAACAGCCTCCCACCATTCCCAGGGTGCTCTCTGCCTCCTACTTGCGGATTGAGATATGAGCTCTCCAAGCCTCCTGCCACCATATCTTCAGTTTACTGTCACCGACTTTAAGCCTCTGAAACTGTTACGTCAATTAAACACTTGCTTTTTCAAGCTGACTTGATCATAATGTTTTATCACAGCAATAGTGTAGTAGGAGCAGTGGGCCGCATTCCTGCCCAGCTCCCACACGCCTAGCTTTATACCCGAAATAATTACACGGAAACTGTATTCTTTTAATCACTGCCTGGCCCATTAGTTTCAGCCTCTTGTTGGCTAACTCTCACATCTTGCTTAACCCATTTCTAATAATCTGTGTAGCACCACGAGGTGGTGGCTTACCGGAAGGATTCTTTTTGTTTGTTTGTTTGTTTGTTTTCGAGACAGGGTTTCTCTGTGGTTTTGGAGCCTGTTCTGGAACTAGCTCTTGTAGACCAGGCTGGTCCGGAAGGATTCTTAACCTGCGTCTTGTCTCGGAGAGGAGAATCATGGCGACTGCTCCACTCTTTCTTCCTCCCAGCATTCTGTTCTGTTTACTCTGCCTACCTAATTTTCTGTCCTATCAAAGGCCAAGGCAGTTTCTTTATCAACCAATGAAAGTAACACAGACAGATGACCCTCCTCCATCACAATAGAAACCTGAACTCATATGTAAGGAAGCTTGGGAAAGGGCCTTTTTAACACCTACCAGAGACTTTCAGCATCCAGATCTAGATAGGACTCCAAACTTTTCAACGTGGGCCGAGGATTATGATAGAGACTCCAGACCCAGAGACTGATGTCCAGCATCTCCCAACCCTGCCGCCCTGCCTTGCAGCTATGGGTGACACTTCTGATGCACTGACAGAAACCAGAGTCAAGTTGGTGGGTGGGTGGCATCCTTAGTGTGTGCTGACGGCTACAGAGAGCCAGGGAAGGGGAGAGACGTCTGAAGGCTATTTGGATTTATAAGGTCACAGTGGGGATAGATTCTCTATCAAATCTTGGATTGTCAGAACACGGTTTAAGAATGGAGTCATGCAACGGGATTCTGCATGCTTGTGAGAGAGCGCCAAGAAAACAAGAGTCTTGTGACCTCAGCTTCCTCAAAACCACAGAGTTGTTTTTGGAATGTGCTTCCTGCTCCTCCCGGGTGTAGCAGACAGGAGTGAGTTTACTGTAGATTATCCATGACAATTGCCTGTTGCTGTTTATCTGCTTCTGTGGAAGAATGGGTGGTGCCACATGGGGCTTGTCCTTGTGATTGTGTACAGCCCAAACTTGCGAGAACTTTCCTCTTGTGACCTTTCTTAACTCTCAGAGTATAAACTGCCTGAGGCTCTGAATAAGGCTGACTATGGCATGAGACCCCGAGTCTGCCTCGTTTTAGGCTCTCCTCTCCCAGGTCCCACCTCTAGAGCGGTAAACACTGGATGAAGTGTATCCGCATAGAAACTACTAGAATCCTGCTAAACTGTACTGTTGCCTACTGATGCTGGTTATGGCCAGTAGAAATACAGTCTTTAAGGTCCTTAATGCCCAAGTGTCCTGTCTTGCCCTAGAAAGAAGCAGAAATGTAGGGGAGGCATTCGGCAGACCTAGTATCTTTCTAATAAACCCCTTTACCCCCCCCCCACTACAATTATTCTAATTGTGTTCCTGTCACTTTGGAGTGGGGAGGCGACTTCTGTACAGATCAAAGTGGATGAAGCAGCCTGAGTACTGGCAGCCACAGGAAAGTTTGTTAAAGTAACAAGGAAAAACTCCAAAAGGCTGATGGAAAGGCACTCATCCTAGGACACAGACTAGATGCTAAGGGAAGGGAAATATTTTTGCAGGGACTCATTCAGCAGCCCTCTAGAGGACTAGAATGCTGGCGTCTAAATGGTGCTGAGACTTCTCTCTGATTTTGGTAAGGACATGGCAGAGGTAGCCTGCGGGTTAAGGTAGCTGAACCCCAAGCCTAGGCTTTTAAAGGCTGCTCATGCCTGCCCTGTATGAATTATACATGTGGTCTGGGCATTGAGTTTCTGGAATGTGTGAGGGTCATTGGTTACTAGAAAACAGGTCCAGGTGTAGGTAGACGAAAGATGCCAAGTAGCCTACCATGCTCACCTCTGCTGTGGTGGTTCCGGAGGTGGCTAGCTCATCAGCACAGGTCCCCATTGATATTTCTGTGATGCCTTTGGAAACAGCATCCTGAAACTCCACACTGCCCCCTGCAGAGGTTTCTATTGCACATTCTTTACACTGCAGCTGGAGCTGGACCAGAACCTCTTCTGGGGCATTTGCTGGCTCTTCCCCGGGGTTCAGGCATTGGACTAGGAGTCTCCAGGCCTCAGTGGGACCACCTTCCAAGGCCTGGAGCTGAGTCACTGCATGGTGGACCTTGGCTGCCCATTCCCACTTAAGCCAATCCAGCATATGCAACCCCTGCTCCTCCGGGTGTTCTTGGAGCTCAGGGACCCTCTCGGCCACCTCCTTAGTGAGCATGAGAATGTACTCTAGAGACACAAGAAGGTCTTCCTGGAAGGGTCCAGACTCTTGACTTCCTGCTATGATTCCCTGCACAGCTTGGATAATAGACAGCATCTTTGTCTGGGAGCTCTTGCCAACAGCATCTTGGAACATATGCTCATAGACAGCGTTGATGCTGCTCAGATGGTTGGTCAGGGCCTTGACTCGAAGGCTGAGCTCCAAGCAGAGAAACTCAAAGCGTGTGGAGAGGCTGGGACATGGCTTGGGGGAGGAGACCAAGACGTGTGCCACCTCCAGCAAGGCATCTGTGAGTACACGAACTTCTCGACACAGGAAGGAGACCTCATCCTTTACCTGTTCATCACCACACAGAACACAAGACAGCTCAGCGGCCTCTTGTAACCTTTGGGAAACATGCGCTGCCTGCTCTGACCCTTCTTGCAACCCTTGCTGGCTCTTCACTGCTTGCTGCAGGGGCAGTAGGAACAGGCCCTGTCTCCTGCTGAGCCTCCTCATACGCTGCATCAGGTCCTGCACAGCCACTGCCCATAGAAGGCACTCATTGTCAACGTTCTCATCCCTCACCTTGGGGGCTCGGCGACCATCAGAGGACAGAACTTGGTCCAATAGCTGTTTAGCATGGACCTCTGTTTTTTCCAATCTACCTTGCAGCTCTAAAATCATTCCCGGGTGCTCCACTGAGCCAGGGCTCTTCTCGTCCAAATTCACAGGACCACTTTTGGCTGCTACTTGAACCATTGAGGCCAAATTCTGCTGAAGTTCCACAAACACTTCCGTGCTCCCCGGTAATTCAGTGGCTGGGCTACAGCAGAGGAGTTGTCGACACAGAGGGTACCAGTCACCAGCCCTGGCTACCAAAGCCTGCTTGGGTTCCCTGGTTCTCCCAGATTGCTGAAAAGTCACTTCCAGAAGTCTGTCACTTCTAGTGTTTGTGCTATGGACTTCCTCCCCAGCTAGGTCAGTAATCGAAGGTACCACTCTTGAGAATTTGTATAGTCTTGACATCCTCTCTGGTCCCAGGGGTGCTTCCCCAGCCTGGATTTCTGGGGCTGTATTCACAGTGGACTCCGGCTCTGGCCTGTTGGTGCGTGGTGAGGTCACTACCCGGTGCTCCTGGCTCTCCACAGTAGTGATGACTTCGCTGACTGCAAGGAATGGCGAGCCCCGCCCCTGTTGGCAGGTGTCAGGGACCACCGTGTAGGAAAGTTGTTCTAGTGGTAGGAAAGAGGTGTTCGTGTCATCTCCCCCTAACCCAGGCACCTGCTGGTATTTCAGCGCGGGATCTGTAGGAAGCTGGCGGCTGGGGAGAGTCAAATAAGGCCATCCCTTGGCAAGGTCAAACCTTTGGACTTGGAATCGAAGCGGGCTGAGGATGTCTGGGTGGTTGGTCCCATCCAGCCCCTCGTGGACTTGCTGAGCTGAATAGATGAGGTGTTTTGCCATGGTTAAAAAGACACCCGTGTCCTGGGCGCTGTCCCCACCTGTGCTGCTGTCAGTGGCCGCAGCCAGCGTCAAGGAAGACTGCGCCAGCTGCTGAACCACGACTCTCATCCCGTTTCGAAAAATGGGATCTGGGTCTTGACCCACATACCTGTTCATCACCTGCACTATGTGTGTGGCTCGTCCGCGTAAGAACGCGGACAATTCTCTGGGTGCTCCGCTCCTCAGAGCCCTTGTGTACAAGTCCAAATGTTTAGCCATTTCCTGGATGGACAAACTCAGGAATTCAGGAATATCGAGAACGACATCAAAGCATGCCAAGAGGTGTTCCGATTCCCTAGCCCAGGCCTCAAGCAGAGCCTCTAGGGTGTCAGGGCTCCAGTCCAGGCCTTGCGTTTGGGGACTTTGTGAAAACAGTTCCATAGCTTTGACCACAAGCCCCCAAAGACCTGCCACGGCAGCCTCCAGGTCTCTGCCAGTTTGCTGTTGGGGGCAGCAGACCCAAACCAAGTGTGCCACTCGGATCATTTGCTTGGCTTGGTTGTGAAAAGCATCAAGGAGAAGTCGGAAAGTCTCTGCCAAAGCTTCACTATTGCACTGGTACCTGATGGTGGAAGTCGCCAAGGCGGCCTGGACCAGCCTCTCTAGAGGGCTTTGGGTATCTGTGAACGTGTCCAGAATCTGGTGCAGTAATCCAGCGCGGACTCCCCGAAAGAGCGCCTCAGTCGCGGCCTGCACAGCTTCGCATTCTGTCCCTTGGCTGTTCTGGGGAGACCCGTGCAGCCCAGCGCAGAGCTGTAGCAGCTGGCGGCAATGGGACACTAGGTGCATCCTCTCCCTTGGCGGGGAGCAGGCGGCTAGGTGCAGGCAGTGCCACACCACGGCGACCATTGGCGCATCCAGCAGCTCACCACGCAGGTGGTTCGGCCCGGGCTCCTCCAGGACCTGCCACAGCTTCTGCAGACGATGCGCCAGTGCGCCATTCTGAGAGCGCGCACCAGGCCCTGCAATGCCGGGCTGCAGTACAGCCAGGAGCTCCCTGAGGCTCTGCCTGGTCAGGGCAAAGATGCGGCGCCGTGAAGCCACCAGCTGCGGCTCGCGCGGGTGCCGGAGGTGGCCGCGGGCGGCTGCCAGCAGCGCTGGGATGCAGCACCCTAGCCGGTGGCGAACTCGACCCAGGCGTTCGTCCCGGGCCCAGCGCGTGGTCAGGCCGCCCAGTCGCAGCAGCGCAGTCGCCAGGTCAGACAGCGAGGCGCGCAGCGAGGTGGAGTCCTCCGCCGCCTCCAGAGCCACCAGGCAGGTCAGGCACCAACCAGCCGCTGGCACCGTCTTCCTCGCCATTGCTGCGTCTTCAAGCAGCAAGACCTGCTGGGGCGGTCACAGGAAAGAGACTTGAAGATGACTGAACATTCTTGGGGCCATGTAGCTTAAGCCTAGGAGACCTTACATTGTCACTTAACCTGAATGTAACCAAACACAGACACCGTCTAGGTGACAGGACTGGAGAATGCACCCTCCAGTCTTGGAGGTTTGCGTGTGTGCGCATTTCTTTGTAAACCAGAGGTCTGAACTGGCTGCCTTCTCTCCATATTTAGGGGGCGTGGGGTTTACCCTGGCCTGTCCAAAGACGTATTATTATTTAAATGAGAACGATGGGCTGGAGGGCTTCCCTGAGGCAGCTTTTCTAGCCTGACCCGCCTCTCACAGACAGCTCCATCCATCCACTCCCTATCCCTGAGGCTGGTACCCAAGCCAAAAGCCTTTCTCTCTCTTTCATTCACCACCAGCAGGTGCCCAAACCCCTCCGGTTCTGCCTCTCATCCTCCCCTACCCCACTGCAATACCCTCCAATAAACCACACTACAGATGTTATACAATGAACAACAACAAAATATTTTGAAGATTTATATTTGAACCAGGAGCAATATCCCAATGTAAAAGTTGTAAACGGGCCGGAAAGATAAATGGGCCAGCAGTTAAGTGTACGGGCCTACCAGAGGACCTAGCTTTGATTCCCAGCATCCACAAGGGGGCGCACAACTGTCTGTAATTCCAACACTAGAATTTCCTAGGCCCTCCTCTGCCCGCCTCTTCCTCAATGGGTTTACAGACGTGGTGCATAGCTACACATTCAGGTAAACACTCGCAGACATAAAATAAAAATGCATAAACTCTCCAAAATAAATTTAAGTTGTATTTAGAAAGGAATGTGGGTCAGGATGAAAAACTGAGTGTGTTTGGAAACCGAGGGGTTCTACCAGCTCCTGTTACAGCTTCAATTTTAGCCCTGATTAAATCGGTAATGAACTCTGTCTAGGATCTTGGCAAGCACTTGGGCAGGTTTCAAATTAAAGGACGGCCAGGAGTTTCTGTGAGAACTGCATGGGCATGCGTGCTCTCCAGCGATGACCAAGCTGCCGGCCAGCTCTGAGGGAGTCTCACCTTGGTAGTGTCCACCAGGATCTGCTGAGCTGTGGCCACTAGCTCCTCCCAGTGGCGCTGACACTCTGGCCGCACGGGGAGCTTCTGGGTTACCAGCAGGATGTTCCTCCCGGAGAGGATCAGAGACTCCGCCACTGGCTTCATTTCCTCCCTAAACCACTCATCCTCAGAGTCTCCCGCCAGCCTGAGTGGACACGTTGCACTTAGAATGTTATCACGTTAAGCCCAAAGAGTCCCATGGAAACGAGGATACACAGAAGGTACAGAGCACCAGGTGGCCATTAAACTGAACCTTGACGCCTGTGCTTACAAGCCAAGACACGTGTTGAGTTTAAAAAACAAAACAAAAACAAAAAAAAAAAAAACCTCTCTTCATCCTTTCTTCAGGTGTCTTAGTTATGAACTAGAGTTGTTACCTCAATCTCAGCCTTAACAAACTTCACACGTTAAGGTTAAACAGGTTAATGACAGGCAATCTGGGTAGAGAATTCTGAGTCTCAGGCTTTTCTTTTCAACTGCCTGTATACACCTGATCCATCATCTTCTGTCCTCCAGAGTTTCGGGTAAGAAACCTGAGGTTACTCTATCTTAGTTATTAAAATAAGATAAAGCCACCAAGCTTGGCACGGTGGGGCACATCTATAAGCCCAGCTATTTGGGAGGCAGCGGCAGGAGGACCACAAGCTCTCAGTGAACATAGACCACATAGGGAGTTTGTGGCCAGCCTGGGCAACTTCTTGGAAACTTGTTTCGAAGCTTGCAATAAAAAGCCTGGTGATCTAACTGGGTCATGCAGCATTGGCCTAGAGGTGCCAGGTTCTGAGTTCAATCCCCAGTACTGGGGACACAGAACTAAAGAGAAAGAAGGTTGCTGTGGCTATGCATGCCTTGGTCTTCGTGTGGACACAGGAGTCCATTTCTCTTAGATAACAACGGGTGTATGTTTAACTTTTAGAGAATACTTTCTAAAGTAGTTGCAACATACTGTGTTCTACTCATCAAAGGGAGAGTTCAAGTTCTCACACATTGTCATCAACACTTGAGGTCGTTCTTCATTTTAAACATCCCAAGAGTTAGTGATCGTCAATGATAAAACATATTCCAGACTTTTTTCAAAGATCAAATGTGGCTTCCGCAGAGGGCTTGGATGCAAGTGTTGACACGTTGTGTCATACACCAGTCCCTTTCCTTTGGGGATGAACCTATCTGCAGGTTGCTATTATTCAGTTATACGATACACAGAAATATGAACACTGTTTTCACTGTGCCAACAAAGTACCTAGGCTTCCGAAATCAGAGCTACCAAGTGGCCATGTGAAATGGACATTGCTTTAAAAAAAAGGAAGCACAATGCGTGGTTTTCAGTTTAACTGACCCTGGGCAAGACAGGAGACAAGAATTTCACAATAGAAAAATAACAATTTTGGCACGTGGTGGTGGCGCACGCCTTTAATCCCAGCACTCGGAAGGCAGAGGCAGGCGGATCTCTGTGAGTTTGAGACCAGCCTGGTCTACAGAGCTAGTTCCAGGACAGGCTCCAAAGCCACAGAGAAACCATGTCTGGAAAAACCAAAAAAAAAAAAAAAAAAAAAAAAGAGTTGCCTTGGTCATGGTGTCTCTTCACAGCAATAGAACACTAAGACTGGCTTGTTGTTAGTCAAAGCAACGTGATGCTGTGCCTCTGCCATGACTCTTGAGTCTCCTTCCATGGGATTGAACTCAGGTCATTGGGTGTACTGCCTGATTTATATCAGCTGACACAAGCTGGAATCAACCAGGAAGAGGGAACCGGCATCGTGAAAGTGCCTCCCTCAGACGGGCCTGTATGCAAGCCTGTGGGGCCTGGTCTTGATTAATGCTGGTTGTGGGAGGGCACAGCTCACGGCGGGCAGTGCCGCTCCTGGGCAGGTGGTCCTGGCTTGTATAAGAAAGCAGGCTGGGCAAGGTATGGGGAGCAAGCACATAAGAAGCCTTCCTCTACAGTTCCTGCCTCTGCTCCTGCTTTGGCTCTCCCCGAAAGGGCTGTATCCTTGAGACAAATAAACCCTCCCCTCCTCTGCTTTAGGTCATGGTGTTTTTACCACAGCAACAGGAATCTAACTATGACGTCATGCTTAACAAGTGCTTCCTCCGGCTGAGCCATCTCACCGGCCCCTATTTCTTATTGATGAGAAAATGGGTGCTGGCGATTGTACCTGGGTGAATCAAAAGCATCTCTGTTTACACTGCCTGAGCACAAAGATCGCGTGATAGCATTATGTGTAGCGATCATAAAGGTGGAAGAAGCCTAAAATGTGTATAACAATCCAGTAGTCGAAAAGACAAATAATAGTAACAAACAATAAAACCACGTCTGTATCTATGGACAAATCTATAAAACAACTAATTATACATTTTACATTATAATTATTATAATTATACATTGTAAAGTGGACCATACTGTGTGCAGCAGCAACTGTGCATTTGTATAAGTGTATTTGTTTTATATTGCCCATGATGTTAAATGCGAAAGGAGCTACGATTCTGTGATTCCCGTCAGTTCTGATGCACTTTCAGGCTCTGTAGACAACCGTCAACACACCTCCATTAAAAAGCATTTCCCAGTCTCTGGTTCCTCCTCTCTGCCTATTTAATGGAGTCCTCCAAAGAGAAGCTTGTTTGGTTCTTTCATGAGTCAAGCTTCCAGTTTTACATCTGGAAATCTGTACTTAACCCAAGATCTCAAAGACTTAGATCCCTCTGTTTCTTTATGAATCATTTATAAGATTAAGAGCTATAGTTAGACATTTGATAGATTTTGAATTGATCTTCTTATACAGTTCCACACTTACTTTTGCACACAAATAGCTGAGTGCTCTCTCTGTGTCCTCTGAATTGATGTGCACACCTACATGTGTGCTTCTGAATCTCTTCTTGTTGTTGTTTTTTGTTTTATTTTTTTGGTTTTATTTTTGGTTGGTTTGTTGTTGTTGTTGTTGTTGTTGTTTTAACTTTTTGAGACAGAGTTTATCTGCATAACAGAGCCCAGCTGTCCTGGAACTCACTTTGTAGAGCAGGCTGACCTTGACCTCACAGAGATTCACCTGCCTCTGCCTCCCAAGTACTGGGATTAAATGCATGTACCACCACCTCCAGGCTTGAATAAAAATATTTTAAGGCATTATTTCATGGGAATTAAAGTTAAAATCACAGTAAAAATATTTGCTAAAATAGCTAAACTAAAAATTGTGATTATTAGCTGGACAATAATGGCACACACCTTTAATCCCCAGTACTAGGAAGATAGAGGCAAGCAGATCTCTGTGAATTCAAGGCCAGCCTGGTCTACAGAGTGAGTTCCAGGACAGCCAGGGCTGCACAGAGAAACCCTGTCTCGAAAAACAAACAAAAAGTTCTGACGGGGCTGGAGAGATGGCTCAGAGGTTAAGAGCATTGCCTGCTCTTCCAAAGGTCCTGAGTTCAATTCCCAGCAACCATATGGTGGCTCACAACCATCTGTAATGGGGTCTGGTGCCCTCTTCTGGCCTGCACACATACATGGAAGGAATGCTGTCTACATAATAAGTAAATAAATATTTTTTTAAAAAAGTTCTGACTATTTCAGGGGCTGAGAATGTGTATGAGAACTGGGTCCACGTACTGCTGAACACAATGTGACATATGCTGGCAACTTCTTTCAAAAAATACTATTTAATTAATTCTTTGAGAACTTCATACATGCCTGTGATGTGTTTGAGTCATATTCACCATACTCCTCCCAGATTCACCCCAACTACACCCCTGGCAACGTCTTAAACAGTGAAACATGTATGAAGCTACCAGGACGCATATGAAACTGTGTGCTATTCAACCTCAGAGTACTGTTCACACAGACCCCGGATGAGTGGGGCTTATCAGTCTAGACTGCTTTATGCCCTTGTACCTGCACAAACACGAGTGTGTCCGTACATGTATACCATGTATGTGGATAGGAACACCAACACAGGTTTTAAAAACCTCTTAAAGCCGGGCGATGGTGGCGCATGCCTTTAATCCCAGCACTCGGGAGGCAGAGGCAGGCGGATCTCTGTGAGTTGGAGACCAGCCTGGTCTACAGAGCTAGTTCCAGGACAGGCTCCAAAGCCACAGAGAAACCCTGTCTCGAAAAACCAAAAAAAAAAAAAAAAAAAAAAAAAAAAACCCTCTTAAATTAACTTAAGCTAGTGTGTAAGGTAACGAACTTCGTCAAGGCCCCCCCATGTTGACGTCATGACCTCATCCCTCTCGCACCGCCCTTCATGGTGCTCCTCTCTCCTCCCTGCTCCTCTGCCCTCCGCACGCTCCTCCATTCTGCTTTCCTGACACATGTATTCCACTGCCTTCTTTCTTCTCCTCCTCCCCCTCATGATTCCCTTTCTAGTACCACAACTTACAGGCATCCGTGCACATGCCCACACACGAGCACACGCGCACATGTACACACACACACACACACAAACACATACACAATTTTAGATCTAAGTGAAGAAAACATGGTGTTTATCTTTCTGAGTTTGTCTTATTTCTTTTCACATGATGATTGCTAGTACCTTCCATTGTCATGAAAATGTCACAATTTCCTTATAGATGAATAAAATGTAATTTTATTGTCTACGTGTATCATATTTTCTTGTATATATACGTATATGTATCATATTTTCTTCATTCGTTATTATATATATATAAGTCTTTAAATAATATGTAAATTATACATATATGTGTGTGTGTTTATGTGTAAGTGGGTGCAGGTTCCTATGAAAGACTAAGGTATTGGATTCACTGGAACTAGAGTTAAGGGTGATTGTGAACCATGTGACGTGGGTGCTGGAAACCAAACTCAGTCCTCTGCAAGAACAGAACTCCCTCTTAACTGCTGCCCCAACAGAGATAGTTTTATATGAGTTTTAAAAAACCGAAAGTGGAGTGATGGGGAGGGAAAAGTTAGAAAGAGAAGGAAAGCATCTGGGGCAAGTATATACTCGAATCCTCCGAGTGGCTCTCTCTAGGCTGCAGGTTTGTGAGCAGTATTATTTTCTTTCTTTTTCTCATTCGTATTTCCTAAACGTTCATCATAAGATATGTTTCTAAGCAAGAGGAAACATATCCCTGCGCCGGCCTCTTCTCACTGGCACACGCTGCTGGCTGACAGACAGCAGCTGATGAGGCAGGTCCTGGTCCCCTGAGAGCCTGCCCAGCAAAAGAAGGCAGGAACTTGCCAGCCCGACAACACTTAGTGGGGGGTGCTGCTGGCCTCCGTTTGGCCTTCTCTGGGAACTGCTCAGGGATGGTGGAGCCAAACTCAAGTCCAAATGTTTATTATTACAGTTCTGCTAGGATAAAGAGGGCTGGACCGTTTCCCACGGTCATGAACACTGATGATAATTGTCTGTATAAATAATTTATCTTGCCAGGAACAGACAATAGAGCAAAGGCATTTATCCTGCAGTGAACACAAACAACATTTAGCCTCTCTCAAAACTAACTGTACTTTTTGTGATTAAAAAATGCATTGTCAGAAATTCAAAATCTACAAAGAAGTATTAAGTTGGTATAAAATTGCTCTGTTACTAAATTCCTACATAATTTACTTTAGGTATGTGTACGAACGTTATTACATGGGTTCTGAGACCTGAAGTTAGGTTCAGGACTGAGCAGCAAGCACTCCTCAGTGCTCCGCCATCTCTCCAGCTCCTCTACATAATTTATAACAAGTATCTTGCATTATTTCTCACTGTAGTTTTCCTTTTTACCTTCCTAGAGTCACATGATCTTTAGGCCTTGCCCCAACTCGATAGCCGTGAGGGCTAATCTTGGTCATCAGCTTTGCACACCTGGGAAGAGGGACCTGGGCTGAAGAATTGCCTTCATCAGATTGGCCTGTAGACAGGCCTATGGGGACATTTTCTTTATTGATAATTGACACGGTTGGGCCCAGCCTACTGTGGGCGGTGCCACTCGTGGGCAGGTGGGCCTGGGCTAGTCCAGAAATGTAGCTGAGCAGTCAAAGGAGCAGCCCGACAAACAGTGTCACTCTGCAGCTTTTTCTGTGGTTCCTGCCTCCAAGGTCCTTCCTTGAGTTTCGCCCTCAGTGACGATGTTAAGCCAAGTTGGACCCTTTCCTCCTCCAAGTTGTTGTTGGCCAGTGTTTTGTTACAACAACAGAGAAGCAAACTAAAACAATCTATATCCATTCTTATTACTAATTTATTTTCCACTCGTCTTCTTTCAGAAAGCATTTATTTATTTATTTATTTATTTATTTATTTGAAGCAGGGTCTCATGTAGCTCAGTCTGGATTCAAACCGACTACATATCTGTGGTGGTTTGAATAAGAATGACCCCCCTCCCTCCCACGGGCTGGAGAGATGGCTCAGTGGTTAAGAGCACTGCCTGCCCTTCTAAAGGTCCTGAGTTCAATTCCCACTATGGGAATTGAACCATCTCACAACCATCTGTAATAAAATCTGGTGCCCTCTTCTGGCCTGCAGGCATGCATGCAGACAGAACACTATATACAACAATGGCCCCCACAGGCTCATGCATTTGAAAGCTCTGTCACTAGGGAGTAGTACTATTTGGAAGGCTTGGAAGAATTAGGAGTTAATGGGCTTGTTTCGTTCCAAGCCCAGGCTCCCTCTCAGGGTCAGGATGCAGAGCTCTCCCCTGCTTCTCCATGTCTGCTGCACGCTGCTGCTCTCCCTGTCATGATGATAATGGACGAGCCTCTGAAACTGTAGGAGTGCCCGCAATTAAATGATTTCTCTTATGAGAGTTATCTTGGTTATGGATTGGGGGAGCCATTATGGAGCTAGCATGAAATTCCCAGGAATCCACAAGGATGACCCCAGCTAAGACCCCATGCAATAGTGGAGAAGGTGCCTAAACTGGCCTTGCCCTGTAATCAGATTGATGACTACCTTAATTGTCATCATAGAAACTTCATCCAGCAACTAATGGAAGCAGATGCAGAGATCCACAGCTAAGCAGTGGCCTGAGCTTCCCAAGACCAGTTGAAGAGAGGGACGAGCAATAATATGAGCAAAGGGGTTAAGACCATGATGGGAATACCCACAGAAACAGCTGACTTGAGCTAGTGGGATCTCACTGACTCTGGACTGACAGTGGGGGAACCTGCTAGGACCAAACTATGCCCTCTGAATGTGGGTAACAGTTGTGTGGTTTGGGCAGTCTGTGTGGCCCCTGGTAGTGGGACCAGGATTTATCCCTAGTGCTTGAATTGGTATTTTGGATTCCATTCTTGCTGTGGGACAATGATCTTGTACCCTGTAAAGATTTGTCAGTTGTATCGCTTTAATAAAACACTGATTGCCAGTAGCCAGGCAGGAAGTATAGGTGGGGCGACAAGAACAGGAGAATTTTGGGAAGAGGAAAGTCACCGTTTGCAGTCGTGACCCAGAAGCAGAGGAAGCAAGATGGGAATGCCTGTCAGATAAAAGGTACCAAGCCACATGGCTGACATAGACAAGAATTATGGGTTAATGTAGGATGTAAGAGTTAATAAGAAGCCTGAGCTACTAGGCCAACCAGTTTACGATTAATGCAGACCTCTGTGTGTTTCTTTGGGACTGAATGGCTGCAGGACCCTGCAGGACAGAAACTTCTGTCAACACATTCTGTTTGGAGGGATACCTTACTCAGCCTACATAGAGGGGGTAGGGCCTTGGTCCTGCCTTAAAGTAATGTGTCAGACTTTGTTGACTCCTCATGGGAGGACTTACCCCTTCTGAGTAGTGGATGGGGGGGGGGGGTTCAGGGAAAGTGAGGGGAGCGAGAGGAAGGGAGGAAGTAGAAACTGGAATTGGTATGTAAAATTAGAAAAGTTAATTTAAAAAAATTAATTAAGAAAAGGGTTATCTTGGTCATGGTAGCTCTTCACAGCTATAGAATAATGACTTAGACAGTAGCCAAGGAAAACTTTAAATTTCTGGCCCTCCACATTCCACCTCCTGAGTTCTGGGATTACAGGTGCATGCCACCACATCCAGCTTAAGCAGTGCTGGGGATGAAACCCAGAGCTTCTTGTATGCTAGGTACTGAGCTACATCCACCAGCCCCCAAAGCATTGAAGACTAGAACCAGGTTCTATTTATATGCTTCATTGTCTGCCAGGCTGTCAGGGCAAGGGGCTTAGGTCCCTTGGAGATATTACCTGCTGGCAGCATGCACAAATGCTTCGCTTGCATTGGCCAATTCCTCTGCCACCTTCTGCAAGGAGGCAAGTGCTTCTCTCTGTACCTCTTTCCTCTCCACTGAGATGAGCAGCTGACAAAGTCGGACGGCCATGGGTGTGATGATCTGCTCCATGGCCCTGTTCTGTATCCTGGGCCCAAAGTCATCCCAGAGGAAAGAGTCCATCTTCCCGAGTCTATGAACAGAAACGAGGACACCATTAGATCATGTTTGTTGACATGGAAGTATTTCTCTTTATTCAGTGCTCTCTCTCTCTCTCTCTCCTTCTCTCTCTCTCTCTCTCTCTCTCTCTCTCTCAAACACACACACACATACACACACACACACACACACACACACACACATATATATATATATATAAAGGGAAAGATTTATAAAATAGTAAAGGATATTTAGGATTTATGCTAAAGCCCTTACACATACACAATAGGTTGTGGTCTAGCAGAAACATATGAAGGGGGTGGGGACACATAAGTCAAGTACTGAAGAAGACAACAGAGTGAAAAGTAGATTCACAAACCACAAAATAGAAATGGTTAAGAAATGGTTAATGGCAATCCAGTGCTGGAATTTGTTGTGGAATATTATTTGAATTGGACAGAGATGTGTTACATCCGTTTATGCTGCATTGGTTTAATTATGAAAAGATGTGTTGTATTTGTTTCACCTTGTCTGCCTAAGGCACCTGAATGGTCCAATAAAAAACAAAACAGTCAGTACCTAGGCAGGAGAGGTATAGGCAGGAATGGAGGGCAGACAGAGTAAATAGGAGGAGAAATTTAGCCTCTAAGAAATAGGAGAGAAGAGAGAACAAGGGAAATGCCTGGGACCAGTCAGGCATCCCATCCCCCTAGCAGACAGAGTAGGACATAAAGAAAGGAAGAAAAGTAAAAAAGCCCTGAGGCAAAATGCAGATTAAGAGAACCAGGCTAAAATAAGAGCTAAGATAAGGCTGAGCATTCATAACTAATAGTAAGATCTCCACGTCATGATCTGGGAGCTGGCTGGTGGTCCAAAAGAAAAAGCTTGCTACAGGGATTCTATAACTTGTTCAATCTTATTCTCTCATTCAAAATATTCCCCCAAAGGAAGATTAAAAGAAGACAACTCAGGTTGCAGATGTCTCAATGGTTCAAAGCACTTCTTGCTCTTACAGAGGGCCTAAATTCAGCTCCGAGAAACTACAGCAAGCAGCTCACAATCACTTCTAACTCTAGATCAAGGGGACTGTCAGGAGCCATTTCCCCCCAATCATTACAGAAACCATCACCCTAGGGGGTCTGCAGAGAACCCCACACCCAATTAACTTATCTCTTAGAGGAACCCGCCTCACATTCCAGCTATCCAGGGAACCAGGTGTGGCAACTTGTGACTTCCTGGCCTACTTCCTGGCCTACATGACCTGGAACAAGCGCAAGAATCCAGTTACCCTGCCCCCCATTCCTTACCATATATAAACTGTAACCCGTCCCTAATAAACGGAGGCTTTGACAAATCTGCTTGGCCTCCTTCTTCTGTCTTAGCTCACTCCCTTCCAGGTAGCGCCCCTCCGAGACCCTGGAATTACTGATTGCGGGTGGGTTACTAACCCCTAGACTGAGTAGCCCACCCAACGCAATCCACAGGGGACCTGACACACTCTTCTCCTAGCAGCAGGCACATATATATGTGCACACACATGTGTGCACAAGTGGACATGTGCCCACAAGCACACACACAGATAAAAAAAACTTAAAATAATCTCAGGATAATACATAGGTGAAGAAAACAAAAGAATGTTGCTGTGGTGGTTTGAATGACACCCACAGGTTCATATGTTTGAAGACTTGGTGGAGCTGTTTGGGAAGAATTACAGGGTGTGGCCTTGTTGGAGGAGATGTGTCATTGGGGGTGGGTGGGCTTTGAGATTTAAGAAACTTGTGCCATTACCAGACAGCCGTCTCTTTCTGCCTCCTACTGGTAGATAAGGCCACAAGCTTCAACTGCACCTCCTGAAAACATCCCGTGTACATTCACCTCCCCCCACTTCTGATTTTAGAGGGTGGCTATTAAGAAACCTGTATCATGCAGTGGTGGTGGCGCACGCCTTTAATCCCAGCACTCGGAAAGCAGAGGCAGGAGGATCTCTGTGAGTTCGAGACCAGCCTGGTCTACAAGAGCTAGTTCCAGGACAGGCTCCAAAGCCACAGAGAAACCCTGTCTTGAAAAACCAAAAAGAAAAAAGAAAAAAGAAACCCGTATCAGGGGCTGGAGAGATACTGCAATGGTTAAGAGCACTGGCTGCTCTTCCAGAGGATCAGGGTTTGGTTCCCAGCACACATATGGAGCCTCACACCTGTCATGATCCATGTTCTAACCTCTGTGTGCGCTGCATGAATGTGGTACATAGACATACATGCAGGCAAAACACCCGTACTGGTAAAATAAAATAACAATGAAAAGAAACCTGTGTCATCCAGTTTAGACTGAAAAAGATAGAGTCTGGAGAGATGGATCTGTTGAAGATGTTGCCATGTGGCTGTGGGTTCATGTGGGTCCGTGAAATGAAGACTCAGAGACACTGGAGAATCAACTTAGCCTTCGGTGGCCACAGGGGTCCCCGGCCTTCATGAACTGAAGCATTTTTTCCTTCCCCCAGGGCATTTTTATTTTTTCCTGTATTTACACTTTAGCCAGTTGATTTCCATAAGCTCAAAACAACCTGAAAGAGGCTTCCAAAAATACAATGCCAAGGGCAAATACCTGATTCAGGAGGTGCTGATGCTGCCCCCTAACCAAGTTTTACATAAGCATTGTATCCTTGGAAAACTCTCAGACAAGATTCATGTTGGGTGACAAAAGGTATCTGTAACACAAAGGATGGATTAGGGCTGGGTGCTAACACCAGAGCTAGGCTAGGTGTGGCCCAGTAGGGGTGAGGGCAAGTTGCTAACTCTGGTGGCAGGCCAACAGGAAATGCTGCTACGTGAACCAATGGTTAAGCAGGCTGGCTGTTCTTTCAACCATTTGAACTCCAGTTCCAGGGCCTCTTCTAGCCTTTGCAGATAGCATGCACGATGCTGTGCACTTACACACATGCAGGGTAAACACTCGTACACCTAAAATAAAAATACAGAAATCTTAAAAATAAAATAAGATGGTGGATGACTGAGGAAGGCACCTGACATTAGCTATCCTTTGGCTACCACCTGCACATATGCATACCGGAAAACACATGTACATACCCAGAGAGCGGGGACGGGGTGAAAGAAATTGAAGCACCAGAAGATAGAAAAATCACCATATTCGTGGACTGGAAGAATTAATGTGGTGTTATGTCTATTGTTGTTCCTTTTGGAAACTACAGCTCCCAGATTCCTCCTGGATTACGGACACCTGCGCGCGCGGGCACGCACAGGTGCAGGACATTTCTCCCAATCCTCATGAATGCAATGCTATGTGTGTACAGGTGCTTGAAGCCATTTTGAAAGTGTAGCCAAGGGGTCTAAAGACTGAGACCAATAGCTGAGGACATTGCTTAAACTCTTAAGATTCAGGCAAAGCCTTTTACATACCTTTGCTTGCTTTAAACCATTTTGGTTTTGTTAGGGTGGATTGACAGGCAGTCTGTGTGTCCTGTCCCTCTGGGAACCTTGCTTTTGGGACAGCTACAGGGGACAATATGGACCACTCACAGACATGGAGACAGTACATGCAGGATCTTGATATACCTTCTCAATGACCCAAAAGGAGAGGTTGTTGTATCTAGTACTATGCTTTTAATTTTTTCACTTTAGAAACTCTGGTGTTCTCATTTTTAAATATGTGGGTAAACACACTACATTTTCACCATGAACTCTATTAATGAAACACTTTAGTACATCAAAATGTACTGTTAAACAAACTAGCCGAGAAAACAAAGGATTTGCCAAGAAACGAGGGGTCATGATTGCATCTAAACTGAAAAGTTCCTAGAATGCATCTTTGTCAGGCCATCATGAACACAGTCATCCACAGAGAACAACAAGGGGCTAGAAAATATGAACTTTCCCTTACCTTAGTGGGAAGACTCTCCACTCTCCACACAAATGAGACACAGTTTCGCACTCCCTTGAGAAATGGGTGATTTAAGCAGCCACAGGAGCCCACCTAGGTTTGCACACAGCTCCAAACTACAGGTTCTCCCAGCCTCCGTTAACTGACTCCACCCCTGACGTCATAGCGAGTATCAAGAAGAAGCAGCAACATAACTTATGCATGACACTGTGGCAGGGCCAAGGCTCTGTTTCAAAGATAAGAACTGCATGAGAGCCTGAATAGACAGCTATCTGAACCAGTCACAATAGGGCTCAACGACAGGTCTAAAACAGTTGTATTGTGTGGAATCGAAAAGAAATCATGCTCCTGATTCTTAAAAGCCAGAGAGTGAATTGCTGACCAGTTTTATATGGCTTCTTATTTCTAGTCCTTCATAGGTGGATTTTCATATTTGTTTGGTTGGTGAACAGGCATCAGTCTGCTGTTTCTTGAGAACTAAAAAAAAGCAGATGCTTACATTGGAGAGAGAATACATTGAAATGTGTGTATCCTATAGATCACCTCACAAAGCAATTTCATGATTTTTAAATCTCTCTGTCTCTTTGTCTGTCTCGCTATGGGTTCCAGGTTGTCCTTAGGCACAGTGCTAGAATTACAAGCATTCTCTACCACACTTGGCCTCCATCTTGTCTTGAGAGATGGGGATGGGGTAGGGGAGATAGAGGAGAGGTGGCTCAGCAGTTAAGAACGCCTGTTGCTCTTGTAGAAGACCTAAGTTCAGTTTCCAGCACCCACGTGGTAGCTCACAGCCAACTGTAACTCCAGTTAGTAAAGGTGCTTGCTTTCACAGCATAGGGACTCGAGTTAAAATCCCCAGCACTCATAAAAGCCAGGTATTGGAGCTGGACAGACAGCTCAGTAGTTAAGAGCACTAGTTGGTCTTGTAGATAATCTAAATTCAATCCCCAACACCCAAATAATGGCTTCCAACCTTTGTAACTCCAGCTCTAGAGGATCTGATGCCCTCTTCTGGCCTCCACAGGCACTGCATGCATGTAGTGCACATACACACATGCAGGCAATACACTCATACACGTAAAGTAAATCTAAAAAATAAAAATAGATCCTCAGCACTGGGAAGATGGAGTTAGATGAATTCTTGGTATTCACTGGCAGCCGAATCAGTGAGCTCCAGGTTCAATGAAAGACCCTGACTCAAAAAAAAAAAAAAAATTAGGGGGCAAGTGTCTTCTGCCCTCTGCCCTCCAGATTTGTAGTGGTTTGAATGAGACTCACACATTTGAACACTTGGTCCTTAGTGGGTAGCGCTGTTTAGGAAGTCTGTGGAGGCTTCAGGGGGTGAAGTCTTGCTGGGGGAAGTATGGGGGTGGGCTTTGAGTGCTTATGGTCTCTTCCTGTTTGCTCTCTGCTTCCTGTTTCCAGAGGGAGATGCGACCTCTCTCTCAGGCCCTTTCTTCCACCTTGCCTGTTCATTGCTGCAATGCCTCCCACCATGATGGACTCTTATCCCTTGGGAACCGTAAGCCAAGATAAGCTCTTCCTTCTATAAGTTGCCTTGGCCAAGCTGTTTTACCACAGCAACAGAAAAGGAACCAATTCAAGCATTATAAATAAGCCACAGCCTATGCTCAGGGAAGAAGCAACAGAGGCATTTACCCATGCCAGTGAGTATGTAAGCTGTGTGTGCGTATTATAAAGTTTGCAGACGTGAACTATGGGTCTGGAGATGGCTCACCTCGAACAGGGAGTGAATGTGGTCATTTTCATCAACAAGATAGTTTCGCTCTACAGATTCCACTTTCTAACAAAACGGTTATTTTCTGTCAATTATGTAAGTGTACCATCTAACTGTGATAGTTTTCCATTTATGGAGAGTTTATGATACTCAAGGCATGTGCTGGGTTTTACATGCTGTTTAATCCCTACAAATATCACATTACTGAACCATACTCTTGTTGAGGCATAGGGAGTAATTTCTAGAGCTGGAGTACCAGTTCGGGCCTGGCTGACCTCAGGACTCCCAGAGTCTCTGACTTTCTGTGATGCTATCTGTGCAGCGTCACAAGCCCAGATGCTAAAGTGGCTCCAACTTCTGTCATCCTTATGAAAATGTGCTCGTGACTTTCGAACAGCATCGTTCAAATATCCAGATCATGGTTTTACCACTCAAAACCATTCTCTGTGCTGAGTTCTAGTGGCCTGGACGGTCCGCTAGGGATTCTAGTTAACCTGAAGTGAGAATCAAGAAAGAGACAAGGTCCTTTCTTTTTTCTTTTTTTAAAGATTTATTTATTTATCATGTATACAACATTCCTTCCACGTGTGCTTGCATGCCAGAAGAGGGCACCAGATCTCATTATAGATGGCTGTGAGCCACCATGTGGTTGCTGGGAATTAAACTCAGGACCTCTGGAAGAGTAATCAGTGCTCTTAACCTCTGAAGCATCTCTCCAACCCAAGAGACAAGGTCTTGAGCTGACGGTACTATCTACCACAAGGCTGGGCCTTTGGGAGAGGTACTTGTGGGTGTTTATGGACCAAGGCTACCAGTTCTTCCTTCCGGGTGTGGGTGTTGCTGTGTACTTACACTTCATACAATAGCGATCGCTCAATTGTGTTTCTTCTCTCACACTTTGCTGAAAGAAGTCTATGGTGGTTTGAATAGGAATGGCCCCCATAGGCTCATAGATTTGAATGCTTGGTCACTGGAGTGTGACCTTGTTGGAGTAGGTGTGATCTTGAGGAAGTATGTCACTGGGTTGTACTTTGTGGTTTCAAATGCTCAAACTAGGCCTAGTGTTAGTCTCTCTTCCTGCTGCAGTGGATCAACATGTAGGAGTCTCAGCTCCTTCTCCAGCACCATGTCTTCCTGTGTACCATCGTGCTTCCTGCCGTGCTGATGATGGACCAACCTGATTGGAAGTGTCACCCCAGCCCCTGGCCTGGGAGTTGCCTTGGTCTGGACTCCACCTCCAGAAAAGCCCACCAAGCGCTGACCCCTCCCCAGGGAGGGGCAGGACCAGTCCCACAGCTATTTAGGCTTGCGGCAGGAAAAGAAACAGATGGTCTCTGGGATTTTGCGTGGGCTCCCCCTCTCTCCACGCTGTCCTGGTCACACAGGAGCCTGGTCATCTTGGAGGAGCCTCTCTGCTGACGCAAATAATTCCAATTAGACCAGATTAGGCCGAATCAAAGATGCCCATATTTAATAAATGCAGCGCTCCTGGGTGGGAGAAGGGAGAGACAGAAGGGGGCGGGGCATACCACACCCAAGACCACGCTTGGTCAGTGCTTGGTGGGCTTTTCCGGAGGTGGAGTCCAGACCAAGGCAACTCCCAGGCCAGGGGCTAGGGTGATGTTTCGAACCAAACATCCCAGGGGAGGGGGCTTAGATGGATGCCAGGGACTGGGTGACGCTTCCAATCACAAACCTCTGAAACTGTAAGCCAGCCACAATTAAATGCTTTCCTTTATATAAGTTGCTGTGGTCATGATGTCTCTTCACAGCAATAAAACTCTAAGACACATGGTTTGCTGAGTTTGCTTTTAGTACCGCACAGGATCACCTTCCCAGGGTTGGCACCATCCACAATGGGCTGGAACATTCTACATTAGACATAAATCAAGAAGAGTTCCCCCTACAGACTTGCTCAATCGGATGGAGGCATTTTCCCACTTGAAGTTCCCTGTTCCCAGATGGCTTCAGTTTGTGTCAAGTTGACAAACCAGCAGTTGGCCAGCTTTCTGTGGCTACAACTAATACCCAGGGCAATAAACTCATAAAGGGAAAGGGTGATTCTGCACCTCAGTTTTTGGGCTGTAAGTGATTGGCCCTGTAGTTCTTGGACCTGTGGTAGAGCAGCACACCATGCTAAAAACACGTGACAGAGTGAAACACACTCCCCCTATATCCCCAGCCAGGGAATAAGAAAGAAGAGAGGCTGGGTCACCCTAGAAGGAGAAGACGTGTGAATTCCAAAGGTTCAGACTAGGAGTGAGTGTAGCACACCCCTTACATGTGTTGGCAGGAACATACACATCCATGTGACCAGGACTAATTCAAAGGGGAATGGGAAGTCTAAGACTCAGAGTTTCCCTTCTCTAAGACGACGAGATGGTTCCAAGTTGTCCCACACATCTTGCATCTGAGTGACACCAGCTGAAAACGTCAATGATTTCTACAGCTCAGAGTGAGATTGGATAGTTTTGGGTCATTTTATCTGTGCCACCACTCACCATGGAGCAGAGTGGCCCCGTTAGTGCAGATCTGATACTCATTTCTCTCAGCGTTCGTCTCAGTCGACCCTCAGAAATCGGTGCGAGGAGGGGAGGAGAGATGAATTTTTATCACTGATAAAAGGAGTGGTGGGTGTACAAAACCCAAAACAAACAAAAAATTATGTAGTAATGGGCTGGGGATGTGCTCAGTTGGTAAAGTGTTTGCTTAGCATGCACGAAGCCCCGGGTGGGATTCCTCAGCATTAAATCAAGTCAGAGTGTCAGAGTGTGCCTAAGGTAGATGAGACAGGGGCAGCCTTCACACGGTACTCAGTAGATAAGGAAAGCAGGGTAGAGAGAGAGGCCCCGTGGTGTTCTTCCCCTGCCCCCACCCCAACCCCACCCCTAAAGCTTGGGTCTGCTGAGGGCATTTACGAATGAGGGTAGAAATGCTCTTAGTACCAAAGTTGGTTTCCTCAGGCTGTCAGGCAAAGCGACAATAGACTTTTAAAGGACAAATCTGCCACTACTCAAAAGAGGAAGCTAGGGTCCAGAGAAGGGAAAGTGGTCCAATTCTGGTGAATTGCAGGACCTGTGAAGAGTCCAGGGCTTCCCTGATTCTGTTTAGGACGGACCCTCAGGCAGAGTCCGGAGGAGCCCTCCTCAGCAGGTGACGGAGTTTGACACACACCCACTCCCTGGAAACCAACAGCGAGCAGATCCGAAGGGACGCACAGCTTCACTTGGGTACAGGAAGGAAACTTAGAACTTTAGTTTTGGTTTATTTTGAGACAGTAGCCCAGCTGGCCTCGAATTCTCTAAGTAGCTGAGGACGACCTTGAATACTTGATCTTTCTTCCCCTACCTCCTTAGTGTTGGGCTTAGAGGCAGGCCCGATTTTACAAGGCTGAGATCGGACCCAGGGCTCGGGGCTGGCTAATCAAGCACTCTACCAACTCAGCTACATCCCCTGCCTGGATCTTTTGTTTTCACCCATCAAATCTGATTTTGAACTAGGTGGGAGAGCCAGACAGACTGCAGAAAGGGATATTTGCAGGCTATGACCCGGGCACAGCTGAAATCATTCCGCTCTGTTTCTCCACCGCACTTCGCGTGTATTGCAACCACACCTGCGCCCCACGCCACTGGCACCCAGCAGAGCGGCGGCCACCCTGGGGCGGGCCCTGCACCCGAGCTCCAGCCGCAGCGGCCGGCAGACCTGCCCCGAGCGCCGCGCGGAATCACGGTCGTGGGCGGGGCGCTGGCGGTGGGCGCGGCGTCCGGGTGGCGCTCGCCACTCGGGCGGGCGGTGGCGCGGGAGCCCAGGGCCGGTGCTGAGGGCACCCGGAGGCGCGGCTCCGGAGCTAGGGAGACGGCTGGGGTTGGGGCAGCGATCACGCTGGGCTGCCGTGCCTTGGACTCGTGCGGCGGCTGCGGGGCGCGCGGCCCATCGCCATGTACACCTTCGTGGTGCGCGATGAGAATAGCAGCGTCTACGCCGAGGTCTCCCGGCTGCTGCTGGCCACCGGCCACTGGAAGAGGCTGCGGCGGGACAACCCCAGGTTCAACTTGATGCTGGGCGAGAGGAACCGACTGCCCTTCGGGAGACTGGGTGAGCCTTTCCCTCGTGGCCGCTGCGCGCACGGCCCCGGGAAGCCGGCGCTTTTGTTTTTAAGGTCATTAATCTTCTCTAGGCGCTTGCTCGCTCTGGCAGATCTAAAATGGATCCAGCAAAAACTAAACCCATAGCTGGATTCGGAACGGAGCCTCGGTGCGGATGCCCTGGCTGCTGACAGTGACCTAGCCCTGCACCCGAAGTCTCGGAGTGTCGGCCTCGTCCCCCAGCCTCCCTGCGCCCGCTGCAGTCGTCTTGCAGCTTTGCGCCACCGAGCATTCCGCCTTGTGCGGTGTGGGTGTGGAGGGGGAGTTATCGTTGTCGAACCCTCAGCGGCTTGTGCTACCGGGAGGCCCAGGAAATTTGGGAAAGACTGAGTAACCTAAAGCGGGGTGGGGGAGTGGGGGAGGGTGGGAGTGCGGAGGTGTTCCATTTCAGACCTTTTTAGCTGCACTAAAAGTGTGCATTTGCAACTGTGCGACTAATGATGGTTTTTACAGGAGTTTGGATGGCCTTTGGTCTCCTCATCCACATGAAGCTGGCTTGGTACCACTTCTTTCACATACTTTCCTGCAAGAAGGGACAGCGACTCCCGTTTAAATGACGTAATCTAGAAGTTGCCCAGATGGGTTCAACTAGTATCCCACAGACTTGAGCCTGCTCTCACGGGTCCTTCACTGCACAGTCATCTGGGGGAGGACCTGCCTCTCTCTGGGTTGCTGGTTCTTTTTGCAAAAACTCACTTGGGGGTGGAGTCGGTTGTATTCCAAGGACAGAAGGGGAGAATTGATAGCAGAGAAGAGGCGACTCTACCTTGGAGGGTACCCTAGAGAGGGGAGCGTTTTCAGAAATAGGTGTGGTCAGAGATGGGTGAGACTAGACTGAAAGCAGGCCCGTTTGGAGTTAACTGGCTGTTTGGCAAGCTTGTTTAAGGCTTTTGGGTGTCGTTACAGCCCCATCAAGATGTGGTGGCTTGAAGGATGAAGTACATTAAGGCTTACCCTTACTGAAATAGTTCAGGGACAACTTTTCATTGTTATACAAGTTTACACTGTAGCAAGGTGACTCCAGGGAGTGACTGGTTGGAAGCCTCAGAAATCTCAGCATGGACACAGGCTTGTTAATCAAATTCCCCTGGAAGGGCTCAGCAAAGCAAATTCCCCAAAACTAACTTCCCCAGAAGGAGTACAGGAACAACTACCAGGAGGTCCCTCTTGGCTTTGTCACTTCCCTTCCTGACTTCCCTTCCGCTTGGCACTTGGCAATGCCTGATGGTACGAGCCTAGGTAGAGTCTTGGTATTGAGAACACACCCAAAGACTCTGCTCAGACTGGGGCAGGAGTAGGTGGCCTTGCTTCTACGGTGACAAATGAAGCCCTTTGTGATCCTGGTCCTGAGAAGGCACCATATACTTAGCGGATGACCAGCGACATTTTATTTTTAGGGAAAAGACGGGTGCATCCTCTTAACTAAAATGGTTCTGCACCCTCACTGTTGGGAGTATTTACTTTGTGTCTAAAATGGGCTGCATGAAAGCAAAGGAGAAAGCAGAGTCATGTTCAGCACTGGAAGGCCAGGGCCAATGGGATGAGGAGGTACCCCGTCAACAGTGAATCTGACCTGTCTTCCCCAGGAAGACTGTGAAAACCAGATGCTGTCTGAAAGGTCTGACTTGGTTATGTGCCATGGTTGGATTAATTATTTGTTACCCCTGACACCAACTCAGAGTCTCTTTTTTAAATCTTACCTTTTGTTACCGGAAATGCAAAGCATTTTGATGGGAGTTAATTATTTTGAAATAAAATGTATTTTTTGCTGTTTCATTTTATCTCTTTTTGTTTGTTTTTGAAATGGTTTCTCTGTGTAGCTTTGGAGCCTGTCCTGGAACTCACTCTGTAGACCAGGCTGGACTTGAATGCACAGAGATCCTCCTACCTCCGCCTCCTGAGTGCTGGGATTAAAAGTGTGCACAACCACCGCCTGGCCATATCATTTTTTTTAAAGATTTATTTATTTATTATGTATACAACATTCTGCCTCCATGTAAGCCCACACACCAGAGGAGGGTGCCAGATCTCATTATAGATGGTTGTGAGCCACCATGTGGTTGCTGGGAATTGAACTCAGGACCTTTGGCAGAGCAGCCAGTGCTCTTAACCACTGAGCCATCTCTCCAGCCCATGGCCATATCATTTTATTTCTAATTTTTATCTTCATTTATTTCATTTCATCTTTTATGATGCCGGGGATTGAACCCGTGGCCTCATACGTGGTAATGATGCACTGTACTCCAAGCTTCCTGTTGTGGTTTTAGAAAGGCTTTTGTAGTAAGAGCTATTGAAATGTTTCCTTGTGAATAGTGCAAAGAAGTTCTCAGGGCTCCGACATTGCCTCGGGGGCCTTTCTGCTACCCCCTTTACTTCTTAGTGGCTTCTAGAAGCTCCTGGAGGTAGATGTGCTGTACTCTGCTGCCTTCTTTGATGTTTTGGGGAAAGTGAGGTTGGGATGGATGTATGGCTGTATGCAAGTAGCCTTGTTCAGCGGGTTACAGGCCTAGGTGTGTTCAGCTAAGAGAGAGCTATGTTAGGACCAAGGAGAAATGAAAAAAAAAAAAAAAAAGCACCCGGTGCTCTCCTAATAAGAAGGAAGGCAGCCACATCCCAGCGGACCTGCATGTCAGTGTTGCTGTTGCGGTATTGACCATAGGATAGTGAGGGGAAGAGGGACCTTGGGACACAGAAGGAAAGCTGGGCCTGGCACACCTGTTCTGCACACTGCTCCTGACACTGTCGTCTGCACCTGCTCCCTTTCCATTCTGAGCCTCTTCTTTCCTCGTAGGTCACGAGCCCGGGCTGGCACAGCTGGTGAATTACTACAGGGGGGCGGACAAACTGTGCCGAAAAGCTTCCTTAGTGAAGTAAGTGTTCCCCAAGACCTCCGTTTTTGGTGTTTTCTATAAAATGATTTCAGCTGTCATCCTGAAGCACTTAGGCCAAGATAAGGGATTATTTTAAGTGTGTGTGTGTGGGGGGGGGAGTGTGTGTACTGTTTTCAAAGTCAACAGAAATCAGGGCTGCGGGCTCTTCTGGGTGGCTTTGATTACAAGTTTAAGGCGTTGCTGTGTATGACTTGCTAAAGCCTGCCTGTCTCCTAGGTGAGGCTCCCTAGAAGCAGAGCCTGGCTCTCCGGAAGGGGGGTTCTAATGTCAGTGATTTCTTGGAAGAGACTCAAGGCAGACCCATCTGCACACGAGGGGGCAGAGTGAGTTGAGAGGTAGTTTTAGCTGAAGTCCTACCCCAGTGCTCTGAGGCGGATGTCATCTCAGAGTTGTCACACTTGAAGCAAGGTGACGCATCTGTCGATGTGTCAGTCAGGAGCAGTTCCACTTTTTCTTGGCGTTTGCTCACCTAGAAGCTTTCCCATGCTTTCTTCTTGTGGGGAAGGGGCTGGGGCGGAGGCTAAGTTGCCAAGCATTTGTGGTCCCTGGAGAAGGGTGTGCAAGCCTCCTCAGAAGACTCTCAAGCAGCTGGGGGTGGTGCTCAGAAGATACTCACATGAGTGCAACAGCCATCCTCTCTGAGCCACTGTGGTATAAGTAGATAGCACAAGTGTGGTATTATAAGGTGGAAGAATTCAGCAGTATAGAGTGGTTAGCTGCTTGGGATTAATCTCAGCTCTTTGAGGAATCTAATTAGTGGGCAAATCTCCTCATCTCTCAAGCCTGAATACCTCCCTCACAAAGCAATTGTGAGGTTAAACTAGGCGACTGGGTAAGTGGATGCAGCACAAGGGTCTGCTACACACAGGTATTTGTGCTTTAGCTTCCTTCTCTGTAAGAGCAATGGTTGTACCTAACTGCAACTCTGGTCGTCATGGTCGTCAATGCTGCCGTGTTCACGCAGAAGCTCTCAGTCTGGTCCCTAAGATCAGGGCTATAGTAGGTCTCCTGGACTCTTTCTCTGCTGTTTGTAAACGTGTATGAATAGTCAGCAAGCCTTCACATAGAGACACTAGGAGATGGGATCCAACACAAAATGCTCTTTTTCCTTGCTAATGTTTCTTTTGTACCTAAGAGATTGAGTGTGTATGGTTACATCTCTGTTTTTTTTTCTTTTGGATGTGGTGTTTCTGGTGTCTTTCCTGTCTCTCTTCTCTGGGATGGGTTTTCATGAGTTAGCAGTAACTCCTAAAAGAGAGTGAGGCTTCCTAAAGTCTTTATATGATGTGTTTGTTTGTTTGTTTGTTTTAGACATGGTTTCTCTACGTTATGGCTCTGCCTGTATGAACTCATTTTATAGACCAGGCTGACCTTGAATTCAGAGATCCCCTTGTTCCTGCCTCCCCAGTGCTGGGATTAAAGGTGTATGCTGCCACTACCTGGCCAATGTGCTCTTTTTATGTCTAAGATGTAAATGACCAGGTCTGGAGAGATGGCTCAGGAGTTAAGAACACACATATTGCCCTTCCAGAGGAGCTGTGTTAGGATCCCAGCACTCACGATACGCAGCTCACAACTGCCTCTGATTAGCTCATCTGGCTACTGTGGGCACCCACACTCTTTGGAATGTGAACATGCCCACACAGAGTCATAAAGACAAAAGTAGAATTTTGCTTTTATAAGTAGGAAGCAGAGGATGCTATAAAAATAATAGTGTTTTGCATATTTGCATATTCAATACCTGTAATGAGTCAGAGAAAACAGGACTGGAGTCATGACCAGGTCTACTACCTTGGACAGCGCCACCCTGACTCCCAGGGTTTACAAGGTGATGAGAATACCCCTCTCTGTAATGATATCTTGTAAATGGTGACTGTTATCACCATCAGCAGCAGCTTCCTTGTTCTCTAAGGGTTCTGCCAGGGGCTGTGGCAATTCCAGGAGCCGCTGGCTTCCTTCTGCAGTGTGTTTGCCTGTAGTGACTGCATGGTGTGGAGGGATGCTGGACAGTTAGATGGTGAGCGCTCTCATTTTGTGGCATAGACTGGACCTGTGAAGTGGGGGTATCAGCTGTGGGTTCCAAGGCCACAGCAGTTCATACTGAGCCAGGAGGGTTCCGATCTGTACAAATAGATCAGTCTGGCCAGGCATGCCTGAGAGGGCTTCCCAGAACCTTGACGGGGTTCTGTGCTGAATCTTGGACAGCCTGTTCCTTCTTCCCACTGCTTCAGGGAGTGCCAGAAATTCTCGAAGAACCCATGAAGCCTAGAGCCCTTGAAGGCCTTTTTTATCTTCTGGCAGGGTGGCAGGCTTTTCCCCTTCTGAGCATCACTCCCTTGCAGCTGTGGATAAACCTATGCTTGCACAGTTGCTTCCCGAACTGGCTGCTGAAGGAAGGGAAGAAATGCAGAGGACCTCACGCAGAGCTCAGCCGTGGCTCTGAACTGGAAGTTAGGGCTTCCAAGCCAAGATCCTCTTACAAACCGGCACTGCCCAACGGAAAGAGGACGCTAGTCCCACGTGTAGCTTTAGACCTAAAACAGCGGGGATAAAGAACAGGTGTCGTCAAGTCAATTTGTTTTATTTAGCAAATAAATCCAAATTATGGGGGTGCTGAATAGTTTTATGTCAGCATGACACAAGATAAAGTCATCTGAGAGGAGGGTGCCACAAGTGAGAAAATGTCTCCATAATGTCTAAGCTGTAGGGCATTTTCTTAATTAGTGATTGTTAGGGGAGGGCCCAGCCCATTGTGGGTGGGGCCATCCTTGGGCTGGCGGTCCTGGGTTGTATAAAAAAGCCAGCTGAGCAAGCCACGAGGTGCAAGCCAGCAAACAGCACCCCTGCATGGCCTCTGAGTCAGCTCCTGCCTCCAGGATCCTGCCCTGTTTGAGTTCCTGCAATCATTGCTTTGGATAATCTGTTCCATGGAACTGTGAGTGAAACAAACCCTTTTACCCCCAAGGTGCTTTTGTTCGTGGTGTTTCATCACAGCAACAGTAACCACAACCAAGACAGTAGGGGTTAGGGTGCAGCTTGTTGGTAGAACACTCGCTTTTAATGTGCAAAGCTTTGGATTTGATCCCCAACATTACAAAAAGTAGCCCCCACAAAAACTCACACCCTAATCTATATTGTCTTTTTGATGTGTTATTAATATAAAAAAATGAATTATATTTTTCTCATTCTAAATCTTCAAAGTCTGGCATGTATTTTATGCTTGTATCATGTCTTAGTTCAGAGGTTGCATTTTCACTGGAAACCCTTTATTTGAATTTAGATTTCATAAAACTATGGTTGAAAAGTAGATTTAGAACTGGGAATGCAGCTCTGTTGGGAGAGTGTTCACCTAATAGGCATAACAGAGTCCCAAGGAGGCCAGCCTGGGTTACATGAGAGTTTGTCTCGCTCTCTCTCACACACACCAAACAAACAAACAGCAAACAAAAAAGTAGATTTCCATACCCAAGTTGTTCCAATATATGTACAAGATTCTTAATAGCTGGACCATCAAGCAAATCTTTCCATTAATATTCATATATATGTTGTCAAAATGGATTAATTTTTAAAAAAAACGTTGGCTTGGATGCTAAGCAAAAACATATCGGTGGTGCAGCTGGGCGATGGCGGAGGGAGGCAGAGGCAGGTAAATCTTTATGAGTTTGAGGCCAGCCTGGTCTACAGAGCGAGTTCCAGGACAGCTAGTGCTTCAAGATGGTGAAACTCTATCTTGAAAAAAACAACAACAAAAGCAAATCATTTGAAAAAAAAAAAAAGTCCCCATTAACTGAATTCCAATTTATGTCAGACAATTTTCTAATATTGGGAGCCAGGCGGTGGTGGCGCACGCCTTTAACCCCAGCACTTGGGAGGCAGAGGCAGGAGAATCTCTTTGAGTTTGAGGCCAGCCTGGTCTACAAGAACTAGTTCCAGGACATGCTCCAAAACTACAGAGAAACTCTGTCTCGAAAAACAACCAAAACAAAACAAATATTGAACTTAAAGGGGTATTTAACACATTGAAAAGTACCTTTAAGTTATGTTTGACATATTTTCAATTTTTTTTTTAGTTTTTCAGCCAACATTCACAATACCATTGCTAGTAAAATCTTTTGCCTTTTTTTGCACAATAAAATATGTAAGGTGATGATTATTAACGTGATATGAAATTGGAACACAAATTGTCATATGTGTATGGGTAGATTACAAAGTCTTCCTTGATCTATAAATTTAGATCATGTATGTATACTGTGAACATATGTGAGATTTATATAATACTGCCATTTAAAAATCAATGAACACTGAATGAAATAATGGCTTACTGGGCGAAAATAATGACTTGGCAAGTATTTCTACTTCAGGAACATAGGAATGAATTGGAGTTAATACAGGAAAATGCTTTCTGCTCCCCACCAAAGAGTGTTGACAGAGAATACTCATTAAGATAGCTGTCTTCTCTTTATTTTTTTTTCCTGAACTGGTGATTCATGTGACAGGATGTTTGCAAGTGTCTACTGAGCCAGCAGGGCAGCTGTAGCCATTATACTTTATCCAGAGTGGGCCTGGGGAAACAATGTGTCCAGTTTATCTCAACAGGTGCAGGGAAGCAAATGTTTCCAGTAGCACTGGATGGTGGCATGAGGTGAAAAGGAGGCCTATGTCATCATCCCAGTAAAGCCACACTTTAACCCAGTCTCTGAAGTTGTGTCTCTTATGACAGAAACTCATTTTTTACATGTAGATGAAATTCTTTGACAGATGCAAAATATTAAAAGATGCCTATATCATGAGTTCAACAAACATTATTTAGACTAAACTTTGAACTTTGATAATATTTTTTTTTCATATAAGCTTACCCAAAGCATTAATTGGGCAACATCTGCTTATATCATAATTTACATAAGGCTAAGAAAAACTTTAATATTTTTTAATTTTTCCAATTAATTTTTGATGTTAGAGTTTGTAGCAAATGGCTACTTGGGGATTAACTATAAAATGAGAAAAAATCTATCTTAGTTAGGGTTACTATTGCTGTAATGAAGCACCATGACATAAGGCAGCTTGGGGGGAAAGGGTTTATTGGTGTACGTGCCTGCATTGTAGTCTATCATGGAAGAAGTCAGGACAGGAACTCAAACAGGACAGGGACCTGAAGGCTGGAGCTGATGCAGAGACCATGGAGGGGTGCTGCTTATGGCTTGCTCCTCATGATGTGCTCAGCCTGCTTTTTTACAGAACTCAGAACTACCAGCCCAAGGGTGGCCCCACCCACAATGGACTGGGCCCGCCCCCATCAATCCCTAAGAAGATGCTCTACAGCCAGATCTTACCACGGGTGCATTTTCTCAGCTGAGGCGCCCGCCCTCCTCTCAGGTGATTCTGGCTTGTGTCAAGTTGACTTAAAACTGGCCAGCACAATATCTTTTCAAACTTTTTTCCTTAAAATGATGTATTTCATCATCTGTCCATGTGCAGTGGTTTTCGTTCTGTGTAAGAATGGGAGCTATTTTATGGCCAGCTATAGTTATAAATTGAGATCCTGTTAAGAAGTTGTTGGCAGGCCAGGGAATATGTAGCTCAGTGATAGAAGGCTTTCCTAGGGGAAAGAAATGTTTAATGTTTTTGTTCAGAGATTGGTGAGATAGTTCGGTGATTAAGAGCACACGCTGCCCTTTCAGGGGATGTAAGTTTGGTTGCCAGCACCCAGGGGGCAGCTCACAACCATGTCTGCCCTTCAGGTTCAGGGGAGCCTATGCTCTCCCCTGGCACATGCACTCACATGTACACACACACACACACACACACACACACACCCCACACACTTAAATATAGTAAAATAATTTTTAAAAAAGATAATGCTTAGGTTAGGTACTTATGATCTCAACCACCGAAAGTATTGATTCTTTTTTGACTGTGGAGGAAAAATTGTTCATCAAATATTCTTTGCTGAAAATGTTGCCTTTACCAAACAGACTGCTTTTTCATTTTCCTGGGCCGTGAAGAGAGCAGTTGGCACTGCTGGTGAATCTGTGGCATGTCCTTTTCCAGGTGTTTCACTTGCACTTTCAGTTTTCTCTTTACTCTCCTGGACATTTCCTCAGCTTTGTGTCCCTCTTATTTCTTAATCATACACCTTTTTTAATCTTAAAATTGTCGCTATTTACTTATTATTTTATGTGAATGAGTGTTTGATCTGCATGTGTGTGTACCACATGCACATGGTGCTAAAGAGGTCAAGGAGTGTCAGATCCCCTGGAACTGGAGTTCCAAATGGTTGTGAACCACCATGTGGGTGCTGAGAGCCAAACCCAGGTCCTCTGCGAGAATGGCAAATACTCTTCACCACTGAGCCATCTCTCCAGCCCCCCCTATTAATTAATTAATTTATTTATTTATTCATTTATTATGTATGCAATGTTCTGTCTGTATGCTTGCTGGCCAGAAGAGGGCACCACATCTCATTACAGATGGCTGTGAGCCACCATATGGTTGCTGGGAATTGAATCCAGGACCTCTGGAAGAGCAGTCCGTGCTCTTAACCTCTGAGCCATCTCTCCAGCCCCAATATTTATTTTTTAAACTAGAAAAATGACCACATTCCACCTTAGATGCCCCTCATGGTGCACATAACTAGCCTTCCTCACTGTATAGTAAACGTATACCATTTCCTCCGTGCACAGGGACAAGGCATTGCTTGAGCTGAATAATTAATCTCTTGTTCCTGGATAGAACAGTGATGCACCCACGTGTGAAGAACACCGGTGTGTGACCTGAGTGTCGCAGTGCAGTACTAAAGGAAATGCTAGCCTGCTCAGTCAATACAGGTGTACTTACTGGAAAAACATTCGCACAGTGCATTCGTTTTCTGATTAAAATTAGATATAGTTCATAGTTTACTTCCTGAGTCTTACTGGTCGCCATTCAAATGCTCACTGGTTGTACGTGACCCTGATGACCGTACAGGACAGTGGCGCAGGGGTAAAGTTCATCCAGGGAGCTAGAAGCTTGTTGGTTTATATTTCTTAGTCTTTTTTGATTGAACTTTCTTTTTTTAATATTTATTTATTATGTATACAATATTCTGTCTGTGTGTATGTCTGCAGGCCAGAAGAGGGCACCAGACCTCATTACAGATGGTTGTGAGCCACCATGTGGTTGCTGGGAATTGAACTCAGGACCTTTGGAAGAGCAGGCAATGCTCTTAACCACTGAGCCATCTCTCCAGCCCTGAAGAAACTTTCAAATCCTGTTTGTTGTTAAAATGGCTTTATTTAAAATCTCTCTCTGTCTCTGTCTCTGTGTGTGTGTGTGTTTGTTTGGGAATGTGCTAATAACCATGTGTATGGAGGCCAGAGAGTAACCCCAGGCATCAGGTGTCAATCTTAAATACTATCCAGGCGTGGAGGCGCAGGCCTTTAATCCCAGTACTTGTGAGGCAGAGGCAGGTGGATTTCTATGTATTCAAGACCAGCCTGACCTACGGAATGAGTTCCAGGAGAGCCAGGGGTGCACAGAGAAACCCTGTGTAGAAAAACCAAAAGTGTTTTGAGACTGGCTATCCGGCTCTGGGATCCCAGCGCACATCACAGCGTGCGGCCTTCCATGCACCAGGCTTCACACGCTTGCGCCGCAAGTGCTTTACCCAGCCATTTTTTAAATCTTAATTTAAAATGTTGTTTTAGCTATTTGCTCAGACTGGACTTTGTAGAGGAATCTTGATACAGAACTCACATAAGCAGTTCTGTACTAGGTAGAAGAGAGCATGCAGCCCCAGGAGGCCGGTCCTTGTCCTGGTTAGACCCGACGATTCAGACCTGGGGACAGGGTTAATGTTAGGACCTGGGAGTTTGGAGTTTGCATCCTGGATGGGCCTTGCACACGTGTAATGTGGGAACCTCACATCTCTTTGACTCAGTTCTTTGTTTGGAACAGGTTCTCGAAGCCCCAGCTCTGGAGTGGCTGGAGAGCTGGTGCAGTAGGAAGCCCTCGCGTTTATGCGCCCTGCCCAGGGCCTGACTCTGTTTTCTGTGGTGTTTTCTCATTCTAAGAGCAGAAGGCGTTTCCCTGGGTCCTCTCCTGTCCTGTGTCCCATCGGAAGGAGTCCTTCTTTATTCTGCCAGGATAACAGCCTGAGATAAAAGCAAGAAATAAAGAACTTAAAACACAGTGACAATTTAGACTGAGTAATTAGATTTAATAGTTTTTCTCCCCTAGATTTTTCAGCTGCGCCAAGATAGTATTTTTGCTAGTTATTCACATATTTTTCTTTTCTCTCTCTCTCTCTCTCTCTCTCTCTCTCTCTCTCTCTCTCTCTCTCTCTCTCAGTGTAGACAAGGTTGGCCTTGTACTCTAGAGATCCATCTGCCTCTGCCTCCCAGAGCCGCCATTAACGGGCTGCTCCCTTTTTCATTTGGATCTAGCTAATATAACATATTAGTTGAAACACCTTTCAGTTTAGGGTTGCATTGAGTTTTTATAGAGATACATTTAAAACGAGTTCAATTCTGAGCCTTGTGGGGATTTGTTGTTGTTTTGTTTTTGTTTGTCTCGAGTGAGGGTCTCTCGTAGTTCATGCTGGTCTCTAGACCTTGAACTTCCGACCTCCCTTCTTATACCCCTCAAATACTAGGATTATAGGCATGCACCACCGAGTCTGGTGTATTTGATGCTGAGGATTAAACCGAGTGTCCTATACTCCCAGCCTGCCATGAGCCTTTGAATTAACCAGGATGTGGCTTTGGAGCCATGCCAGACAGTGTGATGCGTTGGAGGCCTGACCTTCCAGCCTAAGAGCAAATAGAGAGGAAACCAGACTGGGTGTTGGCTTCTGGAGAAGCTTAAGGGGGAAGCAACAGCCTTTCTGAGCAAGGTGACATCTCCCTGGGAACGGAGACTGACCCTCTGTCATCTGCCAGGCTAGTCAAGACCAGTCCCGAGCTGTCTGAGTCCTGCACATGGTTCCCTGAGTCCTATGTGATTTATCCAACTAACCTCAAGACACCGGTCGCTCCCGCGCAGAATGGCATCCAGCTTCCGGTCAGTAACACCAGGACGGATGAGAGAGAATTCTTCCTGGCTTCTTATAACAGAAAGAAAGAGGATGGGGAAGGCAATGTTTGGATTGCAAAGTCATCAGCTGGTGCCAAGGGTAAGTTACCATTGCCACCCTGTCACTTGTGGGATGCTCTTCGGCATCCTGCAGTGGCAGGCTGGGTCTTAAGGATGTAAGGATGTATTGATTCCTTTGTTTTGAGAGTGGCACGTATGCCACGCTGTGCGTGTGGAGGTCAGCATATCCTTCAGGAGCTGGTTCTCTCCTTCCGCCGTATGGGTCCCAGGGACTGACTTTAGATTGGTAGGGTTCACAGCAAACGCCTTTACCCACTGGGCTGTTTCACAGGCCCTGACTGATGTATTAGGTGAGTGGCCTCACTCCGTCATCACGATCAGAGACCATGTCCAGTTTTTATTTCTAGAAAACATTTTTTTTTTTTGAAAGAGGGTCTCATGTAACCTTAGACTGGCCTCAAACTCTCTTAAGTGGCCGAGAATGACCTGAAACTCTTGATCTTGCTGTTCTTGTCAATCTGAGTGCTAGGATTACAGGCATCCCACTCCCACGCTTGGTTTTATTGGGATCTAGGGATGGAACCTGGCCGGGGCTTTATGTATGCTAGGCAGATACTCTGCCCACTGAACTCCGGCCACAGCCCTTTAGAGATTTCTGGAGCCTCCCAAACGTTTATCGCCTAAGTCTTCGCTTTAAGCTCTGGACTAGTGGTACCCTCGCTGTCTCTAAAAGGCATTTCAAGCTCAAATCGTCTGACATGGAACTTTTCTGATCCTTCCCGGCTTGCCCACTGCAGCCCGCTCCTTCCCATTGCCTGTTTAATGTGTGACCCCACTGTGCACACAGTCTCTGAAGCCCCAAATCTCAGCTCCTCCTTTTCTTTACGATCTCTACCAAGTGCATTAATACCAGGGCTCGCTTCAAAATACGTTCAGCGTTAGGTTTTATGTTTCTGCCACTCCCGCTCTTAGGTGGAAGCTACTCTTCTCTCGGGCCAGCAGCTGCAGTGTGACCTTCAGCCGGCTCTCATCTTGCCAGGCAGTGCTGATTTCAAGACGCAAATCTGATCATGTTACTTCCTAATGCATTTAGGATGGCTCCAGAGTCCTGGTGGGAGCCCGCCCCCTTGGACACTTCCTGACGTCTCTGATGTCATCTCCTATTCTTGGCCATGCACAATGTGCTGTAGACACAAAGATCTCTGGATCTCTCAAATACACAGATAAATTTGCCTCGATACCTGGAATGTGTCTCCATCAGCTCAGACACTGCCTCATCAGAGAAGGCTCTTCTGGTCTACAGTGGCGTCTATACCCGCTGTTTTCTGTGTCTTTCACCTGTGTGTGTTCGTGTCTTCCCAGGAGTGTATCACACAGTGGGCCATTTCCTTGCTACATTCTAAGCCTGTGTAAATGCAGGCTTTATGTCTTGTTTGCTTCTGTACCCTCTACACAGGCACTCGATACATGTGTAGAGTGGATGCCTAGAAAGGGACAAGGCTCATAATATCAACTTCAGGCTTAAAACAAAGAAGCCTCCAATGTAATAAGCACACAGTCTCCTTCATAACTACTGGCATGCACTCTTTTTAAAACCATTGTATCTTGAATTTATTTTCTCATGGTTTGTAAGACCCCCTGCCCTGTATTACTAATTTCTGTCCCTGGTCTACTGGATCCCAATTTCTTTTCACCAATCATAGGACCGGAAGGCATCCCTGGGAATCCTCTGAAGATGGGTGCAGTGAATTCTTGCCACAAGCAGGCCTCACCTGCTCCTGCTTCTCTCTTGTACCTCTACTACCTTTTGGTTCTGGTGGTAAACAGGGGACTTGGAAGATTAGGTATCTATGGTGTTCTAGATGATGGTCCATATAGTAGGTTCAGCGATTTTTTTTTTTTTTTTTTTTTTTTGGTTTTGTGAGACAGGGTTTCTCTGTAGCTTTGCTTTCTTTGTGGAGCCTGTCCTGGAATTTACTCTGTAGTCAGTCTGGCCTTGAATTCATAGAGATCTGCCTGTCTCTGCCTCCTGTGTGTTGAGATTAAAGGCCTGTGCCACCATAATGATCTTGAAAAAGATAAAGTGGAACCACTCACTCAGGTAATATTAAGGTGTACCGTATCACTGTAGTGCCCAGGACACTGCAGTGTGGTGAAGGGACAGAAGCATAAATCCACGAAACAGGATTAAAAACTCAAAAGTAGATCCAAACATATATGTCCACCTGATTTCTTGATGAATACAAAAGCATTTGTCTTCCATTCTTTCCCTGTTGCTGTGATAAAAATGCACCTGAAGGGAGGGGGAGGGAGGGGGAGGGAGGGAGGATGGAGGGAGAGAGGGCTCATTTTAGCTCACAATCCAAGGTACTGTCCACTGTGCCCAGGAAGTAAGGACAGCGGGAGCATGAAGCAGCTGGTCACATTGCCTCTGCAGTCTGAAGACCGAGCAGTGTGTGTGTGCTGGTCAGTTCCCGTCTCCATCTACAGCCCAGAATCCCCTGCCCGGGGAACGGTCCCCTCCGCAAGGAAGATGGATCTGCTCACTTCAGATAATGGACTCAAGATAATCGCCCTGCACAGGGTGCCCAGGGGCACAGCCGCTGGGCGATTCTAGAGTTCATCAGATTGACAATAACTGTCCTTAAAAGAGAGGTAGAGCTGGAGATAACTCGTGTGGGTAAAGGACCTGGTGGCTATGCCTTCAGTCTTCTTGGCTGTGCCATGGGGCACACGGCTTTATGTCTGTGCCCTAACCTTTATACTTTGGTGCCCTTGCCTTCTTGGCTTTCTCTAGGGCAGCAACTGTCCCTCTTGGAACAGGCAGGGCTGGTCTTCATGGTGTCACTTTCTGTTTTCCCAGGTGAAGGCATCCTCATCTCCTCCGAGGCCACGGAGCTTCTGGATTTCATAGACAACCAAGGTCAAGTGCACGTGATCCAGAAATACCTCGAGCGCCCTCTGCTCCTTGAGCCTGGTCACCGCAAGTTTGACATTCGGTAATGTTTGCTGTCCACAGCCTTGGTTTCAGTCGCCTTTTCAGAGTGTGTTAGGATCTGGTGAGAGGATGAGGTGACCAGCGTTTGGCTGTATCCAGCGTGTTGCCACGCCGAGCAGAGCTGGTCCTCTCAACGTTATTGCTACTTCCCTTTGAGTTCTTCCCTCGAGAAAACGTTACTAAGATTATAGTACCAGTCAAGATGCAAAAAGGCAAACATGTCATACACATATGTTTATGTGTATTGGTTAACCTCAAACACATCCATAGCCTTCCTTGTTTCTGAAAGGAACGCAAGTCTCTCATTATTTATGGTGAAAACTTGATTTGCCTCATCATGGTGCTAATCCGCCCATTGTTTTGTCTAGCTCACGATTCGCCTTATATGACTTTAGAACCTCCTTCACTGTCTCATCCCTGCAAACATTCCAGGTGTGCTCCAGGTGGTTGCACACACATTTAATCCCAGCACAGGAAGCAAAGGCAGGAAGATCTCTTAAAAGGAGATTTCCAGGCCAGCCAGGGCCTCACAGTAGGACCCTGTTCCAAAACAAACAAATAAATCAAGGTGTGAGATTATGTATAAAAACTTCGGATCTACCTACTGCACGTACTGGTTTTGTGGGAGCCTAGGCAGTTTGGATGCTCACCTTACTAGACCTGGATGGAGGTGGGTAGTCCTTGGACTTCCCACAGGGCAGGGAACCCTGATTGCTCTTTGGGCTGATGAGGGAGGTGGGGGAGGGGGAGGGAAATGGGAGGCGGTGGCAGGGAAGTGACAGAAATCTTTAATAAATAAATTAATTAAAAAAAAACTTCGGATCTAAATAAAACCATGTGTTTGCTGGCTTGCAGAAGCTGGGTCCTGGTTGACCATCAGTACAACATCTACCTCTATAGAGAGGGCGTGCTGCGCACGGCTTCAGAACCTTATCACGTCGACAATTTCCAAGATAAGACCTGCCATCTGACCAATCATTGCATCCAGAAAGAGTTCTCCAAGAACTACGGCAAATACGAAGAAGGCAATGAAATGTTCTTTGAGGAGTTCAACCAGTACCTCAGCAGCGCTCTGAACACCACCTTAGAAAGCAGCATTTTGCCGCAGATCAAACACATCATAAGGTGAGTTCATTGGCCCTTTTTGATTTATCTGTTTCTTCTTGTGGGAAGGGGTTTTTCCCACTCACACTGTCTAATAATGGACCTAAACCATTTATAATTTCCTCTTATTTTCGTTTTAACATCCGTAGAATCTGTCTGTGGTGATGACACTTCATTTGTTCTAGATATCGGTAATTTTTTTCTTCTCTCTAGTTTACTTGGATGGATTAAATCTTTCTTTAAAATCAACTTTGGGCCCTATTTGCTGCCTTTTTATTTTGTTTCTCATGATTTTTGTTATCGTCTCCTGTCTGCTCTTTGAGAAATTTGTTTTTCGTTTACTAGTTATTCAGGGCGGAAGGCTAGATAATTGATTTGAGATGTTTCTGTTAAAATGACAAATGCAGACATTTGTAACAATAAACCATTCAATGTCTCTAAATTTCTTCTGCATTCCAGAGATTATATGAGGTTGTGTTTATATTTTTATCGTAGCAAAATCTTCTTATTTTCGCTATTTCTTGCAACCTGCCTTGTGTGATATAAACAGTTTTGTTTATTACCCAGGTGTTTGTGGATTTTCCATAATTTCATTATGTTCATGGGGACATTGTATGTCTGGCTTCCCTTTTATTTATCTATTTTTATTTTTTGCAGGTGTAGATAGGTATGTGTCTGCATGTGGATGTGCAGGTGCCTATGCACACGTGTGGATTCACATGCGTGCTTGTGTGGGTGGAGGCCAGCCTGTACCTTAAATGCATTGAACCCAGAGCTCACTGATTTCATCTGCTCTAGCTAGACAGCCAGCTGTAGGGATCCTGTCTGCGTATCTTGTATTTAGTAGTATATGTTGTATCTGTATTTACTGCTCCTGACTTATTCCTATTGTCTTTTTGCCTCTTGATTGATTTCCTAGTCTACCTAGAAATAGTTTTTTAGTGTAGTATTCTTTATTATAGGTTACAAAACCTAGTGCTTTTAAAAAAATGAAACATAATACCCCCAAGTATGGATCAATGAGTTTTTTAAGTTATACACATACTCACTAACCATGATCATACGGATCATGATATAAAATATTTATAGTAGGCATACCTTGATTCCGGCACCTTGTCTTAAATGGTGTCACTGGGATTGCACTGTGCCTCCTGCTTTGAGCTCAGCTCTTGCCGACATCATGTCACTGTATTGATCTACACAGCAGTCGCTATTCCATTGTGTGACTACTCCAGAGTTTAAGCAGTTGACAGACATCTGGGTTTTATTTCTTATGTTTTATTTTTGTTCACTTATCGTTTTGTATTTCTTCTTATTTTTTATGATATAGACCTATGCTTTGTCTAGAATTATTACTTGTTAGGTTCTCTGGTAGTCACAGGTTGGAGATGGTTAGAATCCCTATTCAGAAAATTAAATATGCAGAAGGAATCTGGACTTCAGGCACTGTTTAGTGGGTGCTTCCTTGCCCCCTGCTGGTCGTTCCCTGCAGTGCAGCTGTGCCATTCCTGAGTGTTGCTCAGGGCTCTCAGCTTTTCTCTTTCCCCAGCCAGCCTCCTGTTGACTCCCACTCCAGCTAAAAAAAGGTGCACTGCCTGCAGCGTCTAATGGCGAAGAAACCCTTTGCCGAGGATTATTCCTCCTAACCTCCCAGCAGTTTGGTTTTAGTGTGTCAGATCGGATTGTACTTCTTGCTTTTTTATCTCTTTCTCTTGTTGTCCTGTTTCGTCAAACTTCTGACTTTTTCTTATTTTTAGTATTTCAAATATATTTTAATTAAGAAGAGTTACCTGAGTAAAGTGTACAATCACAAGGACAAACTTCCTCTATTTACTCAGTATATTTGTAAGATTCAATTTTAACTTCTTTCTGTTATTGAAATCTAATTAAAAGCCGGGGCGGTGGTGGCGCACGCCTTTAATCCCAGCACTTGGGAGGCAAAGGTAGGAGGATCTCTGTAAGTTCAAGGCCAGCCTGGTCTGCAAGAGCTAGTTCTAGGACAGGCTCCAAAGCTGTAGAGAAACCCTTGTCTTGAAAAACAAAAAACAAAAACAAAAAAAAAAAATCTAATTAAAAAATGGTAGTCAGTGCTAATAAGAATTCTGTGCTATATTTCAATATTTAGTTTGAATACTTGTAATCTTGGGTGGTCCATTAACAGTAGTTGGCAGTAGATCTGGAGCTCACAAGAGACACCAATGCTGCCCAGCTTTCTTTCTGCAACTCCTGTTTTAGCTGGCATTTCCCAACAAATGCCAGTGCACCTTCCACGTGGCAAAATCCAGGGCGTGGTCTGGAGAGGCGGCTCAGTTGGTGAAGCCATTGCTGGACGAGCCTGAGGAGCCCGAGTTCCGTCTCCAGAGTTGAGACTCCAGCACCGGGCGCGGGCGCACAAACAGGCGGATGTCTGGGGCTCACTGGCCACCCGTGATACATAAACAGCCATGGTAACAGCTAGTGACGTCAGCACTGCTGATGGAGATGCACGGTGGCTTGGTGCTGAGCTGCCCACAGTAGGGCCTGAGCTGGCCGCTTTGACCTGGAAGAACAGGAGCGATGCATGCGTCCCTAACAAGTTGTTTAATAAATAGCCTTCTCTTGAGTAATCAGAAGAATTTATCCATTGAAAACGATAAGTAAGGCGAAACCGATTTTTACGCACGCTTAGTGTAAGATCTTCCAGGCATAGTCGCTGTGTTCCGTCTGCCCCTACCACTCCATTCTCAGCGAGCTCTCCCCCTTTTTCCTTCACAGGAGCTGCCTCCTGAGTGTGGAGCCGGCCATCAGCACCAGGCACCTCCCTTACCAGAGCTTCCAGCTCTTTGGCTTCGACTTCATGGTGGACGAGGAGCTGAAGGTCTGGCTCATCGAGGTCAACGGTGCCCCTGCGTGTGCTCAGTAAGCCCAAACCCGCCTGTGTTGAACAACTGGAAGTCAGATGCGCACCTTGGGTAGTCTGACAGGTTGACGTATGGACCCCGTGACTGCTGCCAGGGAAGCTGTCACAGTGAGGGCAGTCCATTAGAGACCTGGCAGAAGGGCTTAGCTGAGCCATTTCCCTGGCTGTCCATGCCACCAGGGTATCAAACAAGACTAAGCTGGGTATAATGAGTGAGACCTGTAATCTCAGCACCAGAGAGGCTGAGGCAGGAGGATCACTGTGGGTTCAAGTCCATCCTGGGTTATAATCAGTGAGTTCCAGGATGGCCTGGGCTATAGAGTGAGATCCTGCCTCCAAGTAATAACAAAAATAATCCCCCACATCCCAAATTGTAAGAGAAATCCTGTCACCGCCATGTTCATGTGGCAGGTCGAATAAGCTGGACCCCGTGAGGAAGAGACAGTGAAATTCAAGGGCTTCCCAGGCAGGAGGTGAGAGCGAGGATGCAAGGCAGTAGGGCTCAGTGCAAAGTACAGAGACTGTCCAAAGGGACGTGGGGACCTTGCTTTGTGTTGGGTTGTCTGTGCTTAGATGCTCAGCTGGGGAGACGCTGCCCCCAGAAGCAGGAAGACGTCTTCTTCCTCCTGCCTGGTGTTTTGTGTGAGCTGGACTTCTTGTACAGGCAGCCATGAGGGTATAACTCCCCCTTGATTGTCTGATGTTCTGAAGATTCACTCTTACCATGTCGGGAACCTTCCATGGATCTCGTGTCCACCTCTGAAGCTGAGGTGATTTTCCTATGGTTTAGGAGAAAGCCCCACCCACAGGGGACAGTGTGGACACGCGTTAGTTCAAAGGCCAGGCCTTCGCCACTCACTTGGGGGCTGGAGTAAATGATGTGCTTGCGTTTTTCCAGACCCTGCAGCCAGCAGGTGCCCCTTAGGCTCTGCCTGAGCGTCCAGGTCCCACAGTGGGTGTGGGGAAGGGAAAGGACCAGGTGAATATGGTTACAAACTGAGACGAGCTTTCTAGTGGAGAAGAACGTCACAGGGGATATGACTTAACACACGGTCCTCTCAGGGCGATGGCCGGAACTGAGATCGGAGGAGTGCCCACGAGAGATGCCGAGAGTGGAGTTAGCAGGTGCTTTTCTTCAGTTCTCCCTTCAGCACTGACAGCTGTGCGGCCAGTGTTTCTTCCTGCCTCTTCTACCAAAGACCCGGTCCTCCAGAGTGCTCCGCCCATCCTCCCCGCCTGATGTCTTCCTGCCTTCTTCTTCATTTTCCATACCCCCCCTCTCTCTCCTGGGGAGGCTCCATTACCACTGCCTGCATCAATTTTCCAGCTGCTTCTCCACGAAGCCGCACCCCGCTCCAGTGAGTACGCCCCCCAACCTGGCTTCTCCATGGACCAATCTTTGAATTACAGCATTTTCAGGCGCTACCTTATCTTTGTCCAGGAAGCATTCCTTGAAATGACAAATCCACCATTAGGACCTAACAGCCCCTTTATGTCCTCATTTCCTTGTGGCAGCTTTGGAGGCGGCTGTCTCCCTCTTGCTGAATCTTTCTTCTCCATTGCTTCTGGTCCCTGTATATCAGATGAGGCCGTGTAGGGGGCTGCAAGCAAGCTGGACTCTCTCTTCCTCACCAAGGACCTCAGGTTCTGGCTCCGGACGGCCTTTGGCTCTCTGCTCCGCCTCATTGTTCATAATAAAGCCGTCGAGTTAATGCCGCTCCTGAACTCTAGACAGCGTCTCCTCCTGCGTCCCCAGATCCAGTGAGGATGTCTGTGGGTCTCCTAGGAAGCACCACCCCTGTCCTCCTCTCCAGACTCTTCCATGACTGGAGGGAATAGAGGGGATGCCATTTCTCAAGAGCTTGCCTACTGCTCCCAAGCCCTCAGTTCACGGGTCCTGTTGACTCTGCCTCCAGCCTTCCGTTCCTCAGGTTCTCTGCCAGTCCCATTCCATCACTGGGGGACGTTCGCAGAGAGCCTCCTTACCAGAATGTCTATTTCTGCACTGCCCCTATAAAATCCTTCCTTCCCAGCACAGCCTGAGTGAGAAAATAGAAGCCACACTTCCCTTCTGCCCGTGCAGCTTCTGCCTCGCCTGCCTCTGCAGCTCTGTCACAGGTTCCATTCCCCAGGACAGCTCTTACCTGCCTGCGGTCTTTGCTTTCTGTGGCGTCCCTGTCTCCTTCACCACGGCTCCAACTTTCTCTATGCAAAGCCTTACCATTTCTTCCATTACCTCAGTTGCCATCAATCAAAAACTAGTTTTTGTTTTCTTTATGGAATTGTTCACACTCTGATGTCCCAGCCTTGCTTTTCTTGGTCACTTGTGAATCTTTTTTTTTTTTAAATATTTATTTATTTATTATATATACAACATTCTTTCTACATGTATGCCTGTAGGCCAGAAGAGGGCATTAGACCTCATTACAGATGGTTGTGAGCCACCATGTGGTTGCCAGGAATTGAACTCAGGACCTTTGGAAGAGCAGGCAGTGCTCTTAACCGCTGAGCCATCTCTCCAGCCCGACTTGTGAATCTTTGAGCCTGGCCCTGTGCCTGCCACCCAGTTCTCAGTCTGTATTCTCTGAATAAGCAAACTATGCTTCCTGGTTAACAGTGTTTCTCACTCATTTTTTTCCCTCTTTAGTGTGTGTGTGTGTGTGTGTGTGTGTGTGTGTGTGTACGGGGACACCTGTGCAACAGCATGTGTGTGAAGGCCAGAGAGCAGCCTTGTAGAGCCAGTCCTCTCTTCCGCCTTTACGTGAGTCCAGGGTACTAAGCTCAGGTTGTCACCAGTACGCTGCAAGTGCCTTTTTTCCCTCTGTGTGTCTTACCAGTCCGGCAGCTCCTGATTTATAATTGCTTGGGTTTTATCTAAGTAGAGATGCCTTTAGATTGTTTTTCTATTAGCTATGACTGTAATGCTTAACTCCGGAGGTTTCTTTGTGTTATGCCAAACCTTACATGCCAACCCAAATTCTTCTAGTGCCATGGTTTTATGTGTGGACCCCCTAGAGTTGAGCTTCAGTGATGGCCTGGTGGCCATGAGACACCTGTGCCACACTAAGTCTTCCTCTTGTCACCAGTGTTCAAGATACAGGTTGGCCTGGCCACCTTGACTGGTCTGTTTCATTCTTTTGCTCCAGCTCTACCCGTGGGAGACGCTCCCAGTAGTCATTTATGTGCACGGTGCATTTTTATGGCTTGTGGTTCTTGGCGAACTAACACCCTTAATGGAAGAAGGGCTTCCATGTCTCTGTCCCTTCAGAAATGGGAGCTTGAATCATTTGGATACTAAACTGCTAAAAAATGGGCCTTGGTTGTGTAAACAGAGGGCCTGGGGAGTTGGGCTGGAGAGAGGAAGGAGCAGGACAGGTGAGGTTTAGCCAGCAGTTAGGGTTCCCTAAGAAAGAATTGGAGGCATGGTTTCCCACAGGTCTTAAAACAGGGTGAAATGCAGACCTAGCTGCCTAGGGGCTAGGGGCGGGAGAGGAAGTTCTGTGATGGGGAGGCTGCTGGTGGGCATGTCGTTGTACAGCAGGGATGGGAACAACGTAAGAGGACCTCCTCCTGGCTGGTGGGACACAGCATCTTCTGGGAATTAGAATGGCTAAGACCCTGGGCCTGGATTGACTGCCCTGGACTCCCTCCTGCCCTTGGATTTGGACACTTGGATTCTCAACACTTCTTTTTTTTTTTTTTTTTTTTTTTGAGACAGGGTTTCTCTGTGGTTTTGGAGCCTGTCCTGGAACTAGCTCTTGTAGACCAGGCTGGTCTCGAACTCACAGAGATCCGCCTGCCTCTGCCTCCCAAGTGCTGGGATTAAAGGCGTGTGCCACCACCACCTGGCTTGGATTCTCAACACTTCTTGAGCAAGCTATGGGAAGGGGCAGGGGGCTTCTGCCTGCTCTAAGCCGCACTCCCAAGCAGCTGGCTCTGGGGACTCATGGTGCCCATGGAGTCCCTCAGGGAAATCAGGCAGAGCCTCCCTGTTCCCAATGTCTTCTGCTTTGCATTTGCGGTTGTTAATGGTCAGCAGCACTGGAGGGAAAGCTCTGGGGTGCTGATTGGAACCACAGCACAGGAAACAAAATGGTGGGCTTTGTTGCCCTGGAGGAGGCTAAACCCACTGAGCCTACTACCTTGGGCCTTGGAGAGTCTACAGCACACTGCCCTGCACTGCCCACACTGCCCCGCGCTGCCCCACACTGCCCTGCACTGCCCCGCACTGTCCCGCACTGCCCACACTGCCCCACACTGCCCCACTCTGCCCTGCGCTGCCCCGCGCTGCCCACGCTGCCCCACTCTGCCCCACACTGCCCCGCACTGCCCTACGCTGCCCCGCACTGCCCCACACTGCCCCGCACTGCCCCACGCTGCCCCACTCTGCCCCACACTACCCCGCACTGCCCCATGCTGCTCCACACTGCCCCTCACTGCCCCACACTGCCCACACTGCTCCACAATGCTCCACTTTCCACTTCTGCCTATCCTGGTTACCCTGAGTTCCTCTGTCTTGTTGGTACAGGCTATGTTCCCGTCACACTACTTCTCTTACACCAGTGTGCACACTCACAGCCTCCCTCCCCTTCTCTCACACTAGCATGCACGCTCAGCCTCCTTTCTCTTCTCTCACACCAGCTTGCACACTCACACAGCCCCCCTCCCCCCCTCGGACCCACTGCCTCCTCCCTCACTTTTCCAAGCTGTCGTCAGTTCTTGGTCTCACTACTCTATTTCCCGGGTCCCATCTTAGCTGTCGGTCTCAGTCTTCGCTAGTGTCCCTTCTCCCATAAAAGGTGGGGATTTTCCTGGACGATGTCCACCCCTCCACGTACTCCATCACAGACAGACAAGGTAGGGCTCGTGACGCTCCTGAAACCGCCTTCTCCGCTAGTCAGCAGGAGTTGTTGGTTTTATTCCCATCAAGGCCTTTTTAAAATACGTAAATACCGCCTTTACATGTTTCGTCAGTGTGCAGAGCCTCTTGTTGGTACTTTACTTACAGAGTCAAGTTTTACCCAGGTGTCATATGATGGCATTTTCAGGGCAGAGCCTCATTGAAACCCACCTGCCCCCGACACACACACCATAGCCAGCTTAGACTTTTCTCTTGCACTTTGATGAGCACGCTCAGTGATATCTTTAACAACTTATTTCAGGAAGCTCTATGCAGAACTGTGCCAGGGAATCGTGGACATAGCCATATCCAGCGTCTTCCCACCCCCGGACACGGAGCAGGTGCCACAGCCGGCTGCGTTCATCAAGCTGTGAAGGACCGGGAGGTACAGAGCCGCCTTGGGAAATGTGTGGAATCCTGCTCCGGAGGACCGTGAGCTGACCGGACTGCTCCTTATCAAGGCATGCTGGGGAACGGATGTGCAGAAGAGCGCGTGAAGGGAAGGCAGCTGCAGGAGAGCAGGTGGCGCTGCGGAGACCTTAGGAAGCTGAAGGAGTCACTGAGAGGGAGAACCGAACGCTTTTCCAAAGGGCAGGAACCAGGGATTTGGTTGTGGTGTGATCTCAGCCTTTGAACAGTCTCTGGCCTTGGGTGGTACAGGGAGCAGAGCTCTCTCCTCCTCAGGGTGCAGCCCAGAGACCTCTGAGTGGTGTCCGCCCCACCTGCTGCAGCTTTAGTGCCTTAGCGCTGTGTCCAGTGCAGCCTCATTGGACACAGACTGGACCTTAAAGCATGAGGTTGCCACATGCTCCCTGCACATCCCCTCTTCGACACTATGTCCCACCAAACTCTGGACGAGCATGCAGCATAGTCCATGCTGTGCACTGGCCCATCAGTGATGGCCTCTTGCTTGTCACCTTCCTGGTGGCCTGTGAGTGAGCACCTGTCAGGGGTCCTGTGGGCACCAAACAGTATATTTTGCTCACTGCATGTTTTAGAAACAAAAAGCACCAGGCCTGATGAATCTGCAAGCATCAATAAGCATGAGAGAGAAAGAGAGAAAAAAACAAATCATGATATCTTACTTTACTTCACGGTGTGGGTGGGCGGGAGTCCCTGAAGTACCATGAGCCTCAGTTATCTTTGATTTATCGGAATTCTGAACGCAGCTTTGCAATTTCTCTTTCTGTCACCCCCTCCCCACCTTTGAACCGTTGTAACAATCCTCTCTGGGAGTCAGGGAAGGTAGAATTCCATTCCCTATCCTCCTCACCTTGTAGCTCTCTCCCCATATCTGTCCTCCTCGGCTCCAAGGGCCTGGAGGCCCAGGTCCATTCCAGAAAGAGCCCTGTCTGTTTAAGCATGTAGGTAACAGGGGAGATGCCCTCTGAATTGAGGGTGTGTCCTGCCTGGGTGAGAAAGAAGTTTTTTGGAGCTGTTCATAGTTTCCCGTGTCAACAGAAGTGTACCATGAGATGGGTTTCCATATCACACATCTATCTTACAGGCTCCTCGGGAGCCCACTCCGAATCAAGGGAAGATGTCACGCGTGTTCAGTATGAGCTGAGTCGATAGGCTCTCTCTCACTGTCCTGGAAACCACAGCAGGCAGCAGAAGCTCCCTTCTTCCCGGAGCGGCGTGTGTTTCTTCTGGTGTGTGCTGCTTCGTGTGCATCTCCTTGGTGTGCTCTGCAGTCAGGCGAGACTTGTGCAAAAGAGCTGGAGAAAGTGTCTCTTCCTCAGATAGAGTGAGAGGTGGGACTTACAGTGAGGAAAGGGACGATGAGATTATTAATTACATGTATCCTTGCATGGCACAACGCCTTATGCGGAAGTAGAGAAAGTCCCAGCTCATGAGAACCTGGGATTAGAGGGTCAAGAGATGCCATGGTTGCCTAGAATATGGTTAAAGTTGGCACCCAGAGCGAAGTAAAACATTTGCTATTAAGACAGTTCTTGCGGCCCAGCACAGCTGATGGGTTAGCGCTGAGGAACTTCTGAGAAGGCAGAGAGGTTAGCCATGTATGGGGAAGATACATTCTCACTGGGAGAGTAGAGGGTGCTGGGCCCTTGGCTAGTCCAGGTGGGCCAGCGATGGAGAAAGCAAGGTGGTCTGTGTATGTTCTTAGACCCAAATCACAGGGTCATTTAAAGTGTTTACCTGTTATGGGGACAGAGTTGGCAAAGCAGATGTCATTGAGTCCTTATGAGCCCTGACAGGTTTTGTCAGAAACCTGAACAAATCCGTAACATCTGTATAAGGGGAAATGGGAAGGGTTGAGTCCATCCCTCACATAGCTTCAACTATTTATGCATTCACTTCCCACCGAGTAGGAAGGTTGGCTCTGAACTGTTTTGTGCCATTCCATGGTGTCATTGGCACAGACAGTCATGTCTAGCTCCCTGGTAAGTCTTCATGGTTAGTTGGTGTAAGTGCCCATTGCTGGGGGAGGGGGTTATTTATTTGGAGATATTGATTCCACTCTTGGCTCTGTCATCTGACTGCACAATGTCACACGAGCCAAATAACCTCGCTGTGCCTTAGCTTCTTATCTCATGGAGGAGACATCCCCTGGCCCAGGGACAACCTCAAGGGCCTTTGGTCCAAGGTTCTCAGTGCCGACTACACGCTATAGATTCCCATGGAGTTCAAAAGTCGATGACCCTTCCCACCTGTGGCTGACTGAATGAGAACCTCGGGGAACACTATGTCTTGAGGTGCCTTGAACCATTCTTTGGGAAGCAGAAGAAACACATTATTACCTTGGAAGAATTACTTAAGGATGAAGGCTCAAAAAAAAAAAATACTCTGAAGCAAACAATTCTGTTAGAACAACCAAATATTGACATAAATATTTGCAGTGTAAGGTATTGGCCAAGCAGTTTCTCAGTTTGCTTCTCATCCAGGCATCTGGAAAATCAAACAGGCTTTCGTTTATACAAGCAGTTTATTAAGTCCTCAATAGCAAACGTAAACAGACACGAACCAATAAATCTAATGCTATGTATCAGAGTTATTCATTAATTATGGGAGAAAAGCCCCTCCCCTCACACTTGACTTCAACGGCAATTATAAAGTCCATTTTGCCAAGAATATCTAAGTGCCTCTGTTGTGAGATAGAGTGGAGCAGGAGCTGGCGTGCACACCAGCTGATGGTGAGCATCTATAGCTCTTTGGAATGGCACTCGCATGCACGGGACATTGGGGAGCGCTGGAAACGGCTGGGATCCACGGATCCACAGTGTCAACGATGCTATAAAGTGTTTTATGAGCAGTTGTGGTTGTGTTCATGGGTGCGGCAGAGAGGGGATCCATGAACAGAAAACGACAAGGTGCCAAAGTAGGTTGCATGTGGCATGCGGGGTGCTGTCTTGAAGATTCAGTGGTTGATGTGTGTGCCTCCAGTCCTGGACACAGAAGCTGCACCTAAGAGGAAACGATTTCTGCCGTAAGGCAACTATATGAATGTTTTCAATGCCTGGAGCATTAAAGTAAAGGAAAGATATTTCAAGTGTTTTTGTGTCCTTGGGTTTTACTGCAGGCGTTGGCTAGCCTTGGCTATCACTGGTTAGCTCAATCTATGGTACCACTCAGAGGAAGGCAGAACTTTTTCTGTGAGCATAAGACGCAGAGACCCTGGCCTCTTGTGAGCCATCTGGAGCCTCTCTGACATAGCCTTTGTTCTTTCCCCAACTCTCATCCATCAGAATTATGGATAAACATAATTCTGAGCTCACCTACCAGTCAGAGCCAAGCCAGATAGGGCCACAGTTTCCTAACCAGTGCTGTTTATTACAGAGGTCATCAGCTGCCGGGCTCCAGTCTGTCCTCGCCTGACCTTGTGCATCTGAATCACAGGACAATGGTCAAGCAGGCCAGTGGTTGCGAAGGAGACCTGGGAGGGGAGGGGCAGAGCTGGATGGGGCCTCTGCGGTGAAGCTCTTTGCTGATCTGGCTTGGGCTGGGTTTTCAGATACCTGTAAATCCCAGGAGGAGGTCCAGATGCCACCGCATTTAGTGCGTCTGGATACAAACAGCCCCACAAGGGAACTTGTCGTTTCTTGGGCTATGAGACTGTTTGCTTTGGACCCCTCTGTACATCTGCTCTGCCCTTCAAGGGCCGCTTGCACTCCCTTTCTGCATGTTTCAGTGGCTGTTAGACTGCCAGGCTTCGCCATGGTTTCTAGGACTGCCTTGGAGCTGGGTATTCAGGGCCAGAAACAGGACAAGTTAAACGCTAAGCGGTGTGACTGATGTCATGGCTTTCCTGGGTCGCTGCAAGGCTAGGGTTAACATCTAGGCCTTGTTCCTGTGTTCCTGGTGGTTTTGAAGCACAGAAGGTTTTCAGAGCATCTGCCTCTGCCCTTCAGTGAGAGAGAAGAGTGTGGGTAGGGTTACAGGTGTGTCCTGCCACGCCCTACATGAACCGCAGCTTCTTCAGGAGAAAGGACCACTGGTAGCAGATGGGCCCAGCTTGTGAGAGAAGTCTCCAGTGTCATTGAACATTGCCCCTGGGGGAGGAGAGGCTGCTAAGCAGCCTGGGACCCTGTGTGCTTGACACTCTACCTTTGCTATGGGCTCTGTGCTTTTTATTTGACTTTCTGGTTTTGGTTTCTCTTCTTTTTCCTTTCTTCCTTCCTTTCTTCCTCTTCCTCCTCTTCTTCTTCGGGTCTCAAGTTCCAGCTGTGCTGGAACCCACTATGTAGACTAGGCTGGCCTTGAACTCACAGAAATCTGCCTGTCTCTGCTTCCCACATGCTGGAATTAAAGGCGTGCACCACCATATCTAGTTCATTAGACTTCTTGGTATTTTATTAAGCCTATGCTCCCAGGGGTTATTTTTATTTGATGTCACACAGAGCGTGCCCAGACTATGCTCATCTATGGCGTATCAGGCAGACAGGAGAATCGCCTGGAGGCTCATGGACCAGCTATTGCTGAGTATGCAGAGTGTGAAACAGGAGAGACCACCTCAATCAGGTTGACGGTTAGACCCCACTCTCTTGTAGACCAGGCTGGCCTCGAACTCACAAAGATCTGCCTGCTTCTGCCTCCCAAGTGCTGGGATTAAAGGCGTGTGCCACCACCGCCCGGCTTAGACCCCACTCTCGAAAGTGACTTTTTTCCCCATGTTCAGGGTGGCAAGTGTGAACCCTCACACATACACTTGTGTCTGTCACCAAGAGATGAATACATATAAAAATTGTTTCAAAGGTAAACCAGATGTGGTTGTATATGGCTGTAATCCTAGAGTTTTCAAGACTGAAGCAGGAGAATTACAAGTTCAAAGCCAACCTGGGCTACATTTAGAGTCCTTGTGTCAGCCATGTCCTCCTCACAAAACAAACAAAGACAACAGTGCCCTAAAGATCCTAGCTAGAGCAATTAGCACAAAAAAAAAAAAAAAAAAGGAAGGACATCCAGACTGGAAAGCATAAGTATGTCTCATTGCAGATGACAAGATCTTACACAGAGAAAACCTCTAGCAAGATTGCTAGGTACAATATCAACATATAAAACTCAATTGCATTTCTGAACACTATAAATGAACAATTTGAAAATGACATCAGAAAACAATTCTCTTTTATCAACACCAAAAAACAATGGTTTAGGAATTAACACAGTTCTTTTTGTTGTGGTTTTGAGACAGGGTCTCTCATACAGCCTAGCCTTGTTTGTCTAGGAACTCTCTATGTAGACCAGACTGGCCTAGAACTCACAGAGATTCACCTGCTTCTGCCTTTTGAGAGCTGCTGCCACCATACCTGGCACACAGATTCATTTGTGCAAATTAATTTCTTTTTTTAAAATGTTCTTTTTGTGTGATTCTGGATGTTCCAGAACTTGATATGTAGGTCAGACCTCCCGGGAACGCAGAGATCCACCTACTTCTGCATCTTGAAAGCTGGGATTAAAGGCATGCACCACTATGTCCAGTTACACAAATATTTTTAAAAGAAAATAGACAACCCATAAAAGGGAAACAAATTTTTTTTAATAATTTTTATTTCATTTTACATTCCAAAAACAGTTCTCCCCTTCACCCCTCCTCCCAGGCCCACTTACCTCCCCACCAGCCCACCTCCTATCCAGCCTCCCATGGCACATTAAATTGGGACAGGACCAAGCTCCTCCCTCTGCATTAAGACTGAGCATGGCATCCCACCATAGAGAATGGGCTCCAATAAGCTAGCTCATGCACCAGGGTAGATCCTGGTCCTACTGCCAGGGGCCCCTCAGTCCAAGCTTCACCACTGTCTCTCACACACAGAGGGCCTACTTCAGTCCCATGGAGGCTCCACAGCTATTGGTCTAGAGTTCGTGATTCTCCATGAGATTGGTCAGGCTGGCCTCGAACTCACAGAGATACGCCTGCCTCTGCCTCCCGAGTGCTGGGATTAAAGGCATGCCCCATGACCGCCTCTCTGTCTCTGTAGATTTCTCCATCATGATCTTGACCTCCCAGGGAAATGTATTTTCAAATCACAAGTCCAGGAATGACCAGCATATTACAACTCAATGATAGAAAGACAAGCAACTTTAAAATGAGCAATTTAAACAGACATTTTTTCCAAAGGAAATATACCATCAACCAATAAACACATTAAATTATGCTTACTATTATCCTCTAGGGAAAGGCTAATCAAAACCCACAAATAGATGCGATTGTACAAGTCATAAGATGGCTTATAACCAGGGGATAGTATCAGTAAGGATGCTGTTGGGGAAATTTTAAATTATACAGTTCACTTGAATAGTTTCACAGAACAAAATACAGAGTAAATACATGACCCAGAAATCCTGTTCTTAGCTTCAATACTAAAGAGAGTTGAAAACACACACACACACACACACACACACATACAAAAACCGATATTCAGCTGGGCGGTGGTGGCGCACGCCTTTAATCCCAGCACTTGGGAGGCAGAGGCAGGCGGATCTCTGTGAGTTCGAGACCAGCCTGGTCTACAAGAGCTAGTTCCAGGACAGGCTCCAAAACCACAACCACAGAGAAACCCTGTCTAGAAAAACAAAACAAAACAAAAAAACCCAACAACAACAACAACAAAACGATATTCATAGCAGTCAGTGCTCTTAACCACTGAGCCATCTCACCAGCCCTACAGTAGATGTTCTTAATGGCAGCAACTGAGGATGTATCCTGTCAGAACCTTAAGGGCAGGCCAGTGCAGATGCCTGAATACCAGCAGAAGTGGGTTTGGGGTGGCTTCCTTTCTTTTGGTGTAGGGGGTTTGGTAGCTTAGCCTGATTCCTGCGGGTGGTCCCAGTGGTATAACTTTACTCATAAAGAGTTGAGTAGAAAGGGCAGGGCGTGGTTACACACGCCTTTAATCCCAGCACTCGGGAGGCAGAGGCTGGCAGATCTCCGTGAGTTTGAGGCCAGTCTGGTCTACAAGAGCTAGTTCCAAGACAGGCTCCAAAGCTACAGAGAAACCCTGTCTTGAAAAACAAAGAAACAAACAAACAAAAAAAAAATCTCTGCACTCAGGTAGAGACAGGTGAGGTGGATCTCTGTGCTACAATAGTCTGGTCTACAAATCGAGTTCCAGTACAGTCAGGACTACATGGAGCAGTGGTTCTCAACCTTCCTAATGCTGCGACCCTTTAATACAGTTCCTCATGTTGTTGTGACCTCCTCCATTAAATTATTTTTGTTGCTTCATAACTGTAATTTTGCTACTGCTGTGAATTGTAATGTAAATATGTTTGGAGATAAAGAGCTGGCAAAGGGGTTGCGACACATAGGTTGAGAACAGCAGGCACAGAGAGCCCCGTCTCAAGTAAGCAAGCAAGCATACAAACAAACAAATAGATAATAAAGAGTTGGGTAGAGAGGACAGAGGTGGGTGCTCAACATCTGTATTTCGGTTGCAACCAAGACTCCAGAGTTTTGTTCGGCTGTGGTGAGGCGTGCCTTTAATCCCAGCACTCGGGAGGCAGAGGCAGGCAGATCTCTGTGAGTTCTAGGCCAGCCTGATCTACAAGAGGACAGCTAGGACTCCTACACAGAGAAACCCTATCTCAAAAAAACCAGACTCCAGAGTCTCTTAGCATCAGCATCAGGATGTAATCGGAAAGTTACCCAAAGGAACAGAAAAGAATCTTTGAAGATAGCTCTATGAGGTCCTAATTGATTGAGCGGCTAAGGGCCACAGAGGTCACACACTAAAGTGGAGTGGGTTTTAGAGCGGTTTGCAGGATACAGCTGAGAGAAGAGGCAGATATGCTGCTGTGTGTGTGTAGATTTAACCG